ATTTCATCCTGATAATCCTCATTATCTAGTTTAACCAGTGGCCCCTGGTGCTCTGTGGCTTCAGTCCTTAGTCTTTTACTAAGCACACACTTACTAGGCAGTTATATTAGTGGAGATATAGCTGCTGGGGTATCTTCTTTATTATCACTAATTAGATTAAATTCATCCACTGCCTTGTGAGCATCTTATTCTTCTCTTGCTACTTGAATCTCCTAGGCTATGAGATATTTATTAATAAAGATTAGCTGCTCTGATTTAATGTCAAATCTTGATGTACACATAGACATCATAAGATCCTTAATTATGTTAGACTTCAGAGAGCCTTAACAGTAGTAATATATGTCATAAGCTGAGTTGAATAGTCATTTAACACCAGAACCAGTAACAGGAGTTGTAAGAACATCTTATGCTAGGCTTATAAGGATAGGATATTCATGCTGTTAGTCCTTCCAGAAAAGCCATGGATTAATCAGATAAGTGCCTAGAAATATGATAAGTAAAAGAGACATGAGAGATTAGAGAGGGTAGCATACTGCTTCTAAGATACTGTGTAAGCTCACTGTGGGCATTTGTCTGTGGCTGAAAGGATGTAGCTGATGTAATAAGCATATTAATATCAGAGATCTGATCTGCTGAAGAGTGGCCATTGGATATGGGCTGTGTGTCCGAATATCGCTATTGGTAGGGCATAAGGTAATCCTTAAGACTCTTATGGTATCGTACGCGCCAGCATGGCTCCCATTCCTTAGTAGAAAAGAAGTGAAGCTTATTTTGTGGCGCTAGGATTGTACTAATTGCATATAGATCATCATGGATATCATTAGTCATGCTATAATACTCTAATAGCTTTAACTTAGCTTGCTTTAGGGCAGATAGCATTACTGCCTTCTAGTTAACCTTCTTTTATGCAAGCTGCGCCATAGATCTTTCTAAATGACTGAAAAGTTTGTTATAGATACCAAAGATAGTATAGATAGTAATATCCTTAGTCTTTGAGAGGGTGATTATGAATATAAAGAATGGCTGAGTAATTATAAGAAGATAATTAATCTGCCACCATTCCTCCTAGCTTAGCTGTAGATCATGGTGACTGTACTGTGCACAGAACCTATTAAAAATAGATTATAGCTATTTAGTGCGCTAGAGCATTAGATATGTTGAATTCTAGCAGGTCCTAATATCCTGCATTAGTACAAGCTTTGGTTCTGTTATCTAAAGGTTCTGGAAGGCCTCTCAGTGTTAGGGGCTCTTATTAATATAGACCATGAGCTACCAAACCTAATATATTATGAGTATAAACTGAGGTAATATTAAAGAGGGTAGCTTACCTTATTAAGAGTATATATAATTTCTTAATTCTCTCACTAAGCCCTGTTCTCTTCCTTAGTCTATTCCATCTCTTCTCTCTTATTCCTGGGGTTTGCTTCCATCCTACCAAGAAGCTCTTTCAAACTAAGTTGAATAACATATGCTATACATGGTATATAAATGATTAATGTCTGATTTAGTAGCTTAAGTAACTAAAGAGAGTCCTAGATGCTCTCTACTAATATAGAGTTATTAGATGCATTATTAGTGGTAATAGTTAAGACCTAGTCCTTAATCCTATGATTTTAAAGTAGGTCAAGGAGAACTAAGCTTAGATTAACTCCTGTATGTGTGCCATGAAGTGGTTTAAAGCTAAGCAAGATCTCATGATAGTTCTAATCCTCATTAATAAAGTAGCCTATGACAGCCATAAAAGCCTGGCAAAAGGGCAAGGTCTAGTAATCTAATATAATAGAGAGCTTAGCACCTGTAGGAAGCTTGTAAAGAAGATTCTGCTATTATTCTTTAACCATCTCTTGAAGGTGATGTCAGACCATATATATAGAAGGGATTTTAGGTAAGGATGGCGCAAGCCAGGCCATCTTAATAAGGGCACTAAACTAAGAGTGCTCAACAAGTTGAAATGGCAGTCATAAGGTAGTAATAAATGCAATTACCCTCTCCATCCAGGCTTGTGTTACTGTAAGTTCCTTCACTTCCATTGCACACTAATTAGTTTCTAGATATTTATTATCCATAGGGCTCTCTGCCTTAAGCTCCTATTTAATTTCTTCATTACTTAAGCTAGTACATTCTTTGTATAGCTTCCTGAGTCATTTATTACTTCTTATCATGCTCAACCTGTTGGTTCTCTTGTGTGGTTTGATAATTCTAGTGGTGTTATAAGCTCCTCTATCTATCATAGCACTGAGCTTCTTTGTTATATGTAACTACTTCTTATTTTTACCGTTTTTAAGAGGCCAGATGTGCCTAAGATAACTAGAACTTAGTAGAGATAAAATAAATCTATAGGGATGAATATATTAATATACCCCTTCTTATATAAGCCTTCTGATATCTTATGAATGAGGTGCTACCCTCCAATAGTTAACCCCTTGCAAGTGTTTATTCATAGAGGATATTCTATAATGGCTGTCTACTGGATGATTAAGGATTTAGCTGCATATTTTACACATAACCTTCAGAGACCCATCTTAGATAGAGGTAACCTAGTGAAAATGCTTCCAATACTCTGCCTAGTGCTTATTCTCAAAGATATTCCTTTTCAACCAACTTCTAAACTTAGTCTTCAACCACCACGCAATAAATTCATCATTCACCATCTGTGTCCAGAGAAGATGGTTCTTCTTCTTCTTCTCTGGGCTAACACATTCAAGAGTGTTAGGGATGGAGGGTGGTACTAGAGGCTGGGTGAATTCAGTGTTAGGTATAGAAGTAGGTGTCTGCTGGCTGTATGAGGTGTCAGGGAAGAATGGCTGTGGACCATCAGATAGAAGGAAGGAAGAGCTATCTAGAGGGGTATCCTCATAGATAGATAAGGGATAATTATCAGAGAACTAAGAGATTTGACTGTGTGACATGGTAAATAATAGAGTTAGGATGATAGAGAAGGACTGGAAGAGCCATACTAGAGGTTAAGTGAGCTAGAACTAAGGGAAATAGGAAAAACTATGAGAATTAGCTGCTAATGTGAGCTGAATAAAGGTGTTGATACATCTATTTTAATATAGACTAGGCTATCTACCTGCGTGTGTGATAATTAGTTAGTGAGGTGGCTGAGGCCCCCTATAGACAGGTTCTGTCAGGTTCGAACCTGGGTTGAACCTGATGGAACCGCGACCCGACTCAGGTTCCAAAATATGGAACCTGAGAACCTCAGGTTCAGGTTCGAGGTTCCGACCTTTGGAACCTGAGTCGGACCATTTCGAGGCCTACCCCTCACATATTTGGTAAGCTAATCTACTCTATTCAGCCTCTGGTGAACAGCTCAACAACACAATGAGTTGACACGCAGCAAAGATTCACAGCTTAAGGATGAAGGATAGGTGAAACAAACACAGAGATACAGCCCATTCTCTTTTTTTCCTTTTTTTCCCTAGTGGTTAGGGGAGGGTGAAAGAACCGCCGCGCAGGGCTGACTTCTGGTAACCAAGTCAGTGTGGATGCACCAGGAAGTGCAAGTACACCATGAAGTGTGAGTGCACTAGGGAGTGCAGGTACACCAAGAAGTATAAGTGCATTAGGACGTGCGGGTGCACCAGCATATGTGAGTGCACCAAGAAGTGTAAGGCACTAGGAAGTGTGGGACCAGTCCATCAAACTAACAATAACTAAACAAGGGAGCTAAGCCACATGGCCACGCAGGCCACACCGGATTTCTATCACGTGACTGAGATCCAATTTTGACCTGCCAACCTTGGCAGGTGGCTGGCAGCCAACGTCTCCAAGCTGTCTCATCAGTTAAGAGGCTTGACCCACTTCTAGCTGATCAAACGGAAATTCCAAGGGAAGCCGATAGGGCCACACGACCTTTCGATCCTATCAGAACCTATCCGACTCCTCCTGGGTACCCAGAGAAAGGTCTGTCTGTACACGCTCAGCTGCCTTTAGCTGTAGGATCTCCATAGCAATGAGTGTAGGTACCCAGGGTGACGGGAGCCTGTGTGATGCTCCATTATCAGATGAAGTTGAGGGTGGTACGAAGAGGGCAACTATAAATTTTCGACAGCTCATTCGTAAATGTTTAGTTCTACCTTCTCCAAAGTAAATGTTTATTTAACAGAGGAAATAGGCTAATAAGGCTATCTAGGCAGTAGATGCAGAATAACACCCTTAATGGGCACCCCCATGCTGCAGTGACTGCCATATTATAGGCCATAAGTGATTGCAATATCCGCAGCATAAGAATAACTAGATTTAGTAATATAATCATATTTTAGGGGTTCAAAATAGCCTCTAATTTCGGCCGCGGCCAAAAGGTCTATGGTATGGTGGCCGCTCGGTTACAATGGCCGCTCGCTTACCTACCGATTACATTAACGGAGACTTCCGGTTGGATTCTGGGTTTCTTTCCATCCCGCACTGAGCTGACCTCCCGTCCTCCCCATAACTCGCAAGTGGATTCCGCCTGCCTTAACTATTTTTGAGGTGCGGAAGGGTGCTAGATTCAAATGGCGTCTATCCTGCGAGCTTTAACGAACAACATTCGGCGAACGCGACTGTCTTCCAGACAACGCTCTACCGTTGCGCATATCATTCCTACGGAAACCCCGATCGAGGAAGAATCCTTACCAGATTACAACGCAGCGCATTACTATCCGGTAAGAATTGGCGATGTGTATCACGCCAGATACGAAGTTGCGGGAAAGCTTGGGTAGGGGGCATATTCAACCAGCTGGGTCTGCCGGGATCTTCAGTGCGCCACTCCCAGTTCGATCGATCCTAGAAGGGCTCTGACGAGTTATGAATTAAGAGCCAATAACTACACAGTATTGAAGGTGTCGACCTCTTTGCCAGATTATCCCACTGCAACAGATCGCGAATTGAGAGTTTATGAACACCTTGCAAAAGTTGACTCTTCGCATCCGGGTCAGTCATTGATCCGCGAGCTCTATGATTCATTCGACCTTCAGGGTCCTGGAGGCACGCATCGGTGCCTTGTGCTGCAGCCGATGAATATGACACTCCTCGAAATGATGAGAATGAATCCGCGGCCGTTTGATCTTCCACTACTCAAAATGACTGTCAAGCGACTTCTATTGGCGCTTGATTTCTTGCACGCGGAGGCCGACGTTATTCATACTGGTAGAGACCGACGCTCTGTATATGTTGTATTTGGAACTGATTTCGATTTCTGCTAGATCTGAAGACCAATAATCTGATGCTCAGCCTAGAGGATAGCTCCATGCTGGCGGATTTTGCGGCAGCAGAATCCGAGAATCCAAGTCCTCAGAAAATAATTGACCAGTCGCGTATTATTTATTGCAGTCGAAAGTTTCGGAGACCTACCGGCGGCAGAAACTACGGTCTTCCAGTCCTATGCGACTTTGGCGAGGCAAGAATTGGCGGGACACAGGAATCAGGACCTTTCGTCCAACCACACATATACCGAGCGCCGGAGATCATTTTTGAAATGCCTTGGGGATGCGCTGTTGATATCTGGAATCTTGCTGGTCTTGTAAGTCAGGTGCCAGTACCGTTTCGTGTTACTGCCCTGCTTTGCTGATGATCGTTTAGATTTGGGATCTGTTGGAAGGACAGCGTCTGTTTGGCGATATATTCGACTCCAGAGGTGGCCATGATCCCTTCAAGCATCTAGCGCTTATGGTAGCCTTGGTTGGACCACCGCCGACTGCATTTGTACGGCGTAGTGAGGCAACGGAGCAGTGCTTTGACTTGAACGGTTAGTACCTGTTTTCCATTGCACACCCTTTCTTATTGACTCCGAGTTTGACACAGTTGAAGGTGACTGGATTGCTCATCACGAAGCGCCTGTGCCCTCTGTTTCACTTGAAACCCTAGAAACGCGGCTTACTGGCGAGGAGAAAGAGCTATTTTTGGCATTCATTAGGTCGATGCTGGAATGGATGCCAGAGGAACGCAAGACAGCCAAACAGCTGCTTGAACACCCATTCTTGCTCTAGCCGCCAGTTATTTTCTTTCCTAACTACGTCTAATATCGAATCAAATCCGATTGACGGGCGTTTTAGCCGCCACATTCTTCCAGGTGAGGACATCCCGCACAAATCGTATACTGCGAATAGCATCAGGGGCATCTTCCCGGCTCTAAGACATCATCGGGAAGACATCTTCCTTATTCGCCAGCGCAAAGTAGGGACGGCGCTTACAGTCAAAGTAGGCTATTTGAACACGATCATGTCACGCACCATAGCATACAGGACTCTCACTCCTCCCAGATCTCCTTGTCATTATTATTTGTGGCCTATTCTAATTATCATCTTTCTGCTCTTAACCTATCTTTGGTCCTTGCCAGCATGTCTATAGTTATCTACTGTTTTATCTCTTATGTTAGAAAGTGCTCACTAAGCAAGTCTAAAAACCCAACCCACGCAACCCTTGCTGACACCTATTGTAACAACCAAGAGAAATAAGTAGGTCTCCAGCATCTACCTCTGATTCTCACACTAATTATTCCAGGACCCTCGCATCAAATATGCCAGCATTGAAGGAACAGAGTTCCATCAATCTCACAAAGACCAGACCGATCCTAAGCAGGTGCTCTCCATCAAATTCTTGGATGAGGGAAGAAAGAGAGTTAGAGTGGGATATCTACACAAAGATGGAACCTCCAAATTCCGCTATAAGTAGAAGGCTCCAGCTGAGTCACAGGACGGTGGATTTAAGAAGTCTTAATCTGGCCCTTGTACAAAGTGGCTTAGTATTATCAGAAGGAGCCCTGGAAGTTCCCTCCATGTCGGTGTTATTATACGTCGCTGGTTTCACTGTAAGCCCTTGCTGCGGGTTCATCGTTGAATGTTCGTAGCAGAGAAGCTTGTAGCAGCAGGCTACATTGGAAAAGAAGAATTTCAGCCAGAGTAACAGGAACAGACTAATCACCCATATATAGGCACTTCCAATTTGCCAACAGCTCCAAGAATTAGTTAAGGTGATATTACTACAGAATGTCAAAACTAACAAGGTCACATCTAGCTCCACTATCCAAATCAACATGGTTTAGAACTAAGCTGTTAATGATAGCTGGGACATAGACTCAGTAAATTGTTCCTACAGTTGGCCATGAAGTTAGAGAGATAGGGGTCATTCTGACTCATTCTCTTTTTCCTGTCTTTCTCGCCTTTAATTCCACACTTTGAGCTGCGCTGGAGAAAGACTAGGATCTTTTGACAGTAAGGAAGAATTTGTCTTTGGCTTTTCTTCAAGACATTTAGGCGCATAATGACATTCGTTGTGACGGATATTGCAGTTGTTCTGTTTGCCATCCGGCCCCATAGGGTTAAGACGGGGTTTTGAATCCTTTTCTGATCTCGTGTCATATTTGGTGGGATTAGATCTGTTTTGAGATCTTCCTTTGCCTTTTCGTTGACGAGATTCCTCGGGTTCTTCGTCATCAAGAAAGTTTCGCTTTCTATCATCACGATTCGGCGCTTTATCTTCCAGAAGTGGAGTGCCATTTGCACCATGCTCTCTCGAAAAACTGGAACAATTGGTGAATGAGTGGAGATTTGTCGTGGTGATCGATATGTAGTTAAATAACTCTCTAATATTGCCAATTTGCGGTTGGTATCAATGGGACTCTGTTTCCCCTTTCGAAACCTGGCAACAAGCTGGTTTCCAGTATCTCATTTCCTTTGTTGAGTGTTGAAAATAAGAGCTAGGGTCCATTCTTGGAAGATAGACCAAGTGGAATCGGCCATGTTTCGCTCTTCAATCGTAGACTAATTGTCAACATGTCGAGCCCAATCTTGTCTGCAAGTATTGTTCGTCTCCATAACCACTGCGAGGATCTTTCGCTTGTCATTATAGAACTTGTTGGGTGCCGCTTCAGAGAGATATTTCATATTCTTCAGCCACTCATCTCAGTCTTAGATAGTAAACGCGCGGCTAGAGATTCGAATAGTAGCATCGCTCTAAAATCATGACCTTTATCGTGTTCGGATCCCCATAAGGGCGTGCGGTTTGGTGGCGTCTACCAGCTGAGCCTGAGGGACTTAATCTGGTCTCTGAGTTGCTGCTGATATTCAAGCTGCTTAATCCTCTCTCTCATCGCTTGCAGTTCTGCGCTAAAAGGCGCAGGAGGGACTTGGACGTTTACATGATATTTCGTCGATGATTCGGGTTTGGATCCTAGGTAAAACTCTACTGACTGGCTCAGCAAGCAGAGAAACAGAGCTAAGTTCAATCTCAGAGGTGGTTGGATGGTCGTTCGACCGAGTAGCCCTTCTGCTAACCATCGTTTCAAGGTGGCTAAGAGAATGAGATCCAGGAACTGTGATGTATAAGCTACTGGGGTTGGTCAGGTCAAGAAGATTGTAAACAAAAGAGTAAGATAATGGTGGTGAAGCAGGAGGAAGGCAATTGTAGTATACATGGATGTCAAGACCAAACCTGGAGATTCAGGATAGGACTCCATTTCAAACCCCTTGATCTTCAAGCTCCCTCCTATCAAGTTTCATGACTTCCTTGTCAGTGGATAAACCTTCCATGACGTGCTAGCAAAGCTTTCCGGTCCACCCCAGAATCGGGGGGTTGTCGTCGGGGTCGGATGGATTCCTGTAATGGACCACCTGATTGTCTCCCTCCCTATGTCTTTCACAATGGGTATCCTTATATATATGTTTTCCTACTCCTTGATATACTCCGTGGGCATATTTAGGAGTAGATATATGCGCCATAGAGGTAGCGAGCTATCCTACTAGGTTGTAGGCAATCATCCGCAATACTGTTATGAGGTTTCTGCCATGAAGCTATTTCCAAATGTGGATGCCATATGGTCTTACAGGGGCCCAGCATTTCAGCGGTGAGCCGTCAACCTTCCAGTGGCGTAGCTGAAGCGCCACCCTGCATGGGGACCTCGTCAACAGGTTACACAGCATCGTATGCACTATATGTTCTCATCATCTGGTCCTTGCACCTTCTTCCCGTTTCACTGAGGACTGTATATAAGATTACACATTACATTATGAAGCTACATCGGTACAGTACTAGTAGGTCAAAGTGGATTTTATATCAAGTTTTATTCCAATACAACCATCATTACAATGCAGGTTAACTTGAGAAAGCGCTATGCGGACCACCGAATCTGGCAGTAAGTAGTGCTACTTTTAGTGGTCGCAATAGTGAGGGGTAGAGCCTGCCAAGGACTCTGGGAAATTACACTTGAACTTGACAAAAACAGGGTGAGTCAATCACTGAAGCAAGAGAAAGTACAACAACTTCCATGGCAACTGGCAAGTCTCAGGCTGGGGCGACTCTCTCATCAAGATAAGCGCAGCCTCCGTCTGTCTTCGGGTCTTTCAGATAGCTTAGGATCAAACTACAATCGAGTCCCTCCTTACTGAGCAAACTCGAGGCTAGTATCTGACAGGGGTGCTGGATAAATAGAAAATAGGCTAAATACTAGTATACCACCATGTCTAGCTTATATGCGTAGGTATGTACCCGGACTTTTCGGAGGCTGTGTAACCCCCTGGACTAAGGATATGGTACAAAGCTACCAATCCGCGTGTAAGCATTGTAAGGGGGCCCCTAGTACTTGCTTATTAGCGTAAGTAGAGGTGAGCATGCAATCCCAGCTCGTGACCCTACTTATTTCACAGGAAATTGGCCCATTGTTAGGGGAGTATTTATGTTCGTAGTTGGCTGTCCGGCGTCTTCGGAAACCTCGCCTTTTTATAAGTTACCAGACTTCAAACCCACTGGTTCATCACAACCGTTTTTCACAACGCTTGCTACCACAATAATCTCCAGAACAGCATGATGGAGGTTGCATCGGAGACTGCGCATCCCGCTGGGATAACCACGGACGTAACAGACGCAACTGAAGAGCAGCCTGCAACTGGATATATGCATGGATGGGCTCTTGCTTCGTTGACCCTGGCTTTTATGTCTATTTGCCTCGTGCTTGCCATTGATAATACCATTCTAGGTTCGTGCTTTTCATAATCTGGCGGACGGAGCGTCAGACCTAATTCTCATACTAAGCGACGGCGATACCCAATATCACCAGCGACTTCAAAAGCCTTAACGATATCGGCTGGTATGGCTCTTCTTACTTGATCGCGCAGATGGCACTGCTACCCACCTGCGGCCGCCTCTACGCATTCTATAATATCAAATGGGTGTACTGCATCTCGCTGGCTGTCTTCGAAATCGGCTCCATCATCGCGGCAGTGGCTCCAAATTCGATGACGCTTATCATAGGGCGAGCAATCTCTGGCCTCGGCGCTGCTGGTTTGGTGAGCGGGACGACGACTATCCTGTCATATTGCGTGTCTCTGAAAAAGCAGGCGATGCTGTCGCCTATCGTCCTGGGCATGTACAACATTGGATCTGCCATTGGACCACTCGTGGGCGGTTCGATAACCGATAACAAGGTGCTGACTTGGCGGTTTATTTTCTGGATCAATCTCCGTAAGTCTCTTTCGACGAAGAAGCCCATTTCCCTCTCCCATAACCATTAGCTAAAAATTTCAAGCTTTCGGAGCTGTTGGGCTGGTTCTGGTCTGGTTCACCTTAAAGAAACCTCCACCCGCAGTAAAAGGGGACCTACCCTGGAACCAGAAGCTACGTCAACTTGACCTTCCTGGGGCTACTCTGCTGCTCGGTGCAACCGTGTGTTTGAACTTGGCATTACAGTGGGGTGGCATCGTCTACCCATGGTCTGATGCCGAGGTGTTCGGCTGCCTGATCGGATTCAGTCTACTCCTGATTACCTTCTTGGGCTTGCAATTCCGAGGCAAAGAAAAGTTGGTTTCTTCTCTTTCGATTTAGCCCCTACTCACATAGGGGATACTTACCAAGCATGCTTGCTAACATCAATCCAAGCGCGAATATCCCTCTTCGCATCTTTCGAAGTCGTACCGTATCGGCATCATGCAGCTTCATGATGCTCGTTCAGGTGGCATAGTCGTGCAATCATACTTTTGGCCCATCTACTTCCAGTCGGTCAGGGGCACCAATGCCAGAGACTCCGGGATCAATCTGCTCCCATTGATCGTGTCGAACAGCCTCGGCACGCTCTGCGCGGGCTCTCTAGCGTCGAGATTCGGGCACTATGTGCCGTTCATGTGGGTCGGACCTCTCGTCTTGGCTACCGGAGGGGGTATATATCAACTAGTCCGTGTCGACAGTCCGCTCGGACAGTGGGTAGGGTTCCAAATCCTGTCAGGGCTTGGTTATGGCATCTGTAGCCAGATGCCGATCCTGGCTGTGCAGGTTGTCCTCCACAAGCCAGATATACCAACGGGCCTTGTCATGATCATGTTTTTCCAGATGCTTGGGGGTGCGCTGGCTCCTAGCGTTGGGCAGAACCTCTTCACTGATGCGCTTCTGAAAAATCTCAGCAAGGTGCAGGGAATTGATGGTGCAGCCGTAGTGGCGGCCGGCGCAAGTGGATTCAGGGAGATAGTTCCTCCCGAGCTGATGAATGCCGTCGTGGATGCGTTTAATTCTGCTTTAAGGAATGTGTTCTGGGTGGCGCTTGCTACGCCAGCCCTTGCTTGGATAACAAGCTGGGCAATGGAGTGGCGGCGATTGCATGACTCTAAGAGACAGGTTACCCGAACTCCAGCCGAGGATGCCGGGGAGAAATAGCTTGATAGCAATGAAGAATGGTGTGCCATGAGCCCGGCTTCGACAGTAAATATGCCCGGCTCGTCGCATCGTAATAAATAAAGTACAAATCCAAGCAAGACACAGCCGGCGATCCATCGGGAAAGAAAACGTGAAGCGCCCCAGACCTACGCCAACACTTAACGGGAAACCCGCAATGGGTGCTTGGGCAGATTTGGATGGAGGCGGCACTCTACGCCACGGCGGGCTGGCGCTTATGCCGGCGACCAGAATCGGATGATAGGTAGAGCTTCCGATTCGCTGCTGTGCGCTGACTGTGCATAGCGCTTTGGGCTATCAGGACTTCATATCCGGTGGGTTGTTAAAACCACCTACATAGCACTCGCATTGGGGCCTCCATTGGTTCATACGATGCCCATTCGCAAGTACTCTACAAGCCACTACATCATCGTTTGTAGATAGTGGTAAGGTAGGATGACATTGGTTGGCTCATCTGGCCGAGGTGTTACGGTGCACGCATAGTTAGGTAAGTTGGTATTATGTAACTAGAATAGGACGTCTATCAATCGGACTGTGAGCCAAGCGTCTGGTTTGGACCGTCGGTGGTAGGTTGAAGAGTATGCAGTACCTTCAGAAGTTCCGGATGCGTACCTACTGCCGAATCTACCACCACTTCGGCCTTATTTCATACCCTGTTTAGTTATACGGCTCATTCTTGCTAAAGTATAATTATTATCAACAACGTTGGCCTGAACAGAAGAGGGTGACAATGCAGAATGAGATATAGTTGCATATTTCTATATCTTGCCAACAACACTGAGACCCAACCACATCTTCTATACTCAGGCATGATGACTCAAGGCATGATTAACGTCCTAATTCTCAATATCCTTAGTGTCCGTTGTCCTAGTCAACCGATTGTCGTTGTTCATGGTCATCTAGACGTATACGTCCACGATGGGGCCAATACAATCCATGAGCAGAAACGCCCACACTTGCCGACCACAATAGGGGCACCGTTTGAGAAATTATCGGTATGTTGAAAGATGTCCGTTCCATCCAAGGCTATCCAAGCCATGTATGCGTAGCTGTTGATGAATGGGTGTGAGATAGAGTGACGATGTGTATGCAGCACGGGTGGGTGGGCTACTCACGTGATCCATGGCGCTGTGTACAACATTTGAGGCCAAGCCCAAACATATGCGAACGCCCGGATAGGGTGAGCGAGGCGCTCAACCATCTTGGTCGTTGTATATGGGTGTCTCCTAGAGGTAGAGAGCCAATTAAGCAAACCGGACAGCCCCGTGACGAAGCTCGTCACCGAGACGGGGGACTTCCTGCATCAATTTTCTGTAGCCAGGGAATACGAAGATGTACCCGAGAAACGTGCGAAAGTTTTCCCGGTCCTAACGAAGCTCTTGCCACACAAACCTGTAGTCCCAAGGAATGTTGGTGGTAACTTCGGCTTCGGGATATTCTGGATCGACACCTTCCATCCGCGGTCGAATACCAACCCCGTCAAAACGACATCGTCAGCGGTGTTCACGATCCTGCGTCCAATGACCTCCTGCGTGTATGCATCGGCAAAGCTCTGGTCCTGGAAGGGAGAAGGACGGATGAAGAGTGTCTGTGCCGACAGGCACCAGCAGCCTCCATCCGCAGCGCAGTGCACCTCCCGAGAGCCTTTTCACTGGTTCAAGTCAAACGTCGCAGTTGCTTCCCAGGGAGTAATGACTCGTGCATTTTGGTGATCGGGCGGGACCTCAGCGCTGATAGAAATGTGAGTCAGTCTTATGTTGTACCCAGGGTAGGCATTGAATCTGGCGCCTTTGACCTTTGTATACTGGCAACCGCGCCGACCTCGGCATCCTCAAACGGAGCCAAGAGGTAGGGGACAATGGTGCCGACGCGCCAGTGAACATCTTCATCCACGAAAGCGAAGATTTTCCCCCTTGCCGCTTTGACTTCTCAGACCCCTTTCGACACAAACTTTGACACGTAACCGCTTCCCTGTCAAATTCCCAGATCCGTCAGTGCCATCGTTAAGGCCGGCGCCGACAGTGTATTGACTACTGAAACACTTGGTTCAGGAAGAGCGGGGGGCACAAATTTTGGCCATTCTAAAGTGATGGTCCAGAGGAGGATGGTGATTGGCTACTAACCACGGCTATGTTATTCAACATCTCGTATTCATCACATGCGATAAGGGGCATGAGAGGTATAATCTGTCCCCACCAGCAAGTATAAGAAGTACCACAAACCCACGTCCGCGGGATTCAGACTTCGACACTCCCCTATTCACAAAAATGACCATTCATCTTCCTCTAGAAATCCATACCCAGATCTTCAAGATTTTGCTTGATGACCTGTATGATCCTAAACATCCTCAAGAGGCATTCAAGCTTCGCTTGATTTGCAAGTCAATACAAGGAATCCTTGACCCTGTCTTGTATAGAAACATTAAATCACCATCATACAATGGACTGCATATTCTTTGCCGCACGATAATACCACGGCCCCGACTTGCGGCATGCGTTGAGGAGATTCACCTGGAAGAAGACGAAGAGTCAGAATCTGACGAAGACGAGGAGGATGAAGAGGAAGAAGAAGAGGAGGAAGAGAATACGGATGCAGAATCTGATTCTGGTTCAGAATCGAGTGAATATTCAGACTCAAAGGTTCAACAAGCGCGTATGAGAGAAGAATCAAAGCTCCTAGCCGGAGCAGCAGACCATCTCAAATCCAGATTCACTGCTGATCCTTCACACGCTCTCGCCCTTGAGAAAAACGACCTCTCCTGGCTCGCGCGATCAACCCGGAACACCAGGAAATGGCTTCTGCTCTTCCAGCTCTCCAACCTCAAGTCTCTCACATTAGAGACCCACACCGACACATTCACCAATATGGCCATGTTTCTTCGTCTTCCCCGCCTAGAGGAGCTAAACTTTGCCGTGCTAGCCCCTGGCCCTGATGGCCCATCGTGCCACAACTATGCTCCACCCGAGGACATCCTAGAGAGCTTAATCCGCCACACTGACCAGCTGAAATCTCTCAGGTTCGAAGACATGAGCGGAACGGTCTTCTCCCCTGTTCAGCATGACGCACCTAAACTAAAGCGGATTCTTGAGCAGCACGCCGCGGACACACTTACATACCTCTCCGTCTGCCTCTGCAATAACGACGAGAAGGACTGGCGACAGGAGCAGGAGTTCAGCTACATTAGGGGACATTTCGGATCCATGAAGAAGTTCACGAGGTTGAAAGGGCTCATAATGCAGCTGGAGGTCTTGCTGGGCAAGCCCAATGAGAATGGTGGGCTGAGACTCAAGGACGTACTACCCTTAGAATTGGAGTATTTCACTGGATTAAATCTTCCCGATTACCATGGAGCGGATGATTCGGATAGAATATGGGACGAAGAGCAGTACATACCGCAATTTGAGGATCTGGCTGAAGTTATGATGCGAGATTGTCGAGCATTTCCCTTATTGGGATCCGTCAAGATGCATCTAGATCGGAAGGATTACTTTAGTTCTCATGGGGAATGTCTTATGAAAGGGCAGTATAATGACGGATTGCTGGGTGACTCGCAGATCTACTTTGGTTTCGTGCGTGGTCCGTATGCTTATGACGGGCCTGGACCGGATTAAGTTACTGAAGTTGGAAAGAGGTTTAGATTTGGAACCTTGCATAGACTATAATCCCTCATCTGGGATCAACAGGAGGGGATCACTGGTCTTTTGAACATGCGCACTCCCAACAGAGGGGTTTCTGTTGTAAATTAACACCGATTTTCATCACTGAGGAAAGATCAGCTGTGCACGTAGCCTAAAGACGACTGGACAGTGCCTCTTCTGAAAGTTTTGCCATTGAAAGGAAAATTGTGGTCCTCCACGCCAATATAATGCAGCTTTCGTCTTCTGCGCCAACATAGAATTTGTGCATTTACTACTTATTAAGTTATGAGCCGCTTGTTATTGATTCAAATACACGGCAAAAGCGAGGAACCTTGCTTAATACTAAGACGGGCAAAGTTTGAAAACTGTTCCAGTCTAGCAAGATATGCAGCGCTGATGTTTGTTCGGGTATATGCATAAGGCACACTGGTCAAGAATACACCTTTTCTGCTAATACTTTGCGATTTTGGCCATTTATCAGATCTAATTAGCATACTCCTGTGATAGGCATATACGTCCAAAGGCTAATTTGTTTAGGACTACTATTATCCACCCCCAAGTCAGGTTACTGGCAAGCGGAGACTTACTTTAAAGGATTGAGTTTGCTTGCTTTTTCTGTTCCTTATTTTAGTAAACTTTATCCTATAAGTTTAGAGTGAAGTGCAACCTAGGTTTATGTAAAGCAAAGCCAGAAACCGAAGAGAAAAGCTGAGTGATGGGGTAGATCTTCCGGGTGCTAATACCCTGCCACCACTTACATTATCCCTGGCGGAATTGAAATCATCAACATGAGAAGGAGAGTGGTCAATAGGGGAGCCGTAGGGGATATGTCCATAACAGAGCTTTTTTTACGTCTTTTGGATGGATGGATTCGTCCTTGGAATTGAACATACTTCAGGTAACCGTAGAAGATAAGTATAGGCCATGGCAAGTGCTGCAGCGTTTCATCAACTGCGCCCTTCAACGGTGGTCTGTGGCACAGCATGGGAGTTGCCTCATTGTCTGCTATTGTATAAAGCTCATTTACTAAGCGAATTTCTCATTGCTCGGCTGAATATTCACTGGATATCAATACAACTGTACTTCAAATTACCCGATTGACTCAAAGAACCGAACTCAACAATTCTGGCCGCCGGTCAAAGGCATTCCCCGAGGCCCAAAGTCCTGAAGTCCAGAGTCGACACTGTTGTCTGGGAAAATACCAATAGAGGCATACCCAAACGTAGCATGGTTGGCTTGATCATACATCTGGACGGACAGCACATTACCCTCATTCCACTGTGTGCCTGCAAAACACTCAACTTGCCTTTCAATTTGGCCAAATGCGTCGGCCCCATTGAAGGAAATGTCACCCGGATCGGCACCGGAGGCTTCCGAATCAAACCGACCCTCCATCAGGTGCTCACTAAGCCGCTCATGTTTGTAAAACTCATCACGCTTCGCCTGAGTCGCGTGGTGGGTGGGATGACCTGCATACGAGATGGTAAAGTGCACACCACTTTCACCCGTATCACGAGAAGTGAGCTCCATGGGACCATACTTGGGGTGGTTGAAGCGGAACATTGGCGCAAAGGGATGGACGCTCGAGCCACGACGGGCCAACTTGTGAGAATCAGGCGCGTACCCTACAAAGTCCACATTATCTGTTGACAAGCTGCGCAAAGCGTTGTGAACGAAGTGGTTGTGGGCTTTTTGTGAAGTCATATGCATTGCAGGCAGACTGTCCAGGTCCCGTGCGAATTCGTGCAGGTCAATCCGTTCGAGACCAGACTGCATCCAGGCGTTCGCGGCAACCCCCAAATATCCTTTGGACTGAGCGAACTTCTTGGCTGCGGACACCTCGCCGCCCACGCCAATAATGGTGCTGAGAAGTCCGGTGACGCAATAGAAGATATTATCAGGCTGACCCTCGTTTTGTGCGCAGGTCTTAATTGTACTTGCCAGGCCAGCACCTGTGAGAACAAGGTTGAAGGTATGCCATGCTAGCCCAATGGCCCAAGGGGCCACCAAAACAGTGGCCCCATCCGCCGTTGTCCTCACATCGACACTGGTGGTCACTGCTAGCTCGCGCAAGTGTGCCGCAGTGCCATTGTGGTTCAGATAGAGGCCCTTCCAGTGTTCCCGTGGGCCTGTGTCTAGGGCACTCCAGTTGAAGCTCTTCGGGGTCCATTTATCAACAACGGCAACGGCGCTAGTTGCAAGAGCAAGGGCAAGTATGGGAGACAGAGGCGTCCCAAAAAGACTGAGTCTGACCATTCTGTCAGGGGTTGTGAGACTGCGATAGATGAAAAGAGCTGTGATTTTTCTGATACTTGGGAAAATCCTTCCTCGAGGGAGGATGCCCAATTTATGTCTCGAGCCTGGATTCAACTGCCACTCTGATGACCCACGGCGAAGTCCTCTCTGCTTGCATTCTCAGGCGAAAACAGGAACTGAGCCCAGCGTGCGATTTCGCAGCCTTCAAAATGGCCAAACTGGGATATGCAGCCCGATGTAACGCTCGCGGGGCATAACTGCTTCTTGTCACAATAGCTCATCCGGTCAGGAAGACAGGCCCTGCGTCGACTGTTCTGAAGCCAATGGTATATCATGACGACCTGGAACGAAGTTCTCCAACTCCCCTGTTACTTCCGAACCTGGCGTGTAGACAGGAGTATGCCCGTATATTCTATCATAAGCGTCGGAACTGTTATGATCCATTTTGTTCTAATCACCGCCCCACATGAGCGACAATGTCAACCTGCCATGATCCTTGTGATGGAACCTTTCACATAAAACATGACCTCACAGATGACGATGCGAGTGTTGGGATCGGCGAGGCTGAAAGGAAAAGCAAAGATCATCAATTTAAAGCTGGAAGACATGATAATGGTCAACCTACTAGCGCATACAGTAAATGCATACTGAATAGATGGTGTGAATCAGGATATTTTCTTGGGCGCCTGCATGTAGTGTCTTTCCCAATGTACTGCGTTAGAAATGCAGTGTCCTGGCAATCGGAAGAGGAATACCCGCGCTTGTGGAGTCGGTATACCTTCCTTTACTGGCCCGCAGGCCAATATGGACTCTTTTTTTTGCTTGGTATAGCGGACTCAGTGCGAGCTATCTCCGGCATGAACTCTGTTTAGTCTGAGTGATCTTCGTGTAAATATGTACAATATCATGAGCCTCAACCAGCATACTGTAAAGATTAGATATGGCACCAGAGGTTATGAGATCTAACTGTGATGCCACCCATCACCAGAATCCCTTACTACGCGCTGTTTTGTTTTTCCCCCACTTGTCGATGGAGCAATGTCTCCGAATGTCTGCATAAATTAGCATCATGTATGTAACAGGTAGTGATCCATGCATGTTCAACACGTCTACACGGCTGACAAGATGATTGTTCAAGTGGGCCACTCGGCGCGAGCGACGAGATAGTTATATAACAGCTAGAACGCTTCGCAGCATCACCTTAGGCGTTGTTCAATTACTTAATACATCTACTTGACCAAACAGCTAAGGCCTAAGGCGGTTAGTATAGACGACCCACTCGCACAAGTTGGCAGTGTACTCCACAGAGACTTGAGCTGTTTGATAGACTAGGGCTGAATGATATAATGATATGGTCTCGGAATCGGAACTCGCCTATCCAGTGGAACCGGTAAGCCATGAGCACTGACACATTTCATAAAACTGAACGCCAAAGCGTGGATCAGTTGCGCCGTAGCTGATTAGGCTAGTATGTGATAGAAAGGTGGGTGGCACCAAGCTTGATAGTCGAGATCAGCAAACGTGGGCTGCGGTATTGGACAATAATACTCAGTCTTGATCTCCATTCAAATAGCCTTGTAAGGATGAACCGGCGAGACCTGTAGTTGAATGCATCCTAAAGAGACAGATGTCGTCATAGTACTCTAGTAGCCAGCAGGGCTCATTTACGTGAGCTGTGATAGGCTGATCTCATTGTACTAGAGTCCTGTGGGGAAATGAAATACCAATTTGATGCAACAAAACTGATGGGACATTATCAACCTTGGTTGCGGAGCCTTGTCTTGGGAAATCATTCACACCTTCAAACCCTGCTCTTCTTCCTAGCGACCATAACACAGAGGAATCATGGTGGAAAGGGAGAAACTTGTGGTCGAGGAATCCTCTGAGGCCACGCCATTGCTGCGAAAGGCGGCACCCATCATATCTGCGCAGGAATGCCGGCAACATAAACAACTGCTCCGATGTTTCTGGAGCTTGAAGCAGACGGTCTCAAAAGTGGAAGGTCTATTCAAGGCCGAATATGTCCACGAAATTAAAACTGAATCAGACCCGATAGCCCGACACTCCATGGTGGAGGAACGTCGATGGTCAATCTATGTCTCACGGGCTATCCATCGCTTTTCCGTCTGGTGGGCTCATTTACCAGCCCTGGGCCCGCCAGGGCTTGAATCAAGTCAAGTATCGGAAAAGCCGTACAGGCAGCATGGCGGATGGGCATGGACAAGGGATCAGATGCCTCCATTAGGTAGGCGATTTGCAACTTGCGATCGAAAGAAACTGACTGACTTGTTCGGCACAGATGTTCTGATGGTCCTCCATGCATTGATGCTACATCATAAAACCTTCGGGGAGGATTGTTTTCGACATCAAAAGACGGCACTATGGAACGAAGGATTCCCCCTTCAGCTGGCCTCACGATGTATCGATCAGGATAGCCTCACTTATTCGTGTCCCGAGACCTGCAGGTTACACTTCGAGAATGTGACAAAGCTGGCATGGGACAACCTTGGTGACTCAGAGGATCTTTCTATCGAATGCTTCCGATGTCAAGCACAAACCGTTGTGCCGTGGACGACACGGCGCGGAAAAGGCCTCGCAGATAATGGGTTTGTACAATTGTGCCAATCTTGCAAGTTTATCCTACGAAGAGATGCTCTTCTTGTTCAGAAGCTCCGTCGGGATCTTCACCTACTGTTGGAGAAAAATATTCCACTGCCCGGGACGTGCTGGAGTGTCAAGGACGGTGATGGCAACTTGATTCCCAACAATGCGGCAAATGAGCTCGTGAAACAGTTTTTAGGAAAATTGTTACTCGAGGAGACCCGCCCGACCAATCTTTTCCCAAGTATGACTCAGATAATCGAAGCCAGTATCGAGGCAGTTGGGAGTCAATCTCTACCCATGCTTCACGATATCTTTGAGCACTATCAATATGTGGGAAATTCTTCCTGTGATCTATATGCCGCTGTAATGAGGGTGTCAAAGGCGGCATCAACCATGCAGAATGTGGATTGGTCAGAGTCTCAATTAGACTTGTCATGGATCGAGACTCGATACGTTGATTTCCTGCGAGGACAAAGCAAGGGACTATCATCGCGGCGTCCTGCTGTCGCCAAAACGGATTTCATAGATCCTCCCATATTGCTGTGGAGCACGCATTTGCTGGCGCCGCGTTCTTACTGTGAATTTTTCCAGCGCTTTGGCAATGGCGTGCCAGTGAATTGGGAGCCTCCACACGGTCCTGCGACGTGCAACTTATGCCACACGATGTATCCTCCTTCATTCGCCCGTCGGTTTATTCGAGGCCTTGCTTCTCTATCAGAGTGGAAGGAATGGCTATCCACCGTGTAGGAAGTCCTAACTATCTCCGCTTGCAGTTGGCAGCCACTCTTCCAGGCAGTCATGTAGATAATTGAGCATCTACCATGAATGGCTTTAATCACAATCACTCATATATTAACATCACGCTAGCTAGGCGAGAAAGTTAGACGACTCGAATTAAATGTGGAGAGAATAAATGTCTCTGCATACCGAGGAACTATATATAATGCTCGATCGCGTATACCTATCTATGCTCTATAATTTGCATAGTTAGACATAAATTAATAAGACGAATAGAATAATACTTAGATTATATCTCTTAGATAACTTAGGAGTACTACCCTTGCTAGATGTTATTACTAGATGGGAGGTTGCTGGTAGGGGGCCGCTCTCTCAGGATAAACATGCAGCAGTCACATTCAACCCATGATCTTCCTGAAAGAAGAGAGAGAAACAAGCCAAGTCAATTGTTGCCATGCAGCCATGTCACCTCAGAACAGGCAGCTCTGAGCTGGGCACTGCAACCGACTCCTCGTCTGGATCTCTCAGCTACTTAAAGACAAGAAGCTGACGTCCCTAGAGAGCGGCATAAAGTTAGATCACTCGTTCTCTTTGCCTCTTTAGTCATTGGACGCAGCCATACCTAAGAAATAGTATGTTTGAAGGAAACCTCTGCACTCTCAGTGTGGCTGTAACAACAATCTTCGAGCGGCCGGATATTAGTCGCCCCCAGATACAAACCCTCATTACTCTTCCCTGTGACTAAATTAAACAGGTCCACAGAAGTGTAAGCATAGCTTTATGTAGGGTTCAGGATTTTCCTTCCGGTGGATCATCACCAAACAGGATGGATGAAGCGTTAATGACAGCGTCACTCTATTCCAGTCAGTCTCCCAGCGAACCCAGAGATGCTTCGCGTCGCTCTCCAACCTCTTGCTAGGCTGGATAAAATGAAATGCAATGGCACTCGAGGAAACATGTTATTTATTAATCCACCTTTACGGCTGGTTTTATTATTCCTTTTCGTCCAGAGAAAACCTATAAGACACCTTACCACTATAAAAGGAGATGCAGTGCAGGCAAACCCTACCTGTGGAGAATTAGGTATCTCAAATGACAGAACGAGTTATGAAGTAATAACGCTTAAGGATTCAGATGCTACTTGATCGGAAACTAACTATTCCTTACAGCTTCAAGTGGTCAGGAGCAGTTAGTTTAAAAGTAGGCACGAAACTATTTCTGCACCTATAGTACCTTTTAGACCCAGCTATTCTCTGACTGAGATCTACTGTGCCGACAGGAATATAGTCATCAATATGACACGCAATAGGCGCTTAGGGGTCGGACAGCGTAGCGAATATCACTCTTTCGGGGCAGGCATACTCCTTAACGCCGTCTTAATCTGTTATAGATGTCTTCAATCTCATTGCCCATCTGTTGTTCCACACGCTCATGTGCAAGTCCGTCATTGATCTGATCTCTTTTTGCTGAGTCCCCGCTAGTCCGCGCCAACTCTTCGGTAGCTAGTTCAACTGGGTTTGGTTAGGAATCACATGTCTGCAATCCATGTTTAGAATTCAGTCTCACCATGACAAAACACAGCCGCTGTCTTTCCGCTGGACATTGCGTGGGGAACGTTGGTGCTGTTGTCACTGTTGGCATCGCCAATGCCCCACACTCCTTTAACATTTGTACGCAGACCTCGAGCCGTCGTGTTCATTTTGTTTCCCAGGAAGTTTACACCCAACTGGCGCGGCAGCTCAGACGCCTGTGAGGTTGCGTAGTTTGTAATGAAAGCACCCCGTTCCTCGAAGGTTTCATCCGTGAAATAGACTCGGAACTTGTCGAACTCTTTACGAATAGCCTCATCCTGGACAATACTCCCGTTCTGCACGCGTGTGATATTCAGGATGGGCTTGTTGATGATGGTGATATTGTATGCCTTAAACACTCCTTCCCAGTTTTGATCCTTGCTGGCGATGCGTGTCAGTTGGGCTGTGTTGTTGGTACCGTTAGAATAGACTCGTATGTCCTTGTTGAGCGTCGGATACAGTTCTTTGACGCTATCGTAGGCATCCGATAGGTTACCGAGGACGCCAATTGGCTGGTCACGGTGCTCGAAGCCATCACACCACGGGCACCAGAAAATACCCTTGCCAAAGGCGTCACGGAGCCCGGGGACATTGGGAAGGTCATCCTTCAGTCCGCTCCCCAAGATAACCTTGCGCGCTGTAAAGGTTGTACCATTGGCCACGGTAGCACTGAAGCTGTTGTTGGTAAGCTGCATCTTTGTAACCTTTTGATCTACAAAGGTTGTCACGTTGTAAAAGGATATTTGCTTCCTTGCTGCAGCTCGGAAGGCGGCAGGCACAACATCTGAATAAGTGTGAACCACGGTTGTAGGCAAGCAGGATGTGGTAAGAAAGATACATACGGTCGTTTCCAATGACATCGTGCATATGCCTTGTGGGATTGTTTCGGTACTCTCCGGAATCGAACAATATGACTTTTCTCAGGACACGCGACAGTCCACTGGCTGCACTGAGGCCAGAAGGTCCACCCCCAATTACAATCACATCATACTGCGTCTGATTGGCCTGCCCTAAGCAGACAGTCAAGAAGGTAAATATGGCGAAAAGCACCCTGCAACCAAAGACAAACATTGTCATAGGCCGTGCATCAACCAGACACTGGTGGTTCCGGACAGTATCGAAGAGGAGCGAAAGCAAAAATGATGACAAAGAGAAGCAAGAAAAGACTGAGAAACGGAACAGATATGCCATACATATATTTTAGGAGTACCCTGTTTTGACGTCATTTACTTATCTTCAAACCAACAGTGGTGGAGCAGTATGCAACGAACGTTGCACTGCGAGGTTACAAATCGTAAAATGCAATGCAATTGAAAAATAGTAGCAAGCATATCTTGGCTGCGATTATTATAGTCATCCTAGCATAGGTGTGGCGGCAGAACCAAATCACAACGTCATAGACAGTTGGTGATGAGCTCTACGGACCAGCGTCACCAGCTGCAGTTCAAGTGGAGATACCCAGCTTGAAGGGCTTATGCGAGCCATCTCGCACCACTTCGCAGAGCAGGCATCTAATATCTCTGGGAGTCATTTACCCAGGGCCCAAAGCACTAAAGGCTATGAAAGGCACCTACCTCACTGGAGGATCGGCTTGCCACGGAAGGTTTCCAAGTTCTGCGGGGATTCCCGAATGGTTCACCAATCAAATGCCTATAAAGAAGCCACGGATGCTTCGCCTAAGCTTGTTTTACAATGGTTATATTTTTATTATAGTAACAGCTCTTATCCAGCGTAATTTAACGAGGCATATCAGTACTTGTTTAAAAAAAGCATATTGTGGTAATTTACAGGAAGTTTGGTTGTTAAAAATTCGGAATATCTAGAAGCCTTTTGATATAGTTCTGTGAATGCTAACCTGGCGCTGCAGAAGGTCTCTAAATCTGATATCAGTAAGGCAGGAAAAGAAAACAGTAGGATATAAATAAACAATGGATAGTGTATGGACTATATGGAGCAAGTTATAATGGTGGCTGGGTAAGGCCAATTGTCTTCGAATGGAACCAAGAGACTTGTGAGCATGAGTGGGACGGGCAAAAAGGTGACATATTCCTAGCCGAAGGGCCGAGTGAAGATTGTCAACTGGCAAGAAAAGAACAACGGAAGCTCTCGCAGACAACCGGACATAGGGTGTGATACGTGGTCCCAGGCCCACTTATGATACTCAGGTCAATGGGAGGATTGCATATGCCACTAAAGGCACAATGGATGACTCTTGGCTGCCCCTCCAGTTTGAGGAGAGTCCAGGGATTACTTACCAGGCGATGCCTGCACCTTCATAAAGGGGTGATTGGATATCTTTAAAATTGCCTAATATTCTAAATGGTTACTGTTTCTAGTTGTGCGTATGTTAAATACTGCTATATTTGAAGGAAGGTTATGGTCCATGCAGGGCTCAAACTTGATCTAGATTGCTAGTAATATTGGGTGATATGAGTTCGTCTAGTCCTATTACTTTCTTTTGCACCCAGAAAGGGCAAACCACTTATCAGCTAGATCTCTGCCCGGTCTCATCCTCAAAGGGTGATGCTATGATCTCTAGGTCTTATTAACTTTCCCGGAAAGGGCTGTAGTTAGTAATCCTGCTTCTTATTATAGTCCTAGCACTCTTCTAAGATATATTGCAATCGCAGTGGAATGTGTATATTCGAGTAATAAAGGTTTATTTACTAAGATGGTTTAGCCTCTACCATTAGAACTCGAGAGGGGTCTGCACGACCCTAGCCAACCATCCCACTATACCCCTAACTAACCTTTAGGGATACAGTTCAATCTGCACAGTGCTATCGATTTTGCCAGGACTCAGGCAAAGCCAGTGCTGATCACCCAGCTCACATCGTTGTTGAACGAGGAGGTGGCGTCGAACGTGTGAACACCGCCGTTGCTCGCGGCATAGAGAACGTTGTTGTAGTGGCGGAAATAGCGGGTGGGATAGTTCCAGGACCGAACCGAATTGCCCTGGCCGTTGAGGCCGGCTTGCGGACAGAACGTGGCATCTTCGTGGAACTGTTTCGTGCCGTCGTTGGTGCTGAGTTGGAGCACAAAGTCGTAGTGCCGTAGGAAGCTGCCGGGGGTGTCTTTGGACTCAAACGAGAAGCAGTCGCTATTGGCAAGGCCGGTGCGAACCGTCCAGCTGGCCTGCTGCTTGAGGGTGGTGGAGCTGGATGATGAGACGACCTGGGTGTTGACGGTAGAGCCGGAGTGTGCAATGTAGCGCGTTGTGTAGCCAGGTGTGGTGGCCCGCAGGGAGATCGAGGAACCGACAGTGAGCTCGGGGCCGCTGGTCAGCGATGCGGTGGCGTATTTGGCTGCTACAATGTTGGCCTGCACCGAGTTCTCGGTGGCGTCGGACGGATAGCCGGAGGTCATCACACCCTCATAGAATGTGCCCTGGGCGCCGTTGCTGTTGTCGCCGCCGATGCCAAGAATGATGGCACCTTCTTTGCTCATTGGATTGTAGCCAGACACGCTTGGGCGCGCACCATTGTAGAATGTCGATAGCGAGCCGGACGCAGCGTTGGCGCCGCGGATAGCCCACTGGTTTTCCTTCCCCTTGACAACAGCAGTGAGGAAGCGGTAGGAGATCGACGGGTCGCCAGAGTTGTTGTCAGGGCTGGAGCCAGAGAACAGGCCGTTCTCGAGATCGGCCATGATCCAAGGGCCGCTGCCGGAGCCAGTGCCCCAGATAGTGTTGTCACCAAAGTAGATGGCCTCCATGTGGCCATTGCCTGTATCGAGACTGCTGGTCTCAGCATTGCCATAGTCGAAGCAGCAGGCATCATTGTAATGAGTCCCATCAAGGACCGCGTACATGCCCTCAGGTGCGTCGCCTGTAGCTGTGCCGCTGACGGCGTTGTTGCGGTAGCCGGTGCCGGGCGAGATGAAGACACCATACGCCTTCTGACCGTTCAGCGTGACCGGTGCGCCAGTCGCGCTAGCCAGGTTGTCGTAGCCATTGGATTCCGGGCCACTGAAGCCACCGGGCGGAGCCTGGGTGAGGTGATTACCGCGGCCGGACTGGTCATAAATGATGGTGATGAGGCAGGTAGTGCCATCACAGAAGGAGTCTTGTGCGGCGGCATTCGCGACACCGCCGGCAGAACGAGGCGCAATGTCAGCTGTGGCACCATCGGAGCCGCGCTTTACCTGGTAGAGTGGGCCACTGTAGCTGCTATACAGGGCACGAGTGGTGCTGTGGGCGGCGACGCAGGGCGTGCCACCAGAGGAGTAGATGTCACATGGCCCAGCAACGACAAGTGAGCCTGTGGCAACCAAGCCAAGAGCAAACACGCTGGCACGTTCAATGCTTAGTTGTGGGAACATGTTTGGTCACTTTCAGTGGGGACAGCGGGATAAGCACGCCTGTGTGTCTTGGAAGCAGCAGTGAGGTGCTGAAACAGCCACTGAAGTAGAACAGGTATGTTGTAGGGTTGTAAGGCATGCAGTCTGTCTTTTATAATCTTCATCCAATCCAACAGGCCGTCCATTTCTTAGATTAAGAGACACATGCAGTAGTAGTGTGGCGTGAAATTTCCTCCAATAGTTATAGCTAGACTATACATTATGTACGTGATAGTATAACCTAGTGAATTTAGGTCTTCAGAGCTCGGTTAATATCAGAAGCAGATTTAGCATCAAATTAAGCGACAGTATTTCTAGATTGTATAATACTTCAAGGCAATTCTTATAGACAATCTCGGTCTAACTGATCTGGTATGAGAAGAAGCCTTCTGCTGAATAATGGCGGATTACGGAGTAGTGCAACGATCTTGCCGAAGCTTCTACCGAGTTTTCTTGCAAAGAGGATTATTGTAAGACAGACAGGTCACAGGTTACGGATCAAGTGGAACCAAAGACGGCTTGGAATTATCATTTTTGGTGTCTTCATAAAGCTTCGTAAAGCTTCAAATATCGTGTATGTGGGATGCGCAGAGGAATCTGCCGGCACTAGCCAAGGGGGTCAATTCTAGTTGCGGGGAAATTGATAATCAGACTTTTGGGCCCATGATGATTTAGCTAGATGGAATGTTTTGTTCCACCTCTGGCGCTCGCCAGAAGCAGCCTAATGCGTGTCACGAGGCCCTAATGGCTCCATTTCGACATGTTTATCTGGCCGTGTTGATTGTACCCCGCATAATGGTATGTGGCATTTGTAGGTATAATTCCATATATTATGCGGCTAGGACTAACCATGCAGTTTGTGCCACCGGGATTTTCCCAATTTTCCTCGACAGGAGAAATTAACCGAAGCTACTAACATAGTTGAACATTACGGACTACCCTTTTTTTGGACTGGAAGCTAGCCAGCACAGGAGGGCGTGTCTTGTCCATTTGCTTGGGGATGCGGGGCCCCGGATGAGAGGCAATCAGCCACCAAATTGCGATCTCCATTAGGTTATTTCAACAACGCATAGTGCCACCAATGAGAAATCGAAATTAGACTGAGCAAGAGAAGGGTATCTATGAGTTATCCGCACTATTAAACTTCAATTTTTATCGATCCGTAATCGGAGGATCTGTATCTCTTTCTGTTGTCTCATATCCGTATTCTGCAAGATTTGTTGCCCAGCTTTAATCTCTCGGATCTTTGGATAGGCTTTAGATATATATTCTGGTGGTGTTACTAAGGTGGGTGACCGTTTGGAGATTGTTGGTTAACAACCAGATCATCTGGCTTGTGATCCAAGGATTCTTATTATCTAACATAGTAGAATCCATCTGTAACTGCCTTGGCTTATGTTCATGACTCCTCGACCAGTCCTATGGGCTAATGCGAGCGTTGGTTGGAGGATTTTCAGGTCTAGGGTTGTTGTTAAACTTATGATCCCTTGCGGCTGGGCAACCGGGCCGTGTTTAGCTTCCGCGCGGGACACAACCAGAACCACAATTCAAATGATGAATGATATCAGTTTCCAACCCTTGGAGGTCTACGCAAATTGCTCAACAAAGTTGAAGCTCAGCATGGACCTACTGATCCATACACTGGTAATGGTCTATACGCAGACATAGGCACATGTACGAGGTATTTGATGTTATATCTAGAATTGTCTTGTATAATGAATAACATACAATCAAACCGGAACCATGAGTCATTATCCGGCTCAATATCGATGACCCTGAGAATCGGAATCTAGGGATGGACCTATGGGCTCGGCCAACTCCAAGCTAAGCCGGCATTGCCGATCTCATTCTTTAATTGGATCCGAATATAGTGCCATATAATGGTCACATTATTAAAGAGCCAGTGGTCAGCACTATGAAAACAAAATCACTAATGCCGTACTGGTTAGTGAGATGTGAGCATAATGTAGTTACTGGACTTGAGATATCCGTTTAAGAAGAATGCTATTCTTGTAGCTGTAATCTTGACCATACAATATGAGTCGGTACATAGTCAGACGCGAAGTCAATATGTCAAAACTCGCGTTCGATGTGCAGTAACAGCATATCTGTGTTTTGAGATGCTCCCCTACCTTTTAAGCTCCGAAGTCTGGACTTGAGTATCTGGACACTGTATTACACCTAGACTTTTAAATAGTGCAAAATACTACAGGTGCCGCAAGGATGACATTCGTAACGGGAGAGAATCGTCTGACCTAAAACTACTCGGTGTACCTCACCCAATAGAAAATCTCATTTTATTATTAATTGACAATCAGTTGGAAGCAGGGCAAAGGATGCGCAACCTAATATGAAACCTGTACTTATATACAAGCAGGTTAGCAATGTCTGGATGACCAAAGTCTATTATTCTTCAGAGGGAAATGTGTACTGCACACAGAGAAGCATCACCCAGTATCAGTAGACGAGCGAAGGGTATACAAGACAGATTCCAGAGAGTAATATAATCCTCTGCGCATATTACTCTCGTATTTTGAAAATAAAAACAGGTACAGACAGACAGTCCGGCTTAGAAACACCTGCGCACTCCAGTAGCTAGATGCTACTCTGCATTGACTATTGAGAGGCTGATATCATCCATGCGGTATACTACGCATAAGCTTACTATATATTTTTCTATTCTCCTGCATCTAGCACATACGACCATAGGGTGTGGAAAACAGGGCTTCCCGTCCGCTCAGCCGTACTTAAACCACACGCCGGCCGGTTAGTAGTTGGGTGGGTGACCACCAGTGAATCCTGGCTGTTGTATGTTTTTTTGATTTAACTAGACTTATTTCTCCTAGATGGACTAAATGAATGATTTATGCTGTATGATAAATCACCTATTGCATGGTCCCCTGTTATAAGGATTTTCTAACAGCACCTGGTTGTCCAATCTGCCTGCTGTAGTAACTTGGGCTGTATGTCAGTGGGGCGATGCGCCTCCTTTTTAATTTCTACTGCGACACATCTATACAGACATCTTACTCCCTATCAGGCTGGCAAGCAAGCGAGGAAGAATGGGCGGGAGAGGATCCTCTTCCACCACCGGTTGGATCTACGTGTGACGTTTTCCAGGGAGTGAAGCACAAAACCCTCACATTTTTATCACGACCTTACCCGTATGTCTGGCGGCATACAGATGATCAAAAGCAGCCTGTGAGTCTTTAAAAGAGAAAATCGCCTCGTCTAGAATAGGCTTCAACACAACTTGCTTTTCTGATAGGAAGTTGCACAGGTTTTGTTGATTGATCTTTGAGCCTACAGCAATCCCTCTGAACAGAATAGCAACGGTTAGCATTTGCAGCACAATGTGGACCGAGTATTGAAGGAGGGGGGTACCTTATGGTGGCACTTTTGAGCAGCACGGGGCCCATCATATCAAGGAAGCGATCCACGTTGAATCCTCCTAAGAACCCGACGAGGGAAACCGTACCTCTCCGAGCGAGGGACGAAAGACTCTGGGCTATGGTTATGGGCCCACATTTTCAACCACGACATCGACACCCCGTCCTTGATTGATTCCAGCAGATCGGCGTGCATCCGTTCCCGTTGCCGTCCCGTTCCGTGGCTCCACAGGAAATCTAATAACGAAGTACCGGCCATCGCCCACCCCAGTCGGCCTGCAACTACTTCCTCCAAGAGACTACTTCGCTTGTTCGGCTCTTGGGAACGTCAGGGAGAAGTACATAGTGCCAATCATCTTTAAAATAAAATGGTAAACGATGAGACCTACAGCCTGGAGGAGAAAAAGAAGACACCAAAAACATGAAGTGACGCTGTGAAGAACGCTATCTATAACAGCACCGCTAGCTTCCTGGAATCAGCTCCTGCACTGGCAACCGATTATTCTCAATATCATCTGCATTCAGAAAGTCGGTGCTCGAGATCCGATGCTTAGCTGCCGCGACATCAGGGACGATTCCCGAGGCGACATGGCGCTTCACGAGCCTGTCCCGAGCGATCTCCCGGTCCACTTCAACAAACCAGCATTCGTCCATGAGGGCAGCAGCCGAGCTCCACGGCTCGCGGTTGAGGTTGACGTAAAGACCCTCGAATATCACGACTTTGGATTCCGGCGCGATGCGAATGTCATCCGCCACGGGATCTTTCACCGCATGATCGAAACTGGGCGCGTACACGGTCGGCGAGTTCGCCGTCAGCGGCTCTCGCAGGCGCTGCACAAGCCGATAAAATCCTTCCGCGTCGAACGTGAAGGCGGCTCCCCGGCGATGGATGGCGGTGGCAGCGTCCGGCATCGCTGCGAGCTGCGCTCGGGACAGGTGATACCCATCCATCGGGATGCAGACAGCGAACTTGAACTCGCCGTCGGAGTTCGAGTTCTCCAATTCGTTCACTCGCTTGGCCACAGCCGCCGCAAGTGTGGTTTTCCCTGATCCGGGAATGCCGGACACCCCGATCAGAATTCGGTCGCTCGCATCTCTGCTTCGGCACAGCGCTGGGGGAATGGTTAGCACACGTCTGACTCTTCATTCTTGCTGTCTGCTCGCTCCATTCCCCCCCCTCCCCTCACCTTGAACCTTTCGCGCTAGACGCTCAACGTGTTCTGGGACTGCGGATGTTTGAACGGTCATCGTACCTATCCTTTTTCCCTTCTTTTTTCTTCGGAAGAATGCAGAGATAGTCAAGTATGTTCGTTTCAACGCGGATGTGTACTCCAAGAGGGTAAATATCTCTCCTTCGGCCTTTGCTCCAGCCACGGCATAGTAAGTCCCCGGAATTGGGCCGACAGGGTGGCTTACATGGGTGGCCTGGGGAAACAAGAAAGCTGGGCCATGTAGAACTCTACACCACCGACTACCCGGCGGCTTGACGGCCCGACGTCTTCCACATTCGTCTCGCGGGTGCCAATCTGTCTGTGTCAGAGAGAAAACAAAAATTGAATAGTTTAATACCAAAGACTCTTTCCACCGGAAAGCGGTCCGCAGTCCGACTGCGACTGCTCCAACCCTCCATCGCGCTGGAAACTTGAAGGTTCACTGGTAAAGCCTTCCAACCTTGGCAAATCCGGAGAGAATCCGGGGAACCTCTTTCATGGCGAAGCTCTGACAGGGCTCTCCGACTGGGTCTCGGGAGGTTGAGAACGATTATGAGATTCCACATCTCTCGTCCTCATCTTCTCGCCGTCCAGCAAGCCTTTCGTCCTTTTCTCTCTGGTAGGTAGACTAGCAGGTAATTAGCATCATCGTCATTAGAGTCTTTTCTTTCCCTTTTCTCTTTTTCGTTTTCTTCCCGTCCCTGAGCTTCACACAACCAGGTCGAGTTCTGGGGAAGTGGCTTGCGACGGAGTAAGCTTGGTACGGAGTTCCCAGTTCTATCCAATTCCAAACCTAGGGGGTTCCCCACGATTTCAGTATATAGGAGGAACAGCGGGAAAAGCTCTTCTTATTGGCCGGTCAAGATGGGTAGGCGCCAAATGGTCAAGCGGCAGACGGCCCGCCGTAGCCTTGCCACCAGACCACAGCGGGCCGCCGTCCCGATGAGAACTTTCTGGGGAAATGTAAAAAGTTTACCCCAGAATCCATCTGAGCAAGTCTCCCCACTCGGCCGATGTCCATGCATGCATACGTCTTAAACATTCCCTGTGTATTTGAATGGGCTGTGCCCTCCTTGGGCAGCGTCTATCATCTCATATTCACTGTGAATCAAAGTTCTTTCACTCCAAAATGGCAGACGTTGGCAAAGCGCGAAGCAATCGTCAAGATGATGGGGTTGATTATCAAGTACCCCACGTCTCGGTCTGGAAGGCTCGTCACCTGTGGAAGGCCAGCTTTTGTGTTGTCGGGTTGACGCTGTTCTGTATGTCCAAACCCTTTGCCATCTATCTCATGGACTGCGAACACTGACCTCAACGGCTTAACCTCGATAGCATCTGCCAATGGTTACGACGGCTCGTTACTCAACGGCCTTCAGGCTTTGGACACGTGGCAGTCGTTCATGAACTATCCTACCGGGGCATGGTTGGGCTTCATCAATGCGATCTACTGGGTCGGAACCTTTATCGGCAGCCTGGTCGCTGCCTGGGTATCCAACAAATTCGGTCGCCGCGGAGGAATCTGGTTGGGCATTGGCCTCCTGTCCGTCGGGACTGCGGTGCAAGCTGCGGCTCCGACGGACAGTGCTTTCATCGTTGCGCGGCTGATCGTGGGCATGAGCAGCGGCTTCCTGAACAATGCCGCTCCCTTGCTGTTGAATGAACTGGCTTACCCCACCCATCGGCCGGTGGCCAACGCGCTTTTCATGTGTGGCTACTACCTGGGCGCGTTGATCGCCGCATGGGTGACCTTCGGCACTCGCGTGTTGGACTCCTCGTGGGCCTGGCGCATTCCATCCATCGCCCAACTCGTGTGCCCCGTGCTGGCCCTTCCCGCCCTGTTTCTCGTCCCGGAGAGCCCTCGCTGGCTTGTGTCGGCGAACCGACTCCCCGAGGCCCGCGCCGCCCTGGCGGATCTGCATGCCTCCGGCGATACCAACTCGCCGGTGGTCAACCACCAAATGATCGACATTCAAAATACCCTGGCGATGGAAGAGGAGCACGCCCAAGCGACTGGATACGCGGAGATGATCGCGACCCCCGGGAACCGCCATCGTCTCTTCATCACCATCTCCGTGGGCTTTTACGCGCAGTGGGTCGGCAACGTGGTGGTGTCCTACTATCTCGCTCTGGTGTTGAAGGGGGTCGGGATCACCGAGACCCGCGACCAACTTCTCATCTCGGGCTGTCTTCAGATTTGGAACTTGATTTTCGCCACCATCGGTGCCACCCTCGTCGAGAAAGCCGGTCGTCGGGTCTTGTTCTTACTCTCGGGTGCCATCATGCTCGTCAGCTATGTCACCATTGCCGGTCTTTCCGGAGGATTCTACACCACCCATACCAAGGCGATTGGCACCGCGGTGGTCCCGTTTCTCTTCATTTACTTCGCGGGCTATGATATTGCCCTGTGAGTTGTTACCAACACTCTTTTTATACCCTTCCCGACTTGTGGCTAACAAATTCCCAAAACCACAGGACACCGCTGCTGACGGCCTATCCCTGCGAGGTGTGGCCGTTCCGTCTCCGCTCCCGCGGTCTGAGCGTTGCCTGGGTGTCGGTGGTTTTCGGCAACATGTTCAACACCTTTGTGAACCCCATTGCTCTGGACGCGATTGGGTGGAAGTATTACTTTGTGTTCGTGGCCGTTCTCGTTGCCTACGAGTTCACCGTGTACTTCTACTACCCGGAGACCCGTGGATACTCACTGGAAGAGATGGCGGTCATCTTCGACAAAGAGGCCGCCGAGGCTCACGGGTCCATGCGTGACAGGGATGAGAAGAACGGGAGTACGGAGCTGGTGGAGCGTGTTTGACGGAATGACTGGATCTGGATCAGAGTGAAGATTCATGTGCTGTTGTTGATGTGATGTAGATGGGAAATATTCAACCTTTATACGACGTTCAATGCCAGGATTTCTTTCCTCTCCGAAAGGAACGCTTGTCTTTATTTTACTATGGTAGGTATCACCTCGCAATAAGCGATATACAGGTAGAGTATACGTATCAATTGCGGAAAACGAACTTAGGGCCTCGTCACCCAGTGTCCTCAACATCAAGAGTTTTCGTCTTACTTGTTTCCTGCTCCCGATATCCAGCTCGTGGAAAGTCCTTACTTCTTCCCCACTTGATTGAACACTTGAGCCCACAACGCAATTGTAAAAGGGGTAACAATGGAAAACTTGTCCATGGCCGGGAGGGAAGCATTTCATTCCTGATTTTATACATGTTCAACTAAATGGTATATATAGTCTTTTTCAGAGTCTGTAAGGGGTACTGTTGCACGCATGTTGCTTTTAACAATAATACGTTAGATCCGGGATAACCAACTGGCAGATGTCTAGAGTCTGAACCCAATATCACCACGAGCAGTGTCCGCCATCCACGCGCAAGTCGGCACCCGTCATGAAGCTGCTTCCGTCGCCCAGCATGTACAGCACCGGAGCCCGGAACTCGTCCACGGTGCTCAGTCGGAACAGCATGTTGTCGCCGACCCATTGGCTCTCCATGCCCGGCTTCTGGAGGGCCTCTGCCGTGGCGGCCGTGCGGATATAACCCGGCGAGAGCGTGTTGACCCGAATCAGGGGCATTCCCTTTCGGGACCCCCATTCCGCGGCCAACGAGCGAGCAAGTTGGTGGACGGCCGCCTTGGACGCGTTGTAACCAGCTGTGTCGACACCCTAGAATAGTATAGAATATGTTAGTTATAATAATCAATTAGTCTAATACAATACAGATGAGATGAGGCTCAATCAATCACGTAAATGCATAATTGCATACCTTGTTCGACACGTATCCACTCATGCTCGCAACCAACACCATGCTGCCAGCCGTATTGGTTCTCGCCATCTCGTTCGCCGTCGCCTGTGCGATCAGGAACGTGCCGGTGACGTTGATGTCCAACACGCGCCGGAAGCTCGAAGCCGGGAACTCGGTGGCCGGTCCGTTGCGAGACAATCCGGCGCACGCAACCAGGCCCTTGACCGGATACCGCAGCGTCGGGCAAAAGGTGGCAAAGGTCTCTCGCACGGCGTTTTCGTCGGTGACGTCTAGAGAGTAGTATGAGAGCCGGCCGTGGTACTTGCGGGCGGCGTTTTCGACGTCGCCTATTTTGCTTGCCAAGTCAGTCAGCATCCTGCTCGAATGTCGATATGGATAGGTAGGTAAGGGGAGAACAGAACTAACTGACCCCAGTTCGAGGCGGTGGGGGTGGCAGCGAGGTCCAGGCAAACAACATCACCGCCGCTCTCGAGAACGGCGATGGCGAGGGTGGTTCCCAAAAACCCAGTGGCACCGGTGACTGCATGAGCTCATTTGTCAATTATGATATGATTTCAGTGGCTGCGAAGGAGGTTGGGTGAGGCAATTTTACTTATGACGGTGCGGTTGTCGAGACGAAAGAGGTCGGACACGGGGCGGGACGCATCGCCTTGCGACGGCTTCGCCTCCCGAAACTCGAGGGCATGAACGTTGCAGTCGCTCTTGGAGCTCATGGTGTACGCTATAGGTATATGTGGTCACGGTCTCGGTCTCAGTCTCAGTCTCGGTCTCGTGAGGAAGAAAGAATGTGACAAGCGATGAAGAATAAGCCTCCCATATATACACAAATCGATCCCACCGCGGAGATTGCCACGCACATTGGCTCTTGTCAAGCCGCATGCATAGGTTCCCGTAGACCTGGCGGCAAGGCGGCCCGCTCATACAAACATTGCATCCTGGGCAAATGGAGATATGTGGGGAAACTCGCGTCTGGACTCGGTTCCCGGGAGTGGACCAGGGCCCGAGACATGGTAAACACGGCCCGCCTGGTCTATGTATGCCAAGATGAGGCAAAATCAATGGGCAGGTGTTGTTGAACTCTCTCGACCACTCGACCAAAAGGAAATCTCCAGTTTGGTCACCCCGGATCTCACAGATGTCAAAGTGTCCCAGGGGAGAGTGAACAGAGTATCAGCTCCAAGTGCGAAAGAACTGGTCTATTTTTTTTTCTTCTTTCTTAGAATCATTTCAATTTGTTATGAAATAGATTTGATTTGATTTAATTTCAATTTTTCCTTTTCCCCGTTCTTCTTTTCTGGATACCTATTACCTACATCATAAAACCTGCGCAAACGCACGTCTAATAGGAGACAAGACAGTAGCCCCCTCGTAGAAAGAGACCGTCGCGACCGCGCGCTTCGCCACACCCTCCGGCGTGAGTTCGAACATCCGGAAGAGCTCCTCGGCAGGCCCCGAAGCACCGAACCGGTTGATGCCGAATTGCTGGTGCGCGTACCGGTCCCAGCCCATGGTGGATGCGGCCTCGACCGAGAGGATCGGGACTCCATCCGGCAACACCTGGAGTCGGTACGATTCCTCCTGCGCATCAAAGGCTTCGAAGCACGGGATCGACACGACGCGGGCCGCAAGGCTTTTTTGCTGCTTCTCCAGCTCCGCGGCGGCTTGGAGGCACAGACTGACCTCCGATCCCGTCGAAACGAGCGTGATAACCGCCTGTGAGTTTTCCAGCACCACGTATCCTCCCTTCAGAGCCTTCGCGATCGACGATCCCGGCAGCTGAGGCAGGTTTTGCCGCGTGAGAGCGAGAATACTCGGCGTCTCCTTGCACCCCAGCGCTGCCAGGTAAGCAGCACTGGTCTCGTTGCCGTCGGCGGGGCGCCAGACCATGCAGTTGGGGAGAGCTCGGAAATGGGCGAGCGCTTCGATCGGCTGGTGCGTCGGCCCATCCTGGCCAAGCGCGATCGAGTCATGGGTGGCAATGTGAATCACGCGGAGGCGGCTCAATGCAGCCAGGCGGATGGCGCCGGCAGCGTACGAGGTGAAGTTGAGGAACCCGCCGCCGAGAGGGATGATCAAGCCATATGCCGCGAGGCCGTTCATGATCGCGGCCATGGCGTGCTCGCGAACGCCGTAGCGGAGATACCGACCAGACCAGTCGCCAATCCCATACTCGGGAGGCTGGAAATCAACCGCATCCTTCCAGCGCGTGTTGTTGGAACTCGTCAGGTCGGCCGAACCAGACAGCAACTCAGGCACGAGCTTGTGGATTTTCTCAAGGACGGTCTCGGACAGTTTTCGTGACGCGATGGCACCGTCCTCGACCGTATACGAAGGGAGGCCATTCTCCCATCCTTCGGCAAGCTTGCCTTCCATTCGGCGAGTCAGCTCGGCGTGTTCCGCCGGATATGCTTCGGCGTATCTCGCGAGTGTCGCGTTCCATTCCTGCTCTCGGGCCACACCCTCGTCCGCATGTTGACGATAGAGGTCGTAAACCTGCTGCGGGATCACGAATTTCTGGGCAGGATCAAAGCCGAATCGCTTCTTGACCTGTTCCACGTCATCCTTCGTGAGGGGATTCCCGTGAACGCCAGCTGTGCCTTGAAGCTTCGAGCCAAACCCAATGGTGGTCGCCACCTTGATCACCGAGGGCTTATCCGTGACGTCGAGACACTTCTGGATCGCTGCTTCGATTGCATCCAGATTGGTATCACCGTCCGGCACGACTTCCACGTGCCAGCCATAGGATTCGAACCGCTTCCGAACGTCTTCGGTGAAGGTACACTTGATATCTCCATCTGTCGGAGGGAGATTAGCCAATAGTCAATGGCCACCAAAACGGTTCCGTGACAAGATAGACGGTGTATGTACTTACCGATGGAGATTTTATTGTCATCGTAAAGGCAGACCAGGTTGCCAAGCTTCAAGTGGCCTGCAAGCGAAGCTGCTTCACTGGCGATACCTTCCATGGCACAGCCATCGCCGAAGAAGCAGAATGTGCGATTGTTGATCAGGTTATATCCAGGCTTGTTGAAGACGCCGGCAAGGTGAGCTTGCGCAATCGCGAGACCCACGGCGTTCGCAAAGCCTTGGCCCAAAGGGCCCGTCGTCACTTCGATGCCGGGAGTTTCATGAGACTCCGGGTGGCCAGGGGTGATGCTGTGTAGTTGCTGGGTGGAGAAGTTATTTTGTCAGCATCATTTTTTTCATGGCTTAGTTTCCCCGGGGAAGAAGACTATACCCTGAAGTTCCTCAAATCGGCCATGCTCAGGTTATACCCAAACAAATGGAGGAGAGCGTATTGAAGCATGCATGCATGGCCGTTACTGAACATGTGATGTGATGTCAATCAGAACCATTCCGTTACACAGCAGAGGGGAATAGATGAACCTACGAGAGAACAAAGCGATCACGGTTCACCCAGTGCGGATTTTTGGGGTTGAAGGACATGAACCGGTTGAAGAGAACGTGGGCCGCAGGTGCCATGCCCATTGGGGCTCCCGGGTGACCTGACTTGGCATGAAAGGTCGCATCGACCTACAGAAAGTGTAAGGGGCAATTCTGACGACATAACATTGGAGATGAAGGAGAGAGGATATCAGTGTCGATATACGTACCGCTAGGGTGCGGATCGTGTTGATCGCGAGCCAGTCCTTCTCGGAATAACCCATATTGGAATGCTGATGAGGGCTGATGAAATCCTGACAAGTGGGCAAGGTCTGCAAGTCGGTCGCGGTTTTGTTTATATCGTCAAGTTGGTGCAAATTTTAACATTCTATTCGGGGATTGATGATCTGGCAACCTTTCTCGTCAGCTGTGGATAACTCCGTCCAAACACACCGGGACGCAGTCGAATCGAGCTTCCCGAAAAGGATAAAAGTTGATGGCGGCGGACGCGGCCCGACTCGATCGGGATTCGAGATGACGGGCGGAGATGACGGGCGGAGATAACCCCGGGCGGAACCCCAGTGGGCACGGCGGACGTTTCACGCAAGGCTTCACTTGTGGCGGGCCGCTTTCCGCTTGGTGCCCCGCATAGACCCCAGCGGAGAGCTCAACATGTCACTACAGTCCATTGTCATCCTCCCTCTTTCTCTTTTCGCAATAGAACAGACCGAGGGGCCCATTCGTGGCCAGGGTTTCAAGGGATCCGAAGGCTGGACGCAAACAATGATATAAAGGGGCGAAGTCAAGCAAGATGCATTGTCGATTCTTACCTGCTTCTCTATCTTTCGTGAAATTTGACTCCCCTCCAACATGACGAATGCTCCGCTGAGACCCCTCGAGGGTAAACTGGCCATTGTCACTGGCGCCTCCCGCGGTGAGTAGCCCAGATATCTCTCCGTTTCAATTGAAAACATCGCTAACAGCTTTTCGGCGGAAACACAGGGATCGGTGCCTCGATTGCCCGCCATCTCGGTGCCAAGGGAGCCTCCATCATCGCCGTGTACACCTCCAACTCCTCGACCAAACTTGCCGAGGACTTGTGCTCGGAACTTGCCTCCCAACACGGTGTCAAGGCCATCCCCGTCCAGGCCGACTTGAGCAAACCCGAGACCGCCACATCGGCAGTCATTCAGGCTGCCAAGGACCACTTCAGCACGGACGGCCAGCCGACGATCAACATTCTCATCAACAACGCCGGCGTGGGAGGCGACTACCCGCTCGAGACGGTCCCGGTCGACGAATTCCACCGCATCTATAGCGTGAACGTGCTGGCCCCCATCCTGATCACCCAGGCCGTTCTTCCGTACTTGCCCCACGACCGTTCCGGCCGGATCATCAACATCTCATCCGTTGCCTCTTCCATGGGCTTCGCCACCCACACGCTTTACGGCGGTACCAAGGCCGCCCTGGAGGCGATGACCCGCACCTGGGCTCGCGAACTGGCTGAGCGCGCGACTGTCAATGCGGTCAACCCGGGCCCCGTCGAGGGAGACATGTACTTCGCTGCCGGTGAGAAGTTCTGGAAGCAGATGGAGCCCTTCCAGCTAAACTGCCCCCTGTCCGCCGTCCGGGAGGGCGTGGACAGCCCTTCGCTGGTCAAGCTTGCCCAGGAGAAAATGGGTGGCCGCCGACCCGCGTACTGGTCCGAGGTCGCAGGCGTCGTCGGGATGCTGTGCACCGAGGACTCGGCCTGGTGCACGGGCAGCGTGGTCTGCGCCAACGGTGGTTTCCGGTTCACGACTTGAATCGGTGATAGCAGGTTAATATTTACGGAGCCAGCGTAGCGAGTGTAGCAAATGTATATAGGTCGAAGTTGGTATAAAAGCCTCGCTCATTGGCCGATTGGCTGGAATCACTCCTCACGTGACGGCCTAACCCTTTACGTTTACGTTGCTGAACAGGGTTAGGTCTTGGTAACTCACACGTATTGTAATTTACTGATGCTCTTACTGATGCTCCACCTTTTGCTCCCATCTCCAGTGATTGATTCTCCACATTCCTTGCCTCCTGATCAACATCAAGTAGTCGCTTATTAAGCTTTAATCCAGATCAGCTACCCTTACGTTGGCGGGGACGTCAGTAACGGACTCGCACCAGGCGTTTTTCGACTTGTAGCCTTGCAGGATACGCATGTCGGGTGACACTGACCAACGCACGACTCGCCAGCGGGCGACAGTCGCGTGCAGCTTCTGCCGTCAACGGTAAACTCCTTCGAATCCTTCCGGCCGATTGCCCCGTAGTGATCTCCGCGTCTCCGACTAACTTCCATTCGGTTCAGAAAACGGCGTTGCAACGGGCAGAGACCTGTGTGCTCCAACTGCGCGGCAGCCCATGTGGAATGTCACTATATCGAAGTGGAACAACGCAGGTAGTTGCTCCCTGCCCCCTCTTCCCCCAGCGACGAGGCTCACGTGCTTCACCAGGTTTGATGTTGAAACCTCATTGTCGGCTATCGGGGAGCGCTTGGATCGGCTCGAGACGACCCTCAGAGAGCATGCCGATGCGCTGAACCAGCTCAGTTCGAGGTCGGCTGCGGTGTCGACGCCAGTCTCGCATGTCTCGCAGCCCGCCAATGCCTCATCCGTCGATCCCCCAAGAGGATCACCCCACGGGTCTGGGTTCTCATATACGGCGACTCCCAACGGAAGGTCAAATGTGGCAACGGACACCAGCCCCGATGTTGCTCTCCCTCCGATGACCATTCCACTATGGCATTCCACGACCACGGGGTCCCTCTTATCCTGCCCACAGGTGAAATCGCTACTCGGCGATTACCCCAGTGATGTCTTTCTGCGCATTGAAGAGCGACGAACCCTCCCCCCTGGTTTAAAATTACCATGCTTGCCCGGGACCCGCCCCGAAATGCCGACGCTGGATCGCACCGTCACCGATGCCTTGATGGAATATTATTTCCAATCGGTGAATATGCAACATCCAATCCTCGACTACGATGACATTCTGCCGCAATATCACGCCATGGCCGCGGACGCTTTACAGCCGTCGCTGGAATCGGCTTTGATCCTGCTGATGCTGGCTTTGGCGGAGGCGGCGCGAACAGAACCCTCCGAAAGACTCGAGGCGGACTGGTCACCGGGAGGGGCCTACTTCCTTCCAGCTCTGGGTATCTCCCTGGACGCGTACCTGAACACCCCAAACACCGCCACCCACCTTCCGCAATGTCTCTACCTTGCCGCACTGTACTATAGTTATCTTGCGCGGCCGCTGGATTCCTGGAAACTTGTACATCTTGCATCAACCAGCTTCCAGCGTCAGTGGATAAGGTGAGTTTCGGGCCCCGAGGTTCGAGTGAATCGAGTCCGGTTTACTGACCATGAGGACCACTAGATCCAAACCATGGCTGGAGATGAATGAAGTGCATTATCAATCATTGATCCGATTATGCTGGGCTATTTTCGCCTTGGAATGGTAAAATGTGCACCTTGTTACTTCTTTCCAGAGAGTACTGACAGGCTGTAGCGACCTTATCGCGGAGCATCACTTGCCACGGAGTGGCGTGGAAACCATCGTCGACAGTCTCCCGCTCCCGCTCTGTGGAGATCCGCCGGACTCGTCCCTGCTCGCATGGCTCGCTGAACTGTCGTCCCGCCGGTTATTGAACCGTGTCCACCACGTCATGTATGCAGGTGACCAGGAGTCTTTGTGGCAAGCAAACTATATCAGCAGTCAAACGGGCGTCAACGACGAAGATGCCGTCAAACGGCTTTTGCATTCCACCTTGACGATATCGGTGGAGCTGGACGGACAACTGAACAATTGGTACAACTTGATTCCGCAAACCATCAAGCCCGACTTGGCCCAGGTCCCTACTGAGGTCCAGGACGCTGTGATGGTTCTTCGATACCATTCGGCGAAAGACATCATCTTTCGTCCGTTCGTGCTATTTGCCTGCAGCCTTCCCGCCACGTTACGACCCCCACCGTTTCTGATGGACATATGCCAGACCGCAATCTATAGCTGTCGGCAATATATCCTGGCCGCGGCAATGCGGCTGCACCAGCCATCGGCATCGACCGAGATTGTGATTCACTCGTAAGCATACTCCCTCCCGTCCTCCCCTTTCCTGGACCCATTCCATTCGTTCACCTCGAGGACGGACTTACCATCATGGAAATAGTATTTTTGCATCCACGGTTATTGTCACCATCGCCGCTCTCAATCCGTGGCTGAGCCAGTATGTGTCAGATCTGGACGCTCTCCAAACACTTGCCATCTCGACAATCCAGCGTTGGGCATTCGATGGTTCATGCATGCAAGCCATGGCAATGATGCTCGGTGCTATTCAAGGCAAGACGAAGATGTTACGGGTAGGCCTTGACCAATTGCATCAATGACCTTGAATACACCAAAACCGAGTCCGCTGTCTCCCATGAGGAAGAGAGAGATATCATATATACACATATACAACATACATATTGGGAATATTGGGGATAGACGAGGATGGGCCAGATATTATTTTGACACTCCAGTTGACCCAATTCTGGCGCTGATATTGGCCTTGATTGTTTTGGAGCAAATATCAATGACGATGTGATCGGGTATTCCCGTGGGATCTTGGGGCCTTTGCCGAGCTTCCACCGGCCTCCCACTCACATCTGCTTTAATGTCTCTATTTGGACTATGTCATAATCATAGCATAGTTACTAGTCATGCCGTCCCGGTGGGATGCCGGTGGGAGACCAGCGGGAGGCCGGCCCGCTGTACGCCGTGGTTCATGTTCGCTTTCCTCATGATTATTTCATCGCGTCGTCCTTAGGTCATGCGCTATACTGAAATCCTAGCTTCCAATTGGCCATATGATTCTAAGTCAGCACCTTGATTTATATCCCCAAAAAGGAACAACGCAGCGGTCTCACTTATGTCTTTGTAAATTCTCTCTTGCAAAGCAACAAATTTCGCTTAACTGGGTTGCACCGGCTTCAGGCAGCTCTCGTGATGTTCCCAGAAGTGGGCAGTGACATAGACCGGTTGTTCCTGTAGTGTTGTGTATGTGTCCTAAATGGCAGCACTTAGTAAAAGTTGGATTAAAAGGCTCAGGTCGCCTCTGAACATACAGCAAATCATACAGTGATTTTCTGGACTACACATAATTGTCTTCCATTCTTTGCCCCTGGGCAATTGACTTGAACCGCCCCTGCCTGTGGGGCCGTGGACTGAGTTTTCGTCTATCCTCCCTGATCTCTACTGGAGTTTCGTTCCGCACGGGTCAAGTGATTCAGCTCCATTCGGACACTGTTCAATAGTCCTGATAGTCCTGGAAGGCCATCTCACTTGCACAGTTTGACGACTTGCAGCGGGACAAGCTAACCATAGGAGACGACCTTGATCTCAAACTGGTAACGCATCTATTCACTATACTGATACTCGTGTGTGCTAGTCCTACATAGATTTAGCCACGCGGGACTGAGTCCCTTTCACTTCTTGGTGTATCATTCATTGAAATTAGAATATACTGGCATAATATTAGACGCCGGTTGATGCTTAATAATGTGCGCGCGAAAATTGCCTAGGCTTAATAGTATCCAATATGATTTGAATTGGAACACCATTTCAGTTTCTTCAGTTTCTATCTATGCAGAATGACCCTCCTCTGCACTAGGCGGCTCGCATGTCGAGAGGACCTCATTCATATGCGTCCACCAAAAACCTGTCAGGAAATCAGGTAAGACTAGAGACTGCTCTTTGTACTTTGCGAGAAACTTTTCAAATAATTGCTGCAACAGCCGTATTAAATCCTTCTCCCCATCTTAAATCTCTGCGATCTCGTCGGGCTCGTATGCTCAGTACCTTTCATGGCTGCATGTGTGAGATATTCCCAGGCTTCAAGAGGTGATGAAGCGTAAGACACAAGAGACAGCTTTGCCCGTGATGTATTCCCAAGTATGGAACTCCTCTGGATCGTAAAGTGTCTCCAACATCGTCACAAGTCTCTGTACGAGTTCATCTATGCTTTCGTCTGATCTTGTTGGGAAAAGACCGCCCAAGAGTCCCGTGAACCCAGAGCATCCACTCAAAGAATAGGGGCAGCAGCAATTGTCTCGAATGTGATCGCAAATTATTCTGCGCAATAACCTCTTGCGGTCTTCGCTCATTTGACTCAACTGCGAAGCGAACTCCTCGGTATCCTTTACGGAATAAATAGCCTCGCCCACAGTGTGTCCCAGGATGTGCAACGCGGAAGAGCCAGATATCTTGTGATTGTTGTCGGCGCCTTTGCTGATGAGCCAGTTCGCTTTTCTCAAAAGCCCGTAAATCTCCGTACCAATATACTCCTTTCTATCCTTGTAAGGCAAGCCTGCCAATTTTGTATACTTCGTCAACATCTCGGAAGCCGGCATCCCGAGGTCGATCTGATAGCTCAAGATTATCTCCGGTCGAATCGTAGACTGACCACCATCCACATTGATAATCTCCATGAAACTCGTCAACATTAAAAGAGCTCCGCCTTTGGAGCCTCGTAGGTTCTAAAGGCATCAAATCCCAACAGAGTATCAGGTGTGAGACTCAGCGCATGGCGCAATTCGTCTGACAGGAAGGTCTCTGCTACGACCTTTAGTCGCTTTCTGCGGTCTATGAATCTTTGGACCACTTGTTCCCTGATTCCTGAAGATGATGTCTAGCAGCCACCAGTGTTCGTTGGGCCCGAGGTAGCAGCTTGTGGACCTGATCAATATCTGACGCTGTCCTCGCAGTCCGCTTCACATGCTGCTCTAAGAGTACCAGGACCAGTTGTGTAACCAGATAGAAGGAGTAAAGCAAGACCTGCTGGCCAGTGAGTATAAGAGTCAACCCAGCGCTGTAACCAGAGGCCCTTTCTAGATAGTGCCTGAAGATGTTCTTCTGACCTATTTACCAGAGGAAGAAGCTCTTCTGGGAGGCCGATGTCTAATGGTAATTAGCTTCCACTATCCCAAGACACTTGGGTGAAAACCTCTACCTTCAATTTTTTCTCTTTCAACAAGCCGCCAAACAAGTCGAATACTGTAATCTTAATCTTCAAATAGATGATCATGCCAAGACCCATAATACAAATGATAGTAAGTGTTCGGATGATGCCTCCAGTCAAGGGCCATGTGCGCCAATAGTCTCCCGAGCTCAGAATATCAGAACAGATATCGAGAGTGGCCTGTTGCTGGCCAGGATCTCTTCGCCTTCCATAGATATCGAACTTTAGTAACATTTGGTCGGCAGGAGTTTCCCCACAGTCGTTAGCATGATGTGGTAACAAACCATTCTGTAAGAGGTCTTTGATCAAAGCACACCAGGCTAGCCATGAGGAGGCATCCCACTGATAAGTGTACTGTTGCCAGCCAGTTATCAACTTCTGAAAGAGTTAGACGAATTCCAGGTGTCACGCGTTCATGTAGATATAAGTCCCCTCGCGAGCTAGGGCATAGCTTTCGATTTGGCATGGATAATCCACTCACGTACATGTAATATAGTATCACCATTCGGTACAGTGTCAGAATATGATGCTTTGCCTTCCCAAAATAGCTGGAGCAGCTTTTTGTGGGTACTTCCAATGACAAAATCTGCCTTTGCTAATCCCAAGCCTTTCTCGGCGTCCTCGAGAAGGCTAATACTGGCGAATCTAGTGGTACAACTGATCAGAACGCACGGAGGGGAATAATCACTAGGGAAGCTTCTCAGTCGAAGTTCTACTCCTACCAGTTGCCTTAGATGCTGTTCAGTCGTATCTAATTTTTCATGAAGACCAAGACTGCCTTGGTCCAAACGATCCGCCGCTGCAAGAACCAGCTCTATATTCGACCTGCTAGATGATGAGCTGCTGAGTACCAAATCCATCTGCCTTTTGGTTGACAGTCATCATACAACTATATCCCCGTCTGCGAGAGGCTCATAGTACTCGTTTAGTTGACCCTTACATGTTCAGTATTTGCAAAGACGTACTGAGGTTAGATTGCAACCAGTTCATCGTTTCCATGAGAGTCACCAGCGTGTCACGTCTAAAGGTTTACAACATCCGATTGATTCGAATATTGGATCCCAGTAGGTTGCTGGCTGGTTTCCTGCTTTGACATTTCTTAAGCATCTTCATTAGCCTTTGCAGTCCACTGTGGCAACGTATATGGAATCGATAGCAACAGCTGTAGATTGAGCTGTAGGGGAGTTGGACAATACACGTGCATTAATGAGCACCCTTTGCAGAGCGTTCAAGATTCCGTCTAGGGATGATACTCGAGAGGCGACCTCATCGATCTGCGCATAAAATATTTTGAATGGCCCATAGTAAGCAAGAAGACCTTGACAAACAGTCAGACCTAGAGAAATGACTACTACAGCGCCGCCAGCCGCGGAAAAGGGGTCAGCCATGACAGAAGTCTCATAAAAGTAATAGTGGGTGATAGAGAATTCAAGAAGGCCATACATATCGATATGACAGGTTTTTGAACAGGAAAAACTGATGGGGCTGGGGTGTGCTGCGCTGGATCCTAGCCGCCCAAGGCTGCGCTCCATGTTTGACACAAGCAACCAATGAACTGATTGCTGTATCTTAGCATACCTGAGGAAATTAGTGCAGCAGTTTGCATTATGGAACTTGACCTCAGCCTTAGTAATCATCTCAGTCGACATTTGTTTGTCTCACTAGCCTTGACAATGAACCACGAGTCACAACACCACATAGCCGTGCATTGGGAGGGCCAGTGCACGAGGCTGGTACCATTCTCAATAGCAAATAGAGCGAGGTCATTAAGCCAACATTGGCATTGGGTGTGCACCGGCAGGAAGTGGCATCCAGTTGTTTGGTTTTAAGTCGAAAGTATGCCTTGCTGGGGTAGGTTAGTTAGGAATGTCTATTGCCCAAGTCAGTCTATTGCCTATTATATTCGATGGCTTATCGTTCCACTGACTTTGCTAGAGACCCTTTGTGCTGGTTATAGGTTGGAGTCACTGAGTCAAGTTTGAGCTAAATGGCGTAGGTTTTAACTCCTTTGAAAGGTACAAGGCCTGTTATGACTTAGGTGGCAAAGGCTCGACAGGCCATTCATAGCCTCTAGTGAAGGTCGTCTCGAAGACCCAAGCCCCTTGACCAATAGTCTCCCTCTTCTCCCCATCTCCATCAGGAAGAATAACATCGCAGGTCGTACTATATGGAACCGACACCTCCAACCTCAACCTCTCAGATCCGTTCCCAGTCTTCTCCGTTCTCCATGAACACGACAGCAACCCGAACGGCGTGACATGCTTAGCAGCAGCACTCGAGAGCTCCGCTCCAATTCCTGGAGCAACGCAGGACCTTTTCCAACCAGGCTCAACCCGTTGCAGCCCAGCAACCCGTTCATACATGAACTTCGCAATCGCGCCAAAGGCATAGTGATTAAACGAGGTCATTTCACCAGGGTTAACCGATCCATCAGCAAGCATACTATCCCACCGTTCCCAGACTGTAGTCGCACCCATGGTAACCGGGTATAACCAGGACGGACATTTCTCCTCAAGGAGCATGGCATACGCGACCTGGATATTCCCAGTCAAGGCCAGTGCTTCACAGATGTACGGGGTTCCAGCAAAGCCAGTCCCGATTCTAAACTCGTTCTTCCGAACTAGATATGCTAGTCGGCCGCCAGCGTGATTTCTTTGACTGGGATTCAACAAGTCAAAGCAGATGGCCAAGGCGTATGCAGTCTGGGAGTCGGAGACGATGCGTCCGTTCGCAGTGACGTATTCGTCTTGGAATTCTTCCCGCGCGGACCCGGACCAGCGTACGAAGCGCGATGTATCAGTATCTTGTCCAAGAATGTGGGAGATTTTGCACATCAAGTCCAGGCTATGGATAAGGAAGGCGTTTGCGACCATTTTCGCGTCCGTGGTGCCCTTCCAGGGGGCGTTGGGTGGTGCAGCAGGATCCAGCCAGTCCTACCATATTAGCTTCATATATCACCAGAATTGGGGAAAACTTACTCCAAGGTTGAAAACACTCGTGTCCCACAAGTGCGTAGCTCCAGTGCTATTCAGGGGCACCTTCCGCATCCAAGTCAACATACTGTTATACTGCTGCGCGAGAATACTTCCATCCCCCGTCTCCTCATATAACGCCCAAGGCGCAAGAATTGTAACATCATGCCAGATGGCACAAGGGACGCGTCGACACCAGACTGGGTCGGGAAGCGTTGCATTAGGCGTGACCATCGCCGGCACTCCACCCAGAACACCCTGGTCATATTCTACATCGATCAGCCAGTTCTTTAAGAAGCTGAAACAGTCGTAGATGAGCACCGCCGTAGGGGCAAATAATGCCAGATCACCCGACCAACCGAGTCGTTCATCACGCTGGGGACAGTCCGTGGGCACGGAGAAGAAATTCCCGCGCATGCCCCAGACTATATTCTGGTACAGCTGGTTGAGTAGCGAATATGAACAGGAGAATCCGCCCACGGGCTTCATATCTGTGTGGCAAACGATTGCTTCGGCGGATGCCTCCAGCTGCCCCCCAGGCCAGTTGTCTATCTGCGCGTAGCGGAATCCGTGAAAGGTAAATCTCGGGGCATACTCCTCGCCTTGATCATCGCCCCTGAGCGTGTACTCATCGATAGCCTTGCAAATTCGAAGCGGTCTAGTACAGAGCTCCTCATTTTCGAGCACCTCGGCATGAGATAGAATTACCTTGTGCCCAGTGGGACCCTTGATCTTGGATAGCTTGACGTAACCCACTAAGTTCTGGCCAAAGTCGAGAATGACCTTTCCAGATGGGCTAACCATTTTTGACACTGGCTTCAGTGCTTCAATCCGCCGGACAGGCTCTCCAAACCCGGCCGTGAGCTTGACAGAGTCGGGTAAACGTGGCGTGACAAGAACGGTAGACCAGCCAGAAGCATCTTGAGAGATCCCAGCTGAGGACCAAGCGGGAATTTCCTTAGTAGCATCATACTTTTCCCCATCATAGAGCTCCGCCAGCCGGATAGGCCCTCGCGTGACGCTCCAAGAGCCGTCTGATGTAATAGTCTGCAACCCTCCATCCTTCAATGTCACTTCCATCTGGACCAACAGCGCCGTATGGGAGCCCCAGATATTGCGATGCCCACCTTCAAAGCCAATGCGACCAGAAAACCATCCCTCTGCCAGACGAACACCGATACAGTTGTCCCCAGTCGAGAGATAATCCGTGATGTCGTAGGTTTGGTACTGCAGTCTCCCATCGTATGTTGTCCACCCGGGAGCGAGGAATTGGTCGCCCACGCGGCGACCGTTGACCTCCGCTTCGTATACGCCTTGGGCCGTGATATAAAGACGGGCTTTGACAATGGAATCCACGAGCCTGAATTCCCTGCGATACAACTGCTCCGTGTCAGGCTCGGAGGTACCTGGCCCCCATGGAGCCGCGATGCGCTCGCACTGCCAATCACTCCGATCGAGCAGGCCAACTTCTAGAGACGCGGGCTCACTCCATTCCGTGCCATGGCCATCTGGATCCCAGGCTCTGACCCGGATAGACACCTTCTGGCGGGAGATTAAGGGCCGAGAATGTGGCCAGGGGACGAGATACGATGAGGGCGATGACTGCCTGGTAGAGGAAAGAACAGTGACCTGCGAATTCCAAGCCACTTCTGAGACCTCAATTTCGTATTCATCCTGTTGGAAATGAGATGGGTAATCCTCGAACTGCCAGGATATGCGTGGACATGTCTCCTCCACCCCGATGGTGTTAGGGGGGTGATAGTGCTCAAACTGCACGTTGGTAATGCGCGTCATGATTGAGAGCCAGAGCTTAGCAAGGACCGTCTTTCAGTGGGTCGGCTGCTTATTTCTAGGATTTCGGGACCATTTAACACGAGACCCATGCATAATGTCTCAGAATCGGGGTAAGATGGAAGGAGAATGGTGTATGGTCGGCGCATCTTTATCCCAAGGATCGTTCGGCAATTGATTCTGGGTATGGGTTCCGGGTCTATATGTCCATACATTCGCGACACTTTCAGACTGAGCACAACTTCCAAGTCCAAGACACGATGACCGACAAAATGAACGTCAACATGTTCAAAGCAGAGGATCCCAACTGTCAACCGTCTGCCTCGCCGGAACCCCCCTACGATCCCCTCCCACCCATTGAAGATCTCCCCCTCCCATCAAGTTTCAAATGGGGAACAGCAACAGCAGCCTACCAAATCGAAGGCGCTCCCTCGGTAGACGGAAAGGGCCCGTCAATCTGGGACACCTTCACCCATCTCGTTCCATCGCGGACAAATGGTGAGAACGGTGACATAGCCTGCGACCACTATAACCGCATGCTCGAGGACGTAAACCTCATGTGCTCATACGGCGTCGATGTGTATCGATTCTCCATCGCCTGGACACGAATCATACCCCTCGGTGGACGTGATGATCCTATTAACGAGGCAGGCATAGCCTTCTACAACCGACTCATCGACGCTCTTTTAGCACGCAACATCGAACCGGTGGTAACGCTCTATCACTGGGATGCTCCGCAGAGACTCAGCGACCGATACGGCGCCTTCTTAAACACAGCCGAATTCGTGTCTGATTTCGCACACTTTGCGCGCCTTTGTTTCGCCCGGTTCGGGGATAGGGTCAAGAGATGGATTACGTTTAACGAGCCTTATATCATCGCGATCTTTGGACATCATAGTGGTGTTCTTGCGCCGGGACGGAGCACTGCCACTGGGGGTGATTCCCGTACGGAGCCGTGGAGAGTCGGGCATAGCCTGATCCTCGCTCATGCCGCTGCTGTACAGATCTACTCTGAGGAGTTTCAGTCGCAGGATGGGAGCATCTCAATCGTGCTGAATGGGCACTATTACGAGCCCTGGGACTCGTCTAGCCAGAACGATCAGGAGGCCGCGCAGCGCCGCCTCGAGTTTTACATTGGGTGGTTTGGTGACCCCATCTTCCTAGGGCGGGATTATCCACCGGCCATGCGAAAGCAATTGGGCGATCGATTGCCGTCCTTTACTCCCAGGGAGCTGGACCAGCTAAAGAATCTCGCCCCGCTCAACGCCTTCTACGGAATGAACCACTACTCCACCAAATTCGCCAGGGCTCTCCCCGACCCCCCGGCGGACGACGACTGCACAGGAAACGTGGAAGAACTCACCACAAACTCGAAAGGCAGAGCCATTGGCCCCGTCTCAGGGATGTCCTGGCTGCGGGTTGCGCCTGAGGGGTTCAGGAAACTCTTGAACTGGGTGTGGAATCGGTACAAGCTGCCTATCATTGTTACAGAGAATGGATGTCCCTGTCCGAGGGAGAACCAGATGTCCTTGGAGGAGGCAGTGAATGATGAGTTCCGGATCACATATTTTGGACTGTATCTCGATGCGATTTCGCGAGCCATCTATGAGGATGGGGTCCCGGTTGAGGGGTACTATGCGTGGAGTTTGATGGATAACTTTGGTATGTTCTCGCCTCCACTTACTGATTGCCTCGTCTGACAATTCGTTATCCAGAATGGTCTGCCGGCTATGGCCCTCGCTATGGCATCACGCATGTGGATTATAAGACCTTAGTGCGGACTCCCAAGCGCTCTGCATTGTATTTGATGGAAACATTCCGGGAACGTAGAAAACATGCGCGATAGACTTCTTTTCTGTAGGTAGAGTTAGAGAGTACCAATGGTATCCTGTTCGATTCGCAGCTTTACATCCGACATCAATCTTCGTATCTTTTACCAGGTAAAGCACGCCATTGGCCTGTCGTAATCCAGCCCGTGAGGAGACAGTTTTCGCCCTTCCATAAGAGGGACGCTAAATGCAGCCACGTCGAGTTTCTTCCCCTTTCCGGTATAGTTTTCGAAGTACGACAGCGACTAGTCACAACGGTCACCCTTGGGGACTTTCGGCGTGTCGGTTTATGATTTCAGATCTGGTCTTGTGGACTCCAGTACGTCTCCAGATCCATCCCCAGAACTGCCCCCGCACTGTAGCAACCTGGGGAGGAGAGTCGGCCTCTGATGGCACGAGAATCCGGTTGTCCCGAGTTAGTGCATATTGCTCTGGCTTAGGAAAGTATAGAAGACAAGTCTATAGAATTGTGAGGCACTCACAAGATCGAGCCACTCGGGGGTAATTATGCCATGAGAGGCAAAACAGCATGTTTAAAGAGCCTGATCTCGGCCTCATGACAAAGTAACACCAGACCTTCATGCAAGTTACCTTACTGTCCCGGTGGATTGCCTGTCATTGAGTCATGGAGTCCGCACGCGTCACGGAAAAAACCCCAGCCGTTGAGCATGTCGAAACAAGCGATGACGCGCCCGTCAAGGGGGACGCAGCAGTGGATGCAGCAACGAGAGGGCAGGCCATGACAGGATACGAGCATCTGAGTGTCATGGAAACAATCAAGACATTCAAACTGGCCAGCCTCATATGCGTGGCTATGGCCTTCAGTGCCGCTACCGACGGATATCAAATTGGGTCCGTATCACCCCTGGCTGCAGGAAGCGACACGTTAACATGATACAGTATCAACGCCAGCGTCATCGCCAACAAGGGCTTTGTAGCTCGCTTCGCCACGGAGAAATCGCACAATGGATCTCCCGCACTCGCCTCCTCGATCCTCAGCGCCTGGAGTTCGATCATGTCCTGCGGTCAGATCGTAGGCATGACAAGCTTGCCATTCTTGTCCAGTCGATACGGAAGAAAAATCGCCATGTACACCTACTGGTTTGTCTTGGTCGGTAGCGTGATTGCCGAGTGCACTACACGGTCGTGGCAGGGCTGGTTGGTGGCCAAACTCCTGGCAGGAATCGGAGTGGGATGCGTGCAATCCACCGTGCCAGCATACATATCAGAAGTGGCCCCCACACGCATCCGTGGGGCATTGTTGATGGCATATAGTTTCTGGTGGACTCTGGGCTCCTTCTTCGCCCAGGTTGCGCTGCAGCATCTCTCACGGAGTGACCCGACGGATTACCTCACCCCGGTCTACACCCAGTGGGCTCAGCTCGGCGTCATGTTGCTCATCTATCTCCTGGTTCCGGAGACGCCCGCATGGTGTGTCAGCGCCGGCAAGCTTGACAGAGCCAAAAAGGAGCTGTTGAAGCTCCATCGAGGAGTCAAAGACTACGACGCCGACCATCAGCTACAGGTCCTGGTCCTGGCGATAGAACACGAGCGTGCCGTGGCAATTGAGCAACGCCGCGAGAAGTGGTACGCCATCTTCCGGGGAACCGACGGATTACGAACGGTCATTTCGCTCTGGACGAATCTCTCGCAGCAATTCATTGGTCTCACCCTGTTTGGGTCTTTTGGCACGTATTTCTTCCAGCAGGCCGGGATTGATGACCCGTTCAGAGTCAAGGTCATTACCTCGTCCATTCAGATCGGCACGGTGTTGATACTGGTGGCCGTCGTGGACTTTGTGGGAAGGAGGTATCTCGCATGTGGTGGGACAACCCTCTCGTGGCTGTCCTGCGTCGCCATCGGCATCATAGGGGTCACACCGCGGGTGAAGGCCTCTACATATATCTTCGTCACGTTTGCCTGTTTCTGGAGTAAGTAGCCCCTTTCGATGACACTTTGCAGTAACCAACGGTATCAGATGTCGGTCTGGCCGCAAATGGGGCCACAGGATGGGGATATATCGGCGAGATCTCCTCCCAGCGACTGCGCCCGTATACCGCCGGCTTCGGTGCCGCAACAACCTGCGTGGTGGGAGTTTTGATGAACGTCCTAGTGCCTTACATGACTAATGCCAACGAATGGAATTGGGGCCTCAAGACGGGCTGGTTCTATGCCGGCGTCGGGTTCCCCTTTGCCCTGGGAATGTGGTTTTTGATTCCTGAAACTGCTGGGTATGTTTTCCACCTTCGAGTATTGAAGACACTAGCTGATAAGGCTACCCTAGGCGTTCCTCCGCGGAACTGGATGAGTTGTTTGAGAGAAGAATCAAGCCGTGGAGATTCCATAAGACGCAGACAGCGACTCAGCGCCTTGTTCAGGAGAATAAGGACGAGGAACACTAGGTCGAGAACTGTCAGTTCCAACCGGCACAAGCAGCTTGGGGGACGGTCCATGCGAAGGAGCGCGGAGGAGGATGTCCTTGTATCTAGTAATGGTGGTCAATATAGTGGAGGGGGATTCTCTTTGATACACAGTAGTTTACGGAATATGCCCTACATTAAAGAGGCGCCTTGCTTCACCGTCCACTCCTTTGCCAGTATATTCCTATTGAAGCATAGAGTTCCCGCAGGAGTAGTATGTCGGTGATAATCACAAGACAAGGAGTATCTCACTACTAACCCTTGTTATGTTGTCATGGAGAGGTCACGAGGGCAGTGTATGCTGCACAGTAGTGTTTTCCAAGGCTGCTAATTCCCCATTGATTGGACTTTAAGGGAGAAAAGGAGTAGGAACAGAATATATTGACTTCATTACGTTGGTACATTGATTAGGTTGAGCAGGTCTTTATCCGCCCCTGGTAAATGATCCCTAGCAAGCTTAAGCAAAAGCTCCCCCCAGCCTTCTAGCCACCAATGCCCCGAGAGTATCTGTAAGGAGCACCCGTAAAACGCAAGGGTGAGGAGCGCTATCCGCTCTTTCCGGAGCAGACAGTCAAAATAGGACAGGTCGACCACGACTGGCCAGGCCATGATGGCCCTCGAGTCTCCGCTTTGCAGGTAAAGTTGAAGTAGATTTAAGAGGTTCTTAATCGAGCCGTTCAGGGCCGGGGTAAAAGGCTCCGAGTTCAATGATGGCCCCGCTTGCGGCAGATTGTGGTCCAGTGACTGCAGCTGCTCGTACAGAGCCAGAGCATACCGTTCCGCCGCTGTTGCTATCGGCTTTTGACACTGACCAACCCGCAGCAAGGGCTGCAAGGGTCCTTGTTCGATCCACGATCTGGCCTGGTTCACGACAGAGGCGGCCCCACGAACTAATCTGAACGCTTCGACCACTGCGACCAGACTCTGGATCCTCGGGTTCTTTCTTGGATTCCAGGACGCGAATACAAAGACTGGAACCAGACAAGACAGCGCAAATAGGGCGTGGCAGTTTTGGCGGGTAATGTTCTTGAACAAAGGGGTACACAATGCCAGAGACCGGCTATGATGCATCGTGGCGGCCTGAGCGTACATCTGGCTATGGCTCATGGGTGAACTGTGCGCCCGGTGAAGGGCTGAAACTGCCAGAACGCTGTGCATTAGGAAAGGGTTCGCCAACCCCTCCTGTGGCATGGCGGTGCGTATGAGATCCTGCAGCGGCTTAGCATCCGCTAGGTAGTTCCCTGTCACCGTATGCCAGTGATGCAACAGCTCCAAGTCCAGCAGTGGGAGCACAGAACTGTCCGGGCGCTCTAGAATGACATCGGCAATTGACGGATGCGGGGAGGTCTGGGGCGCAAAGCTCTGAAAATTACATGGGAGCTGTTTCCTGCAGCAGGAACCACAGACCGGACGGGCTTCATCACATTTGATCTGGCGCCGCTTGCACTGCGTGCAGCCGTGATGAGATTTGGAGTGGGATCGACGCGACGGCATTGGTTTCTCACGGGGGGTTGTGGATGAAGGTTGACTCGAATCCGGGGTATGGGGATATTAAACCTGGCCAGGGATTGTGGGGTCCGTATATCTTGCTCCATCAGGCTAAGAATACGATATATGATCTAGTGGGTCCACTGCTAGTGCAAGATTAGCTTGTAAATCGTAATATCCCGGAACATGGAGTCAGGCACTGTCATTATCCCGATGTCAGGGAGTCGTATTTGCTGAGGACCGCATCCAAGTCATGCCTTCGGGCTAATAATATGGCCGATCGACTCTTTATTGTCGAGTCTCGGGGCAAAATGATGAGCGACCTTTATTTCCTCCCCTTGAACCACGCTGCCAGGCAGCGACCTAGTCTCTCAGCGGCATGGTTTACGAGCATCCATCGGGATGCAGGTGAAACAGAGAATACAGTTGTGTCTATAGCCGACCAGACGCCGGTTATGGCAAATGGTACGAACCACCTATATACCGTATAAAGTGCCCGTTCCACAGTGATATGCCCCCTCAGACATGATAGCGAAGCCAAGTTGCGGAAACAACGATGGCTATTCTTTCTTTCCTCATTCTAACCGGCCTCTGCCTGTCCACAGCCTCAGGGCAAGCGCCTCCGCAGCCTGAACCCTTCACAGTCGTCGAACTTCCCCTCCCTCCCGTCGTGTCGAGCAACGCTGTTGGGGCCTGCACCACTGACGTGAATCCACGTCGGACGGGCTGTATTGGTCAGGTATCAGAGGAATTTCAGGCGGGTGATTTCACACCAGACGGAAAGCATGTCATTGTCAATGTGGAGTTCGTAGGCGCTCCAGCTGCTCCTGATCCCGCCGGTATATATACCGGTGAACAGCTTATCCTCGTCAAAGCGGATGGCACCAAGTTTACCAACGGTGACCCATGGAAGTGCCTTAGCTGCGGTGTTCCCGCTGCAAATGCCCGGTCACTAGACCCCCAGAGAGACTATCCGCATGTTGCTCGCAGTGGGAAAAGGGCGCTCTGGGGCCACAACATCGTGGAATGCGGCGGTCTGCTTTTGACCAGCGAGGAATGCACTCGGAATAAGACCTTTATCTACCCCATTTACTGGCCTGTGAACGCAGATGGGTCGGGGCCAGGTGGAGCTCCCCGTGAGATGCGTATGCATCCAGACGATGAGCACATGGGATGGAGCTCATTCACGTCGAATGGAGGGCAGTTTGCTTACTTTGGCCGACTGACATTCAACAAGAACCCATCGACTGGCGACGTCCGAGCCCCTCGCTATGACCTGGTCGACGTCAACGTGCTGATTCAACCCAACGGGCCGGCTGCTATTATGGCAAACGGGGATGAACTAGAGTTACACGATGAGGCCATCACAGTCGGAGAGCTGCGCGGCTTCAGCGGCTCCGGGGATGAGATTCTTTACATTGGCTCCCCTCGGGAGGCAAATAATATCGATGTGTTTGCTGTCCACCTTGTCACTGGCGCCGTTCGCCGTCTAACGAGTCACCCTGAATATACAGACCCTGTCGCGTTCTCTCAGGATAATAAGTGGTTCGTCGCAATGGACACCCGGGGCTCTGATCGCCAGATGTGGATGTCTGGCATGCGCATGGTCCCTCCCCTAATTGACCTTGTCACTGTCACAGCCGCATCTTCAACCCGCAACAATGGCCCGCGTCGCTTCTTTCAACCTATCTTGATCGACCGCTATGGTGACCGTGGTGACTACTTTGGCCAGCAAGTCAATGCCGAAGGCGATGGCAGCAATGGGAGCATAAATGACCCTAACTGGAATGGCCGCGCAGATCCAGCCTTTTCCCCAGATACCACTCTGATTGTCTTCTGGCAAGCCTTGGTGACGTCTCCTGCCTGTGGAGGCGTGAACCCACTGGTATGCCCTAACTCGACGGCGGACGGGGGACGCCGCTACCGTCTCATGGTGGCTCACGGTACCAGTCGCCAACCCACGAAACCTGCCCCTGTTTTCAAAGTCCCTGCCGCGATTCCCTGGGCGACGCCATTTCCCCCTGGCGCTACGATCCCAGAGCAATACAGACTCCCAGCAGGGAACTACACCCTTAAAGGGCGGATTAGCGGCATTGCAGAGGTAGCCATCGTGGCCAACCCAACAACAGGCGGGTATCAGACCATCTCCGTGGAGTACAACAATTACTCCGATGATGGCAAACATATAATAAACGGCCACGAGTCCGTGACTACCAATCCTGATCCCTCCAACCCATGGATGAACCGGCTGAACTGGTTGTCGGATCTTCAACAGAGCGGCATAGTCAATGCGACGAAGAAGACGGGTCCTGGGGGGTTCCAGCTATCTATCGATGCCGTGACGAACATCTTTGAAGCGAATGGGACGCTGACTACAACTATTGACGGGGTCGTGTATCGACAGCCCGCTAATGGGACTTGAGTCGCCGGATGCATCGGGGTTGTCAGAGGTGGTTGAGATCTGGATCTGTATGAAGTGTGAGATCGGCAGATGGAATAAAGGGAGGGTCATTGTATACCGTATAGCGGTCACCTCGGTCGAATGCATTGCGTATAATGATTACATTAGTCAAAGCCGTGAGGTAGAGGTGAACTGGTAGACAATTCGGATTGTCAACATTTCTTGGTACATACCAGTGACACTTTCCCAACTCATGGCAGAAGAGCTCAGCCAGGGTGATGGTCACGGATTCAAATCCTGCCCTTTCAATTAATTACTCTGTTTAATCAAGATTTCACAAACGTCAGTTGCTGGTTCACAACATACCGCACCATCTGGTCACACAGCACCATCGCAATCCCAGCCCAGCTTGTGCTTTGGTACTGTCGTTGAGAAGAACTCTTCCTCGACGTCAGGTGCGAGCTTTGCTCCGGGCTCCGGATAGCATCACTGAACGACATCCACCACCTCTTTCCAGGTACCGCCCTTCCCCGTGAGCAGATACTTCGACCCGTCCGGGATGGCTGGATCCAAGGCCTTCAGGTGTCCTTCGACCGCATCGTCGATATGAACACCGGGAATTTGCGAATCCAACTGCCGACACTCGTCCCACGGCTTCTTCCGCTGATCGATGGTGGCCGCAATGGTATCCTTATAGGTTGGGATGGCCTGAGTGCCTGTGTTGTAGACCCTGGTGAAATCATTGTACCCTGCTGTTTGATCTTTCAAGTACTGCGTGTAAGTTGTCAAACACAGTTTGTACCGTTCCTCCGAGCGTTAACATCGGTGTGACGGCAGAACAGCACAGACAAAAGGACGCGAGAGGGACAAAGTTGGTTGTGTTGCCGAAGAAGTAGAGCCCTCGAGCCAGTCGTGGCAGATAGGTCCCCGCTTGACGGTGCAAGCCGTCCCATTTTGCAGAATCGTCAGCTTTATCCCGGCCAGCTGTGAGCCCGTAGATTCAAGCCAGGACATTCTTAGCCCGCTGAAAGTCACTGTCGAGGCAGTGGACTTTGACTACCTGCATCATCAGCTGGAGGGTGAGCGAGTAACAGACTATCGGCCGCAAGCGTCGCCTGGATATTGTCCATTGGCTGGATCGTCACGGTAGCCTTTTTCCATCCTGGCCAGGGACAACCTGGCCATCCTGGCCGTGCGATCCCTCAGGGCCATCGGGATAGTTGCCGTCAGACAAACTGAACCTCAACCAAGCGCTGTCGCGGATCCACTCATAGGAGGAGATTCGGCTGTTCGTAGCAGGCACACCAGCATCATCCATGAATTTGCTCCTACGCTTGTCCTGGGATTACGCATATCCAGGTCTGATCGCAGTAGTCTACCACTGGGGAAACCTGGAAGACAGGGGGAAGTACATAAGCTAGTGCAACTCCTACAGCGCCAGATTAATCCTGCGGCCCCGGAAAGCCTGCCACACCACAGCAATTGCATGTTACACGGGTAGAGTGGTTGTCGATTGAAGAGTTCGCAGCTCGCACCAGTCACAAAGTGAGAGTCTTATCACTGAAGTGGAATACTTCTTATGTACCTAGAAGGATGTGGGGTGCAGGCATTTCGACTTTCTACCATTGCAATATTCTACATCACCTCCTGGCCTTTCGCGGCTTTCCAGATTCCAAGTGGGTCTGAGGGATCATAGACTGCTACAGCCCTAGAAGTATGTTTTGAACGTCAAGGCTCCACAGCATTTTATCAGCCTAGCTCGAGACTACATGACAGATGGTGTTGGAAAGATCAAGCCCTGAGCGAGATCTTGAAATGAAAAGGGTCATGCCCAGAATGTATCACGGAGGAGGGCATATTGAGTCCTCGTGCAGGGTAACAGCATGATCACGACCAGTTCCATCCATGACCAATCTAACACTGTTCCAAAACCTACTCTTTCTTTTCAATGTGAATAGTGGCCATATCCTTGTCGTCCGATGCTATTATACCCTGCTCCTTCAAATCTGCAGCAGCAACTTGACCGACATCAACAGCGTCCTCGCCGTCGAAATATTTGGCAATTTCCTCCATAGGCGTGTATCGGGTTTCAATGAGGAAAGAGTAAATCACGAACACTTCGAATCCCAGGAACACACAGTACACAATGTAGTACTTCCAAGCCAAGGCATCAAGGGCGATGGCATTAATGTACTGATTGAAGAAGAGAGCAGCAGTGACGCAGAAGTTGAGCCACGTGAAGCCTTTGGCTCGAAGTCCGTAGGGGAGGATCTCCGTTGTATAGTTCGCCATGAGGCCGGACCTATCCATTCGTTAATGAAAGTGCAGAGCATGGCAGGAGGGTACTCACTTGATATCGTAGAAGACTCCGTACAGGAACGTGAGGAACACAAACGCATAGCCGAGCGCTTTGTTTGGTGCAATCTCATACCGCGCTGATACAATGGTCCAGGCGTTGAAAACGACGAATGTACCAATAGTCGAGGTCAGATAGACAGGCCGTCGTCCGAGAATGTCAATGAAAAAGGCAAAGACAAAGTTGACAACCAAGCCCTCAGTCTTCATGCCTGCATTAATACCGAGCTGAGTCTGCGCGTCCTTGATACCGACGCTATCCATGACATATTTGAGGTAGTAGGAGATAAGACCATTCCCACTCCATTGGCTGAAGAGACCGAGAGCCGTGATCAATGCAATCCGCTTGCGATTTCCCTTGGACCTCAAAAAGTCTGCCCAGCCAGTGTGGCCGATTTCTTTGTCGAGGGCGATAGCTGCTTTGATTTCAGAGTACTCAAGCTGAACAAACTCGTCATTGTGATCACCCTCGGCATGATACTTCACCAGGATCTCCAGAGCCTCTTCGTGCCGTCCTTTGTTTATCAGCCAACGTGGGCTCTCGGGCATCCACCAGACGCCGGCAATAATGACTACGGTGCAGATGGCTTGTAGTAAGCTCGGCAATCGCCATGACCAGTCGCTCTATGACAATACCAGCATTAGCATCACATCCTACCAAAAAAAAAAACAATTCCGGAAACTTACCGAGATCTGGAGAGTACCAAGAGTGACCCAGCTGGCTATGAATGCTCCGGAATGATACGATGCTCCGCTGAGGGTGACGAGGATAGCCCGATCTTGCGGATGAGCGATCTCAGCAATCAAGAGAGGCGCACTTCCCAGAACGATACAGTCTCCAAAACCGAGGATAATCCGGGCCGCAAAAAACATGCCGAAATTCCTGGCACCGGACTGCAGACCGACGGCGAGCAGCATAATCACACTCCCGATGACCAACCCAATTTTTCGCCCTGCCCAGTCGATCAGGTATGGGACGATGAAGAGACCTATCAAAGACCCGAGACTCATAGAGGCATTGAAGAGACCGAGGATGGAGCCGCGGGGATGATTGAAGTAATTCTGCCAATAGGACAGGGTCTGGAGTCCGTTCATCATCGAGCCATCGAAGCCGTTTGCCGTATTGGTGAGAATCAGGATGACGATGAAAATGTAGAGGGTGCGCATGTTTCGTCGCTTCCACCAGGGAAGACGAGCGAACTCCCTGCCCGCAAAGAAGAAGTGTCCTTTCGGAGGCTTCACGGGGAGTACCCTTTGGCTCTGCTTTGGAGGTCGAAGTCGGAAGCCCATCTTGGAGGATTGAGATGGCAAACTAGTTCAAGTTCAGATGGCAGACACAGTTAAACAGTATGGAAGAAGAGTAGCCAGACTCAAGAAGCCTGGGAATGGCCTCTTGTATAGCATCAGGAGCATCATAACAACTCTGTGGAGAATCCCATCAAGTGACCGGTTATACAGGTACATTCAGCCGGGATCAACCCCGCATTTTGGAGATCATGCCACGGGGAAATAAACAGCAATCTAGATCAATTATTTATCAGAGAAAGATCCACAGGATTCTGTTGACAATACGAGTAGCTGCTGGGGTCTCCACCGGAAGAATACTCCGTCCAGCTTGGATGGGAGAGAGTCGGCAAGTGGCAAGGGCTCCTTGAGCCGATGCCCAGACCCTAAGGATCTCCAAGAGACGCCAATACTACAAACCTCCATAAAGGATCACAGGTGGACATGTAACAAGACCGCCCAACCAACCAGCGATGCCCTGAGAATAGGCTGAATTCGTATTGTCTCAGTTTGATCCTTGCAATTGTTGGCAAGCCAGTGCCATTCTCCTGAGCGCAAAAGTAACGGAGACAGGTGAACGTGTCTTTGGGCGTTGCAAGGGCTAAATTGATGCATTCAGTTTATAGGCTAATTGAGGTCTCGAGATACAGACGCCATATCTTTTAGCAAATAGTGAGGTTCTTAAACTGCACTGCAGTATCTGTTGACTCTGCCACCGCAAAGACGCCAATGACCGGGCCTGTAAAATCGGGGCCAGTCAGATCCAGAGTGTCAATCGTCGATGCCCACGTCCAATCCGACTGAGAGGCATCTCCAACGTTGTAGAATAGCTGATACTCCTGTTCCGTATATTGCATTCGAAAAGCTATTGACCTGGGTGGGCTCTCGAGTGTCTGCCGCTCCTGTCGACAAATCTTCTTGGGCCTGTTGATTGCCTCAATAACAATAGCAAGCTTTGTAGCGTCATAATATATTCGGAGAAAGCGATGCTCGTCCTTGTAGCAGGCCATTCCAGCCCGCAGCTTCGCCGGCCTCCAAGTCGCCTCCACAACGTCCAGCTCGACACCACTCCACCCGTCTAAGTGGCGCTGCCTCTTGCCGATAAAACTAGGACTGAGCTCAGGATGCGACAGATCAGCGCTTGAAGCAGTCAGAGTCAGACCGTCACTGGTACTGCTGAGTAGGGTGTAATTGCTCAGAATGATATCACGTATGTAGACGTAGTCGAGGCCGGCGTTGGCAATGAGTTTCTTCCCTTCACCGCAGGCTAGAAGACCACTGGGCATCAGTTTAACCTGGTCCAGGGAGAGCCATTCTCCGTCCCAGCTCCCTTGCGTCAGAAACGTCTCCCGGCCCATAACATAGCGGCCATTCTTATCCTTCCGCACGCCGAGGCAGGTACACCACCATTGGTCCCTGTCGTCCTGGAAGACATCGCAGTGCCCGGTGTACTGGATGTACTCGTCGGTGTCTCGCGCAGTGAGTATGGGATTGTCAGGACACCCTTCGTATGGACCCCAGATGTCCGTTGATCGCGCCATCGTCACCATATGCCCTTCATGAGTGCCACCCTCTGCGATGATCACATAGTAATAGCCTTTCCGCTTATACAAGTGTGGACCCTCGGGATATATACCACCGGTACCGCGCCATATCGTTCTCTCCTCTGAGAGCTTTCTGCCGGAGTTGGGATCGATCTCGAACATATTTATCGTGGTGAAAGGTCCAGGTGCTGCTGATCCCTGAATGTATGTCTTGCCGTCGTCGTCAAAGAAGAGGCTCGGGTCGATACCATTGAACTCGAAATAGACTGGATCGCTCCAGCTGTCGGCCCAGATATCCTTGGTTGAGATGATGAAGTTCTGGCTGGAGTCGCCGGTGACTGTACGAACCACATTGGTGCATACGACATAAAAGGTGCCGGCATGGTATCGGATCGTGGGCGCATATAAGCCTCCGGTGGCCACCAGAACTTCACCCGTGGGCAACGGGTGTAGTTCCGTTTTCGATTTGGACAGACTCAGTTGAGATTGGCGATTAATAGCATTTCCTGTGTTGCATTAGTTTTGCACTCGTATTTTATGCCTGTCAGGACGCAAACCTATATGTTGCCACGAAATGAGGCCCTGCGAAGCATAGATGGGCAGACCAGGAAACAGATGGAAGCTGGAGTTGATGAGGAAAAACCATCCGCCTACTTTGACGACGGAAGGATCCGGTGCGAAACCCGGTATGATGGGATTAATTGACGACATGACGCTATAAAACAGTCCTTGGGAGAAGGTAAGACATGTATAGCAGAAACCAAAGGGATGGGTAACAGGACATTATTATTACCCAGGCGGGGTCCGGCTAAAGTCCTTCACGTCGCCCCGCTGGATGAATTTCGGCTTACAGCCATAATGACATAGAATGAGTCTCATGCAAGTCATTCTCATCTGTTTTTACTTCAACCAGGCTTTCTCCTGCCGCTTCCACATCGCTATCTTTCATATCGACCAGCATGTCACTCGATGTGTGCATGCATCTCCCGTGCGGTGTTTGACACATAACATCCTTCAGTCCTTCTATTGCCTTGTACGCGCGGAAAGTAGTAAACAAGAGTAAAAGGCAATAATATAACCGCCAATGGATTTCAATTGATATCTTCGTTTTTCTGGATTTAATGAGGATAGCCCTAATCCAACCCATAGATAAATAATCTAAGGTAACGGATATCGATAACCTATTAGGTGCAAGTAAGTGTAACCTAGGGCGACCTTAAACGAATAAGCTTATCTGCTTATGATGCTTTCTAATTTTATCTAGGGCTAGATATGGCAATAATCATATATATATCGATAGAAAATAGTCCTATCTGTCTATATAAAATAAATTATTAGAGTTATGGTAGATTTTAGATTTTAAATGATGATGATTAGGATGCTATTGGTGACATATATATCTCTGCATTACTTTTTATGCTAATCTTGGGATCACCGCATACCCCTCTATATAAGGCTATTTTAGCCTCGATAAGTGGTAATATATGATGTGCATATAATTACCTATCGGATTATTATATAAATATATAGATATGCTAGTAGTGTGGCTAGAATACTAGGAAAGTAGGTGGTAATTTAATACTAAGGTCACTTGACTAGATAGTATGGATATTTTTATTAACTGTACGGAGGTGAGATACCTTAGCTGGTGGATCAACCCATACTCCGCACAGGTTGGACCGAAGATGGTGTGGATCAATCATATCCAATGATTCCAATCCACGACCAGTCTGAGATGACACTAACCCGATTAGCATTAGATAAATGATTGTACTGCTAGGCAACAATAAGCACAGTCAATGTCAAGCTGACGATCCAAGATTTGGCAAGGTCGGCTGCTGAGAACGAACTTTTTGAAACCACCCACCATCTCAGTGTATAGCAGATCCTCGGGATCTTTCAGCATGACTTCTGAAATTGTCAACTCCGCATGGAAAGTGATTCCCATGTTCGAGTCCCGTTCGATTCCTCTCACAGTCGACTTTTACACCAAGACGCTGGGATTTGAGCTTGGGAGCGTCAAACCCGAGGACAATGAATCTGAGCTATATTTCTGCTCTCTGGCCATTGGCAAGAAGGCGGATGCAAACTTCTATTTCTCGAAAGTGACCCCTGAAACATTCAAGTCATCACACGCGATGATCGGTCTGGGGACTCGCCAGCTCGACGATTACTACGTCTATTTGAAAGGTAAAATTGAAGTGGAATTTTCCGAGGACATCGAAGACAAGCCTTGGGGCTTCCGACAATTTACGATCAAGGACACCGATGGAAATTCGCTCACGTTTTTCAAATTTCTGGAAGGGGGAAACCCAGGCGATGAATAGGAGGGGTAGGCTACGTATGTATTTCCCTCTATTGATGGACTTGCCAGGTTCTAAATATGAGACAGGAAGATACCACTGCGAGTATACGCTGGTGGTATCTGATAGTGTTGGCCCCGCTGAAATGTAGACACTTGCACTGGGGTCAACCTAGTGGCGACAAACCACTATTATATGGTCACCTATTGATTTCGCATGAGAGTTATTGTGGTCTGTTTCTTTTATTCCTAGAAATAACAATAAACAACTATCTGCAGTGACTCCATCCCTGTTTCTGGAAAATCATAATGGGCATTTATCTTACGACTTAGACAAGGGAGAAGCTTGAGAAGAGACTCACGTTATTCATATCAGAAGAGAGGGAAGCCGATGATGCTCTCCAGAAGCAATTAGGACGATCGCGCTCTCCAACAGACAGACGCCATAAATCAAAGTTGTGTCAAGACCCTCCGTCCGTTTCAACAAGCTGTCACGATAATATGATATTGGACGTGTCAGCCAGCTTGGCTGCCGAATCTAGTAAAGGATTTACGGAACTCTCTGGAATTCTGATTCGACCAATCAGATCACGAGAAATAGATCATATTGCGATTCAACTCGCCCATTCAATTTCAATTCGCTGGAATCTATCTTTCCTGTCTATAAATTCTAGTATTAGATCGTAGATTAGAAGAATCAGACCTTCTTCCCTTGATATTCCGTGTATATGCGTTCACCATACAAACGTTATTATCTCGGATTGGCTAACAGGACGCTTCCCACCCTTCGCCTATTTGGTTTAGTTCCACCGTACTTTTACAAATGTATTCCATGCCACCAGCATGGTCGGAAGATATCACTACTAGCTATTGCTTAAGAAGCAACATCATAGTAATGTCTCCACCACAAGCAGCAACGCGGAACGGATGGATTGAGTCCTCACTACCGCCAAGCAGAATTTGATAGGGGACTTGGTGCCAAGTAAGCTCACAGAAGCTCAGTTCCTTCACATGGTATATATCATCTTCTCTAGACCTAGTGGGTTTAACGACTGACAGCCAGCGACTACGACGCGCCTCATGGAATGCACGACGTAGTCTAGGGTGGTGGACTGGTGCCATGAGCTGCAGTAGGAAACTTTTGATCTAGATGACCTTTTACTGAATTGGGTATATCACTTTACCTTCCAATCCCGACTATATAGGTTTCTGTCTCTTACCAGCCTACCTAGCCTGGTTACCCCTATTCTATCTAGACATCGCGAGGCTCACTCACCACTACTATCTGGGTGCCTCATCCTGCAGTCTAAGATCTAGCTGGAGACAATGGCTTAAGAAGATTGATATCTCCACTGCATTGTCATTTGTATGTAAATACTAGCGATTCTAAAGACACATATGCTTCAGCTTTCTAACAAACCATCCGAAAGAGAGCAGTAGAAGTCTGCCGTTATATTGCACCAGTGCCTTAACCTTGTCTCCGACGACGGGCCAAGCAAAAATCCACACAGACGGCCACTGATAGGATGAGCCTTATACCGCTTCTGACGGTCAGCATGCAATGCAATTCGGAGAAAAGACTGAGGAGTCTACCTACAGGCAGGCACAACCGATCCAGACTACGTTCCCTAACCACTCATTTGCCTCATCCACTGCAGGAGGGTGCTTATAACCCCCAGGTGGAGGACTGGACGAGACCCAATTAAGAACCGCAGCTGGGATCAGAAGCAAAAGGTCAATGAGATCCAGGGTTAGCTGTCCTCCGCCAGACAATCGTGGAATAGAGCGGCTCTTGTTAAGCAGTACCACAACTTCTGGCACATCAGCGCAGAGTGCCCAGCCAGCCTAGCGAAGGTGGTTAGTTTCGTGCTTGTGGTAGGGGTAGGAAGGATGAAACAGACGGCCGTATAAGCTACTGGGTATGTTTCACGGTAAATCTCTGTCAAACGAGCAAGAAAGATGAGGAAGACAATATTGATGAGAATGCCTGCTGTGCGCAATACTATGTGCACGATGGCTGATGGAGAAGGATATCTTGGTCGTCGCGGCATTTCTTGGGTATTTGGTGTGTCTTGCTGGACATCCACTTTTCGACTCAGGGTATCAGGCAGATATACATGAGAAACAGGCAGATACTAAGATATATTACAGGGGAATAAATGACATTACTCCCTTGGCATCCTTGGCGTTCGTGGCAGAAGGGCGACCCTGGTCTACTCAAATAAGCGATGTAACCGAGGCTTGGTTATAGCTTCTTTCCAACAGTTAGCTTCGAGACTAGGACTTTCAATTGGAGATGGCATCAAATTGATTGCTTAAGTGGCATGGATTGGATGCAGGGGCTAGTTACAATCTCTGTCTCCTCCAAGATGTCAGTCAGAGGGATACTGAATCGCACTCGATACCTAGCTAAACACAGTTGGTCAAAAAGGTATAACTACAGCGCTTTGCTGTTGGAATGAAGAGCAGTTCTCTAATCAATTCACTCTCTTATTGTCATTCACTCTTTTATCACTATATCTGTTCAATTCTCCTATTAACTCACTGTCTTTAACGTTATGCGTGTTGAAAAGTCCTGGGCCATCACCCTATTGGCCTGGGGACTCCTGATATTCAAGTGCTTGCACAACATGGACATTGACATGGTTCCCATATTCATCTCCATAGGCAACACATGATTAACTCTATAGGCACAGACTGAGCCATGGATGCTCCTCCCAATGCCATTGCAAAAGCCAGGGCACTTGTCAAGGACGCTATTGCGAAAGCAGCAGTGCATAATAAGCCCGCCTTGGAAATCCCTCACGCAACCAATACAAGTTTAAACCAGGAACAAAACTCCGGAATCATCGTGACCAGCCACCTGACATGCAGCCGGCCCCGCCCCTGTTCAACATAACTGAAGAAACCGCTGATGCAGCGGCGCTCCTTGTGGAGTATGATGCAGTGGCTGAATTGAATGCTACAGGGCTGTGAAGCGCGACTATTCCCACATTGATGTCCATCACGGGCGTCAGCAGAAGCAAAAGCGTGCAGGAACCTGGTAGATTGGAAATAAAGAGCACTATAGATCCTGGCCGTGGGGAAAGTACAGTAGCACTAGGTCGTTCGCGGCGTCACTGATGGTAAATGGGCTACGGATGGCGCTGCTAAGTGTGAGCCTAATGGTTTAGTGGTTTGTAAAACTTCCCTGACCTGTTGTGCCCTACTCATTGCATGCCTAGGACTGCACGAAGGCCATCAACAACACCATGAAAGCTGGGGATTGATGTGGTGACAAATGCAACGGTTCCATGACAAAGCAGGCTATTCTTTACTTTCCCTGGATGAGAGTCCTAGTCTGAGTTGCAAGCCGCATGAGGATAATTAGCTAATGTGTAGTGGTTATCCATTGGTAACTGGTTCTCTATGCGTTGTACAGTGGCAGTATATGCAGTTGTTGTGACTACCTTAACTGGGTTCTTATTGAGTAGTTTCATTGTGCTGTGTTTCAGTGCTTGATGTTGCTAGCTTTTCCTTGCTGTATGCTGTCCATCATGGAGCGACAACAATACGACTTTTGTATCACGGCATCTGGCTGAGACTTTGGGTCTAGCTGTTGCTCTGTACGTGCTATTGGGCTTTGTTTTGGACATGTGCGAAAAGCCCATGTCTTCCCGTGGGCTTCCCTCCCAATGTGGAACAGTCTAACAGCACAGTGAGGAGCTAAGCTGCTATGATACATCATACAGCCTTGCGTTGTCTCTCGCAATAAGCGTAGAAAGTGTTGGAGTGTTCCTCACAATGTCCATCCCTCCATGGCCAACTTTAGTTCCAGTAGTGCACACTATTTTTGAGGTACATCAGCAGGTGTATTGAACTCCTTGTTAAGTTCCTATTAAAGCATTTATTTGCGTAGTCAGTGTTCCTGTCGATAATGAAAGCAAGAGGATGTCTCGGAATCTTATGTTATATTCTCCTCCATCCTTTCTTCGACCTCTCTCTGGGTTGCAATGGGCCCAGAACAACGTCCTCATCTTCACGCGCAGGCTCCTGGACGTCAGAGCAGGAATGGTATTCCTGGAATACATGGGCGTGAAGGTTATCATTCATATAAAACCGAATTGTAGTGCTGGTATTCTTTGGTCTGGGCAGTATTGGATTCCTGGCAGTTGCAATATAGTACTGCTGTTAGGTAACTGTTTTTGATCGCGGCACAGCCCAGATGGGCTGACATCATTTATTACTGTACAGAGTAAGCATGTTAGTGCGTTCCCAATCGTCCTCCTCTTGCACACTCTCAGCGTTTACGGGAGTCTGTCACGGTGTCACCTGAAAATTACTGGCTTAGGGATCCCAGACAAAGAAGCGCTGGCAATAAATATCATCCCAGAGGGGTTGCGTCTGGTGTGCGCTAGCAATTGTGTTGAATTTTTTTTGCGGGGCCGCCCTCCGCCTTTCTTAATCGGTTGATGGATTGGTATGTTGCTTAATCCAGGCAAGAGATGTAGTGATATATGAGCAATCCATACATCTGAAGCTGTTGTGCAACTGAAGTCCAGGCAATGGAGGCCCTTCACACATTCGCACGTTGAAGAAAATGCCAGGACCAGGGAAGGTAAGACTTCCCTCCAGCGGATTGACTAGGGAAAGCCTCCTAGCTGACTCTCTAAGGTAGACAACGCGGCTCGATTCTCGAATCCAGAAGGTTCATTGGTGCTTGAGATAGCTAGTAACGCGAGCCAGTGGGATCGCATACGCACACGGCTTGCAGATAACAACTCGATATCCATTAATATATTCGAATTGGTTCATTCTCGAAGGTCAAGCTTTGGGCCCGTAGTGGAGGACAGGGTATGCAGGGTAGGGAGGTGTTGAATAGAAAGTGTTGAATAGAAAGATTAAAATACTGGCTACAAATGTCATCTACTGCCGTGAATCGCGCAATGCATCTCCATAGCCTATTTTGCTTTTCTTGTTGCTGGGGGTCTTCTTGAGCAGGTATCAGGCTGCTGGCAAAGTCTACGATCTGATATTGTTATATTTCTTTCCATTAGTGAGGTCTTCTATAACAGGAGGCGAATAACGAGTTTTGGGCAGGCAGCAGGCAATTCAACTCCTACGTCAACATGAATATGACTTTGCGTTGCTTCTCCTTTTGGTCATGCGGCGCACAGCCCCCTAGATTCCCTATCTAGTGCTTATCCCACAATACTACCTGAGAGTCATTCTTCAAGAAGCGGGAGCAATACATCAGTACCCGTCTCACCCACTGATTTTCCATCAGGGTATAAATGGCTACATATCAGCTGAAAATCAAATAATTCCACTTATTGCGACAGGTCTGTCTTTGACATTAACAAAACAATCTTCAGTCCTTATCTGTTATGCTACTTCTCGGCGTCCTCTCGTTGCTCGCCTTAGCGACCCTTTTCTCAAAAGCAACGGCAGCAAATTCGACTTTATCTGATAATGGGAGACTTGCGCCGCTGAAAAGAGCAATAACTGCTGTCCCTAGCTCACTCATCGTGCAGTATTACGAAGCCGGGCCCTCTAGCGGCGAGACTGTGCTTCTAGTTCACGGATTCCCTTATTCAATCGATGCTTTCGTTTCAGTCATACCACTGCTTGTCAACCAAGGCTATCGAGTCATTGTGCCTTACCTCCGCGGCTTTGGTGGAACCAAGTTTCTCTATCCCCATACCCCACGCAGTGCCGAACAGACTGCTTTGGGGTACGACAGTATGGTGATTTCTAAGGTAATGCGTCCACTTGGAATCCCTCCAAGGTACCAACAGCAACCCATTGTGGTCCTCGCGTGAAACTACACATTCCGGGCTAAGACGTCCAAAGCTTTGACTTCCAGTAACTGGCTATAACCGCAATGGTTCATCAGCTTGCCAGCACAGTCCAATCAATGTGAGAGTGATAGTAAGGCCAATGCAGTAGACATCGGCAAATGTTGCCTTAATAAGGCATGCCGAGCAGCATACTAGCTGAGATGATACAGCCTTAATACATGATTTTCCAGGTCAGTGAGTGTATTATGTACCACTAGCGGATCAGCCGAATTCTGACCGGTAACTTGAATGACAACAACGGCGTAAGATGCGGTGAAACCCGAATTAGTCATGCGAGACAACATCGCTTATCCTGTCTGCAGGTTGTTTGCCACCCAGTAAGAGCTATCGCTTATGAGTTCTGTCAAGAAGATACATTGTCAGTGAGCTGCAGGGCAATAATCGATGTGACTGGCGTCAATTCACCTCGGACCATATCTCGAAGATGCACTTGTTCAGGTGCCCGGATGGGTGGCTTTCTTCATGTCTTAATGCGAACCCAGGGACATTATTTAAAATAAATCACCAAGGTGTCTATGTTCATCGCATTAACCATACCTAGAATAGTTACTGGATAAGCTGATGTCAGCTCCCTTAATATGTAATTCCGGCGCTCATTGTTTCCGAGCTGTGTATATCCATTCGCACGTAGAAATGCAGGTGCGGACTATTCCGCATCTGATGCAGCCAATAACAGCATAATAATCAGTCTGCATCAGATGACACTCACTCACTCGGTCATAACCTGCAGCAGCCAGGAAAACTTATGCAGCGTTCCCAAAGATTAGCAAGCATATCTCCTGAAAGAAGCATCGTCGTTGGTGGATTAAAATCAGCAACCGCGGCAGAGTAGATTTCGGGTTTCTGAGAGCATATAAAGGTGATCAATCCCCTCTGCGCATGTCATGACCGTTTTGCATTGACCCTTTCCAATTGATAGTTAACATTTCTATCTTAATAACAGTTTTCCATGATGAATCCCAAGGCTGCGAACGTAAGTCTTCCGCAGCAAAACCTACTTACACCAAGGAGGACCTGACAATTCTAGGCTGCTCTCCTCGCTCTGTGTGTTATGTCGGTTTCCGCGACCCTCTTTGTTAATTTTACCAATTATGCAGCCGAAGACTGTGTTATTCGCTACGGTTCGTCTACGCTTGTCCCGACTTATTGTGTCAATATCGAGGACTTTCCCATCAAGAGTTACGGGGCGTCGGTGAGCTCTGGAGAGTGTGACGATTCTTCCACGTCTCCGGTCCTGAACGTGTTCACGGAGGCTGGGTGCAATGCTGGACTTTTCAACACTGTTGCCTTGAGTACGGAGCCGATATGCATCAATAATGAGACGACTGTGCTGAGCGTCAGTGTGGCTTGCATCTAAGTCTAAAGCTTTCGGGTGCCAAGCTACAGAGCTCCTTTGGGACTGCAGTATTTCTTCAGGGCCCATGTCTACCAGTTTTCAAATACCATGATGCTGCTCTCTATTAAAACGTTTAAACGATATCGGAAGGGGTTACAGTCCCGTAGCTACCGATCTGGATATGGATGCTGAATTTTAACAAAGGTTGTGATCAATAATATCGCTGCCGCATTCTACCAAATGATGGATATTTAAGCGCCGAAAGGTTCGTCCCATGTCGCAAGGTGCCATGGGCTTTGGAGCCCCACTGAAAATGTTTTAGGAAGTAAAAGGTGACTGATAAGCGGTTGGTTTTAATCCTCTTGTCCACAGAGAGGCATACACAGGGTTTCCTATGTTTGTAGTATGCCCGCTGGGTTCGTTGCGACGGAAGGGCGATCAATAGCCTGTCTCTAGGGCGAATTTCCCAAGTATGTGCCGCCTAAGCCGGAACTCTATAACTGCTGTCTGCCGTGCTTGTATTGACAGAAATATCAGATGATTTCACGACAGTGGCATTTCCAGCATTTTAGAATATATCGGTTTGGGCCCCTTTGGGACAGCAAGCTTGTCAGTAACGTATATGAATCTTTGCTTGTTTGGCTGTGCATACCATGTGAAACCATGTCTGTAGAGTAAGTTGGGGGTCCGTTTCCCGGCAAGGCCGCAATGTTGTTGCCCTCAGCTTGGAAAAAAGCAATGAGCTGCTTAGGTTCTTGAACCCCAGGACCTGGGGGAAGAGAAGGAACCTTCGGTTTCTGACCACCATTGGGGTTGATAATCTTGCACTTATGTGGTGTCTGATCCATGTTTCCCTGTCCGTAGCAACGTCCAGAATAGAATAATTTGCCAAAAGCTCAAATGGTGTATTTGGAGCGATAGAAACAACCACAAAGTCTTCCATGGCAACTTCCCAAATAGAACTCTTATAGGCGGCTGCAAGAGCTGTACCAGCAGCAGTGGACTTGTTGGCACAGTGTAGATTCGGCTTGGCTAGTCCATGAGATGAAGTTACGAGCCCGGCCGCAATCACAGCGGGATTCGTCACCGAGTAAGTGGTCGGGTAAGCATCTTCTGGTACGCAGCTGCCGTAGAAGCCAGTAAATTCTGTCTGGTTGTCCAGCCAGCGGAGACAACAGAGTTCGCCGTGATATTCCAAATGCCAGTTGGTTCAGCGAGCCAGCAGTTTTCCCTTTGGATAGAAACCTGTGAGAACAAGACATAAGTAATCTGTATGATAAATCATCCGTACCTATCATATTTACCAGTCGTCGCCTGACAGTTGATAGAGAGGATCAAATATGTGAAGATTCGGATCGGTGGCGTTTGTGAGGGCTCCCTGATAGGAGCCCTTGCAGATAGTTAGTCAGATTTTTGAAAGTTTATATCCTTGCAATTACCTCTGGACAATATATCCCCTCGGTAAATGCAGCAAGATGCGCAGAAGTTAAAGGAATGGGCAGAAGAACAAAAGTCAATGGCTCGCAGCCCATTTTGAAGAGACTTGACAGAATCGGGCTAAATTTTGATAAAGTGTGTCTGATGGTAAACGGGGAAGGCCGAGAGTCACAAAAGGAAAGTATGACTGCCCAGGGTGTGAGTTAGGCAAAATCATTAACTTTACGTTTCACTCTATTCCGGAGCTTCAGGGGCATGTTAGTTGTAAACATCTTACAGCATGGGGTCCAATCATCTGGATTCCCATGTTCGAGAACCTCGTGGATTTTCAACGGCCCAGGTATTTTTCGGTTTAAGTTCGACGGCCTGGTCTCGGTGTTTCACAATTCGTAAACACTGAACAATGCCAGGACTTTTAGGGCGGTTAGAGAGGGAGTGGATGTTTGCTATTAGTTTAGAAGTAGAAGGACAGCTAGTATGCTTGAAATTCGCCATGACCAGCGGCGTAGCTATAACTGGCCGTACGGTAAACAGAGTCAGCCAAAACGAAAGAGCATTTTGAAGCTTGGCACTTAGGGAGTTCTTGCCTAGAAGACGCCCTTTGAAAGTGACATTTTTACAGTTAAAGTCCTTCTTATCCAGTTCGACCGTAGGTGCTGCATCCGTAAGCGGGAGAGACAGGGGACTGGCAAAATTTGAACTGTAGTCCGAATTGCATCTCATCAGCAACCCTCGATAGCATATCTTCCTCCTGTCGAAAGCATAGCTAAACCCCAGGTATGTAACAATCAGCGGAATTTGCCCCTCCAAGTTCCTATTCTTAATTTCCTAATTTCCGACTATCATGGGATGTCACACCGGGATACGACAGCATGGCCACCTTGTAGAGAGGAATCATTTCATGCCTATCTCCCATGTATGTGTGTGGCTTTTGTTGTATGCAATCTTTGTCTTATTAAGTCTAATTAAGATTGCGGTAACTCTTCATGGCGCCATGGAACGGCAATTGCACGGAATTAGGTTACGCACCAGGGGTAGCCAGACCTTACAAAACTATTCCACGTGAAGTTTTATATTGATAGTGGTCTGGAACGTTGAGCAGATATAGTGGATGGATTGGAAAGCATAGACTGACTTTTATTGGAAGACGTTCCCGCCCCTTGACTGATTTTAGCTCCATCAGTGGTGGTATCGCGTCCGTCGTTACACTTGATTTCCCCGCTTTATAGGCTTAATCTTACGGACTGAGCGAAAGATCTGACAGACTACTACCGTACTACGTATGTGTTGCAAATTGGTTAGGGCAAGCACACTCCAGCTTCCGCTACCACGCCGCAATGTCCAATTCCCGCTCTATAAAATTGCAGGGTATCAACGCTACCGGACGCCACGCTCATTGAACACAGTATCGAATCCTACTTTCCTCAACGGACGACTTGTAAAATCGTGTTCGTCTCAAACTGATGAATCCAACTCTATACGCCAATTGATGGGACATGGTTGATCGTGCTGCGAATCATCCGCCTTGAGTTTTCGGAGTATTCCTATATCGGGCAATTGCCAACCCCTCTGAGAAACGGGACTATGAAACCATGCATTTGTGACAACCAGATGACTAAATGGGGCGTAGGTTTGTACCACACCGGGGACCCGGCCCATAAATGGCTATGTCTCCGTACTCATCATTCACGATCCTGGACCTGAGAATTTGGCCGCCAACATGCCCTAGAACAGCTTCCTGTGACTCTCGTATGCGATCAATTTGGAGACATGCATCACTTGAGTGGGCTTTAATTATTTTTTGCCCCGTTAATGAGAATGCATCTCAAGACTTCACCTTTACGTGTTCATCGGGCATGGCCTGAATACTTTATGCAGCGGCTGCCGGAGAAAGAACCACCAATAAATGTGTCTGACTCTATCGAGCAATTATGAGCTTATGCGAGTCCTAGGCCTCGAATATAGTATCCGAAGCGTGCGCATGTCACCTGTTTGTGGGTGTCAACGGACAAGATACCTGTCAGCGAGGCAGTTGTCGTAGTGGTGTACTAAACAAGTAGTTCTGCGGTACCAATAATTCTCTATGGACTACAATCGCTCCGGTTACAATGCTTCAACGCCACAGCTAAACCTAAACGTTCTTCCCTTGAATGTGGGAATCTAGGACTCCTCGAATTGGACCGGCAGAGACAGGTGAAATAGTATGGTTTTCTGCTCTCTCAAGGCACAGATAGAAAATTTCTCCGCTGCATTACCAGATTAGGAAATTGGTGTCCAAGGAGGTTTCGCGAACAGCAATACTGGAACGAAGCCACGGTTGACAAGACGGATCTCCAATTCACCATGAAACAGATGAGTCAACTAGTACTCCTTTAGAGTGATAATCTACGATCCACTAATTCAAGTAGCTCAATACCGAGCATGAATTGCGAGGTTGCTGCCAATGATCAACTAACCTTAAGCTACCAACCAATGGAAGTAAAGCTTCTAAGTAGTACCTCCGTAGTGACTTAGAAAAGTAAGAGCCACCCGAACTTTTTAGCGTTTGCGCTAAGCATATTTATCAACTTACTACTCCTCCATATGCTCGCGCACAGAGATTCAGTCCTTGCTTGCCCTAGTCTGATAAAACGATGTAACAGCATGAATGGGTCTTAGCTGCTCCTGAATTTTACTAATTCACTGTCACGATACAAGCTTGCGCATGATAGGGACGAGGAGATGGAACGCAGAGATGTTACTTTTCCTCGGCCTACCCGATAGGTAGCAATGTCGTGTTCCAGTCACCATCCAGAGAGTCCAAGGCCTTTTGAGTTCTATATAAACAGCTGCCAGTGTTGCCGGTCTCCTTTGAAGGGTCCCATCTCTTGTATATTCCTCATAAAGAGTACTTATCCTGACTCCTCCATAATTCCTCTGAGATTCTCTATATACTATCCTTAGCCCACGTATTATATACCATCTGCTTCTGTCTTGTACCTCGACCATTCCTTACAAATGTGCTGCCGCTATGCTTCCCTCCTCCCCGTTCTGGCTTCTCTGGCCTTAGCCTGGGCTCCTCCCTCATACTCAGGGTACACGCTGCAGTGGAGTGACAGCTTTGCTGGCTCATCAGCAACGCTCCCTAACTCTAATAACTGGAACATCATCGCCGGGAACCTAGGGGTGAATGGTGAGCTAGAGACATATACTAGTTCAACCGCGAACGTCCAGCTGAGTGGTGGTGGCACGCTGCAGTTGGTGCCTTTGAAGGACAGCTCTGTATCAGGTGGGTGGACTTCAGGCCGTATTGAGAGCAAGTACACCTTCACACCGAGCGCGGGGAAGGTAACACTTGCTGAGGCCAATATCCGGTTTGGCAGCAACCCTACCTCAAACAAACAGGGGATCTGGCCAGCATTCTGGATCCTGGGGAACTCCATCCGATCAGGGACTGGGTGGCCTGGGTGTGGAGAGCTTGACATCCTTGAAAACGTTAATGGCCAGCTGGTGGGCTACGGCACCGCCCACTGTGATGTTAACCCAGGCGGCATCTGCAATGAGCCTAACGGCCTGGGGGGAAGCATCAACATTCCAGATCAGTCATGGCACACATGGCGTGTGGCTTGGGATCGTACCCCATCTAACTGGCAATCTGAGACAATCACTTGGTATATGGACGGCCAGCAGTTCCACCAGCTCACCGGGTCCCAGATCGGCAACTCGGGTGTGTGGGCCACGCTGTGTCACAACCCGCTGTACTTTATCCTCAATGTTGCTGTCGGCGGCTATTGGGTAAGTCCAGAGACTCTTTTGATTTTGCACCTTTCCCAAATGTTCATAAGATGCGAGTGTGCTGACGTGACATGTTTTTTAATATTGAAGCCCGGCTATCCTAACTCGAACACCCTCGGCGGCTATGGCAGCATGATGGAGATCGGTTATGTCGCCGTCTACGTGTCTTAAAGCTCTGTCTGTGGTACCAGTATACTGGTTGCCAATATTGCTTTCGAACCAGCCCGTACATACTCGCTTTTATATAGCCACCCAGTCGTTTCATCATATATTCACTCTTTCTATCATCATATTGGACTTTGGGACGTAAAAGATAACGAGTAAGTGCTGAGCCGTAGGACGCAATCGGGATATATGGCTAGCATGCAAAGGCATACAGTATGATTGGCCGTTCTAATAATCGCGCTGTTCCGCTCGCTACCAAACTACGTTAAGTACAAACTTGACTGGGATTTATTAGTTTTGACTCGGAATGGTTCCTATCGAAAAGACTGTAAGATGAGTCCCCTCCTCAGCAGTCATAGGCTTGGCTCTCCCTGAAAATTGTCGCAATATCCATATGACTGTGCAAGTGGTCGGTTTATGGAAGCAGAGACTAGTTTTGGTCCTTTAGGCTACCGTCCCCTTCGTGCCCCGTCGAAAAAGATGAGACGGCTATGCGAAAAATAGTGGCTCGCCTACAACTGGCCAAATGGATGTGGTCAATACTTCTCTAATCATTGTATTTTCACACTAACTAGGAGCAAAGACGGATGCGAACCCTTTCTTTGTTAACGCTGGTACTGTGAAGGTGGCCACGCAACATCAAGCTTCAAAGGTCCTGATCCCTAGGGAATTATCTCCACGAATCAGCGATGGTTATTGCGGTCTCAGCACACCCGCTGGGCAAAGTATAGGATCGATTAGGGCCGCTTTCCCATATAACACTTCCATCCTGCCCCTTCCTGATGAATTTGTACTGGAAATAGGTACCAGCATACAAGTCCAGCTTCACACTCCACACTGGGTTCGAAGACGTGTATCCGCTAGCAGACAGTGCAACGGCTCTAGAAGTGTCCCAGTTCCCAAGCTGGTCGATTGAACCGGAAATGAAGATATTTTCCCCATACGAGGTGGCCACCCGCTCATTAAAAACAACAGGAAGCGCCGTGGAGGGAGCGCAGGTGCCAGTAGAGGTAGAAGACACTGTCGGGGTGGCCAGGCTAGAGGTGGATGAACCGCCGCATAGTCCGCTTCCAGATACCCAAGGGGATGGAACGAGCACACGAGGGAGGCCAGACGACATTGGGACGGGTAGGTTGCCGTTTGAGTCGACTTGAACGGAAGAGCACGTGTACAATTCAGTCAATCTCGAGCCGGACGAATCCCATGGCTGTCCAAGTTGAGAGTGTACGAGCCGGCGTTGGAGCCGGAATTGGTCAGGACCGTGATGACGTTGGAGCCTCCGGAGCCCTTTTTCATCGCGATAGTGTGGCTATCTGTGTAGAAGGGATTGTTCTTTGAGATTTAGTATGGGGGTTACAATGATAGGCTGCCCGACTTACCTTTGCCGGGAGATAGTTCAGATCCTTTGAGATGGCAAGCCTGCGGATCTTGTTTGTCGTGGCGATGAACTTGTAAAGCTCCGAGTTGGTGGAATATCCAGAAAGCCACAGAGCTTCACGGTTGTATGGATCCGCGCCACCGGAATAATGTTGCTCTTGGCCCGAGTAAATGATAGGAATACCGTCAGTGAGGAATATATAGGCAATCCCGCTCTTGGCTTGGGATATGTCGCTGGTATAACTGTAGTCATTAGCATAAGCATCATAGTGCCCTGGGGCGTAGCTTACCTTGGAAATCGGGGATTGTCATGGTTCTCGATGAAATTTCCAAGGAGAGTTGGATCCTTGCAGGTAGAAGCGACAGAGCTGATCATATATTTGCGAAACTGCTGATGCTACCGCTCGAGGACTTGAAAGCGTTGACGAGTTGGTAGTATCTATGGCGTCAGATGAGGGTGTGCGAGACGGCGGGCAAACTTACATGGGATAGTTCATGACACCGTCCATGTAACCTTGGCAACGACAGGTATATGCAGGGTCTCCATGGAGAATTTCACCAACAGAATAGACTCCAGCAGCCTGCGTGTAGCCACTCCAAAAGTCCTTCTCGACATGCTTGGCGGTGTCGATGCGAAGTCCGTCGACTGTTCTTCTCAGATATTGGCATGACAAACGACGGAACGACAAGACTTACCATGTGGTTGGCCACAACGTCCATCATCAAGTACATTCCCCGGTCATGAAGAGCCTTGGACAATGCCCGAATATCATCGGCGGTTCCGAAATGAGAATTGACATTATATCTACGGAGTATGGGATCAATATTGACCTTGGTCACCTGCAGCCCCGAGGACCTACATATTCCGAGGCCAGTACCCGTGGAACCCTGTTCCCTCAGGTGTTGTCTGCGGGATCTGCTCGACAATTGGCGTGATCCAGATGGCGGTAAATCCCATGCCTTGGATATAGTCAAGCTATTTTGGTCAGAGCTTTCATGGATAAATTGCAGGCTGTTGACCTACGTGATCAATGATGCCTTTCCAAGTTCCGCCGCAATAGCCCTGTCATCGTTAATACCGGACCAAAAACTATGGACGTCAACATACACGTTGTCCAACATCGCAAGGAGTAGTGGTGGAGCCATCTGTCCGGGCAAATCGGTCCGTCATGAGAAAGTAAATCGATTGATTGCGCCATTCGGCTGCATTCAATGCCAGTACACCTTCCCACAGCAGGGGAATTGTCAATGCAATAGTAAGGAGATTCATGTTGATAAAGCCGCAAGAGCCAAAACTGATCAATCTTAATGCTTGCTCGCTGATTAAAGAGAATGTTTGCGACATCTGAGCCCTTTTATCTGCCTAGTTCGGATTTTATATCTGGATTGAGGGACAAGGCCCATCCTGCGGAGATTCGACTTCAGTCTCGGAAAGACAACGGACGGCACTTGATTCTCGTTTGACGGACTTTTCAACCTATCACAAATAACTTTTTCATGGTAAGTGCTCCGTGACGAAGTCAGACATAGATGTGTGTCCTTCCGTGTGCGTATAGGATTCCCTGGCATGAGGGTGCAATAGTTTTCTTCGGATGGTGTCTGTTTAGGATATTCTCCCGGTCATACATGTGCTGATCATCTTCTGCAATAATATGCCTATGCCGAACTTGCAGCAATCCACGCGTGAAAGGGTGCCCTTGGCATTAGACAACGCATTTGAAGGACCCATTGCCAAATCCCCGGCTCCGGAGAGAAGACGCCACTTCGGAACACATACGACATCAAATAATCATTAGAACTGCACTAGCTGCAATGGTTTTAGAAGGATCGATCTCGGACCGAGCACTTCAGAAGAACAGAAAGGTGTCATGCATTGGCCAATTGCGGGGCTTCATTTCTCGTGGAGAACAATGAGGAAACGGGGGTTTCATCCTGCATCATTGTCTCAAATCTTGGCGATTCCAAGTGGCCGGGTATGAAATATCAAAATTATACGAGGACAGCGGCATCGTCAGGGTGGCAGGAAAAGAACGGGACGGAGATTAAAGCGGGTTGGAGGCAAATGGCAGTCCTCTGGCAAAATGATAGTCAGAAGCTGTTGAAGAGTCTTGATCTGAAATTGGAATACTATAAAAGGAGACTGTTAAACAAGACAGAGGAAGGCAACGCTCTTTTGGCTATAATGGGTGAGAGTTTTTCGGGAATAGCCATTCACTTCTGGACTACTGCATTATCTGAAAACAACCAGTACTGATGTACGCTCTTACTTGAAGCACTGATAAAGAAGGTGTTCATCAATAAGGTTGCTCATTGAAAAGGCTCTAAATAACAGTTCTCAAGTTAGTTGTACTAGTCCATTCCTCATATTGAGATCTACTGCCCCAACGATGACTATCCACAGCCACTACGACAGATCAAGACACCATATAGGGAGGACATAATAGTTAGTATGTTAAACTATCGACAGTTGAGCAGCGTCATCTTGTACACCAAATCATTGCAGAAGCTTGAGTCTAGGTTACGTAGATCAAAGGTCAACTTGATAGGGTGAGCGTTTGGCTGATACAGCCAAGAATAGTTCTTGGATGAAATCCTTGATTGCATTAGCTGTTCTGTACACAACGGCCTGGCAGGGTTAATGGTGTAGTTGGTTAACTGACATAACTGTGTCCCTCTTGTTACGTAAACAATAATTATTAGCTCTTTGTCAAAGGCCAAGGTGCAATCTTTCAGGTCTTCTAAGTACTGAAGCTAGAAAGTTTTCTTGACTTCATCTCCATGATGACTTGTCCGTGACTGTCAACCAGGTCGCCACTAGGCGATGAATGCAATAAGCAGCTCGCCGCAGACTATTGACATATCATTTGACCTTTCCTCATCGCGAGTTAGGGCGGAGCGAGCGACATATCGCTGCAATGCGCACTTTGGACGCCGTTACTCAGGGAATCCGCTCTGATAATTTGTTGTACATGAACGACCAAGGAAAGACGTGAGTTTGTGTACCACTCGGTCCGACATGAGAGCTTAACAAGATCATTGGAGAAGATCTCGTTACTCACCGGGTTCAAGATCCTGCCACCATTCTCCTATGGTGGTGATTGGGTCCGGCTGAGCCGAATACGAAGCGCCATATGGGCTTAGCATATTCCCTGACTCAAGAAAAAACTGCCATTAGACCCTGCTGCATGTCTGGAGAAAAACCTCAGTGGATGAGCGATTCATTCAGCGAGGAGGCCTTGGAACCTTGAGAATTAGTAACCGGCCGCACGAGGATAGACTTGGAGGGGAAATTGTAAGCTGTTGAAGCCCAGACTTTCCTGTATCAGCCATCCCGGTACACGAGTCCCAGTTCCCAAATCCAGTGTCAGAACGGGCATTGGGCGGAGAATTGGCGGACACTGTATCCATTTAGCAGCTACACATGTTCTATATTGCGGACAAGGAGGGCTCACGCATCAACTCCAGGTTACCTGCCCGGTCCATCCACATGGTCCCGACGTCGCACGTTGAGGAGGTATAAGGCTGCCGGCTGCTCCAGTCGAAAACAAAACCACAACCATCTCAGAAGATCTAGTTCCAACTGCTCAGGATGGTCGGTCTCTCCAAGCATATGTGCAGCCTCTGGCTGGTTACTGTTGCTCATTGCTTGACCCTTCCTACTGCGACCAAGACCTCCGCGAGTTCTCAGTACGCCATTCCCTCTTCGGCCTCCAACGGCCAGAACGTGCTTGCCAACATTGAGGATCCCGAAGCTGTTGATGCGCAAGGGGTCTGCCCGGGCTACAAGGCGTCGGGTGTCCGCCAAACCAGGTCCGGTCTAACTGCCACTCTCGAGCTGGCTGGGAAGGCATGCAACGTTTACGGAACAGACTTGGATCGTTTGAATTTCACGGTTGAGTACCAGGCGGTCGATCGCGTCAACGTTCAAATTATGCCGGCTAATATTGATACCTCCAACTCCTCTTGGTATATTCTTCCGGAAAGCCTGGTTCCCAAGCCCAAAGCTGCGGGAGGTATGTCACTGGGCAGCAGTGACCTAGAGATTGCCTGGTCTAATGAGCCCACTTTCAATTTTAAAGTGACTCGGATGGCAACCGGTGACGTGCTCTTTAACACTGAGGGCAGCGTCCTGGTGTTTGAGGATCAATTCCTGGAGTTCAAGTCCTCCCTACCGGATGACTACAACCTCTACGGTCTGGGCGAGCACATTACCAGTTTTAGACTGCACAACAACCTGACCTTGACCACCTACGCGGTGGATATTGGTGACCCCTTTAGTACGTGAGTTACCAACGCAGTTAAACGGGCATTTACTGATTGACAAGAAGGAACCTGTATGGCGCCCATCCCTTCTACCTTGAGACTCGATACTATGAAGTTGGCTCGGGTAACCGGACGTATACCCCAGTCTCAAGCAGCACTACCGATCGCTCCAAAAAGTACACTTCATTCTCACACGGAGTGTACCTGTGGAACGCACATGGGCAGGAGGTGAAGCTACAGCCAGACAGCCTGACTTGGCGCGCCATCGGTGGCAGTATTGATCTCTACTTCTATGCCAATCCTTCTCAGGCTGCTGTAACCCAGAATTATCAGGTCAGCACCATTGGATTACCTGCCATGCAACAATACCCCACTCTTGGCTATCATCAGTCTCGCTGGGGATATCGTAATTGGGCGGAGCTCGAAGAAGTTGTGGACAATTTCGAGAAGTTCAAGATTCCGTTGGAGACTATCTGGTATGCTTTTTCCGGCTGCTGTTTCCAGACTGTACTGACGCAATAGCAAGGGCTGATATCGACTATATGAACCAGTACCGCAACTTTGAAAACGACCAGAACACTTTCGGGTACAAAGAGGGTAGGAAATTCTTGAACAAACTGCACAAGAGCGGCCGCCACTATGTGCCTATTCTCGATACCGGTATCTACGTGCCAAACTCTGAGAATGCTTCCGATGCGTGAGTGTGGCGCTATTGTTCAAATTCGAGTATCGCTAACGACGCGTAGTTATGATACCTATATCAGGGGTACAGCGGATGATGTCTGGCTCAAGAACCCGGACAGCAGTCTGTATATCGGCTCTGTGTGGCCTGGATACACCGTTTTCACGGATTTCCTTCATCCCAAAGCGGTGGACTTTTGGGCTAACGAACTGGTCAAATACCATGAGAGGGTAGCCTTTGACGGCGTCTGGATGGATATGAACGAGGCTTCTTCATTCTGCGTGGGCAGCTGCGGGTCTAACCTCAGTACTCACAATCCTGCCCATCCCCCTTTCAAGCTACCCGGTGATCCCGGATATCTTCTGTTCGACTATCCTGAAGGATTCAACATCACAAACGCTACGGAAGCCGCCTCAGCATCGGCAGCTGCTTCAAGCCAGGACGCGGCCAATTCTGCTACTCAAGGCCCTGCCACGTCCACGGCGATCACCTATCTACGTACAACTCCTACTCCTGGTGTCCGCAATATCAACTACCCGCCTTACGCGATAAATAACGTCCAATCCGGCCACGACCTGGCAGCCCATGCCATCTCCCCCAACGCCAGCCACGTCGATGGAACTCTCGAATACGACGTCCACAACCTGTACGGGCACCAAGTCATCAACGCGACTTACCAAGGGCTCCTAGCCATCAGTCCAAACAAACGCCCCTTCATTATCGGCCGCTCAACTTTCGCAGGCTCCGGCCAATGGGCTGGCCACTGGGGCGGCGACAACTACGCCAAATGGGCATATATGTACTCATCCATCCCCCACGCCCTCTCCTTCTCGTTGTACGGAATTCATGTTCGGCGTCGATACATGCGGCTTCGACGGAAACACCGACGAGGAACTCTGCAACCGGTGGATGCAGCTCTCCGCTTTTTTCCCGTTCTACCGCAACCACAACCGGCTGGCTGCTATCCCGCAAGAACCATACCGCTGGGCCTCGGTCATCAAGGCCTCGCAAGACGCAATGAAGATCCGTTATTCTATTCTCCCGTATATGTACACGTTGATGTATCAGGCTCACGCCACGGGTTCGACGGTCATGCGCGCTCTGGCATGGGAGTTCCCAGATGATCCGTCTCTGTCGGCCGTGGAGACGCAGTTCCTGCTCGGTCCGGCCTTAATGATTATTCCCGTTTTAGTGCCACAAGCGAATGCAGTTAAGGGAGTCTTCCCTGGTCTGGCGCACGGCGAGAAGTGGTATGACTGGTACACGCAGCGTGAGGTGCTTTATGCCCAGCCGGGGAAGAACACGACCATCCCGGCGCCGCTGGGGCATATCCCGGTATTTGTTCGGGGCGGGCATGTCATTCCAATGCAGAAGCCGGCGCTGACAACACGCGAGGCGAGGAATACGCCATGGTCTTTGCTGGTTGCGCTGGATGACAAGGGGGATGCGGCAGGCCAGCTTTACCTGGATGATGGGGAGAGTATTAGTCCGGAGGAAACTCTTACTGTCAATTTAGCTGCCTCGTCCGGTACGAAGCTGGTTGCATCTGTCGCTGGTTGTTGGAAAGAACGGAATAATATGGACAAGGTGACAGTTTTGGGCGTCAAGAAGGCGCCATCGCAGATCAGGTTCAATGGCCAGAAGGTCAAATCTGCTGTGTACAATGCCACTTCTCAAGTCCTCTCAATTCACGGTCTGCATGAGATGACCAGGAAGGGAGCATGGGAGAAGGGATGGGTGTTGGCATGGTGATCTGTTGTATTCCAAGCCTGTGTCAATCCTTGTGCTAAATAACTTCTCTCACGGCGCATGTAATTGTAGCCTCATATGCTCTGTCAACTGGTCTCCAAAGCATACCTCGGACTGTCTCTAGGAGAGGCGCTTACGCAAATCTCAAGCTTCAGATTTTCTGTTTCTATGAAGCCTTGGATTGAAGTACTGAAGGTGACGGGTACAGTGCTATCACCTCTTTCGCCCTGTGGGATCAACCTTACGCCTATTCCCATACAGGACTTAAGCATGACTCCCCTGAATATTGTGAAGCATCCTGACTCCTGTAAAGAGACATTCACGAGAAGATTAGCATGGCAGACACTCCTAATTCTCACATAGATGCCCAAGGCGCAGTAGTGACTTTCTCACAATGATTACTAGAATCGCAAGATCATAGTAGAGCCTTTATTTTATCACTGGCTTGTGCGAATGAACAGCAGATATAATGAGGAGGTGGCTTACCTATACGGATGGTCCTTGTTTTGCTTTCTTCCATACTCCAGAGTATATTCCCGACTACCATGGCAGAATGCGAAACCACGTTTCGATTCCCTTCGAAGCAGTCGCTCACTGACCACGTCTGTCTTCGGCATTCTCAGCTCCCTTTCCCTCTGCTCAGGAGGCATGGCACCAGCCAGGCCTACAACGACCGTGCACCATGTTTGTCCGGTTATCATATTGTTCCATCGCCGCACCGGCAGCGGACGATGATCAGTCTCAGTCTCCAGACTATGAAAACTCTATCGCCGTATCGAAGAATTCCTTCGAGTCTGGCCCACGGTGCAGGTAAACATCCAATTCTCATTCGACAGAGGTCCAATAAGATTCCATCTGCAGATCCCGGACAGGATATCGCCCTCTTGGCAGGAAGAATTGCTAGCCTCGCAATAGGGTACCCATTCGAGACGGCCAGTTAGATGCACCGTAAAAAGCCAACTGCTATCTAGCAAGACTTCGTATAGTGTGAGGTGGATCTGCATCTTCGGAAAGGTCTACTTCAGGCTGAACAAGGTCTGTGGCATTGCTGTCTGGCATTGCTGCGGTGTAGTCCCAAAGGGGCTGCGTCTGCTGTCGTCACCGAAGAGGAGTTTCGAATTCGGAATATTCATTGCGACTGCATCATTAAATCAACCCGCATGAAAGACTCGAGAAGCAGGCTGTTTTGGGGTGTTGCAGTTAGAAGACCCTAGCACGCGTTTGCTGAGCCTGTACCAGGAGATAACGAAGTCGTGGCCGAGGAATGAGCGGCGAGTCAACCACGAGAACGCAAACTAACCAATACGGTGCGGCTAGGAAGTCGATAAGGCTGCTTCTCAGTTAGTAGAGGCTGTAGCGACGCTCGTCGCTCGCATTGTGACGTTGGAATTCGGCACTGCGTGGTGACGGTGCGGCCGAGAAGGGTATTCGCACTTTATGCATATCTTTTCATCCATCAGAGTCATAGTGCTCGTCATTCTCTGTAAGCCATTGATTTACCACCTGCGAGAACCACTGGCGGAAAACATCACATCCCATTAAGGCTAGCACTTGGAGAGTATTTACCTGATACGGTTTTGGTCCGCTGGGATACTACCATATCTTACTATCATGGTGATTCCTGAAATAAGTATTATCAGAATATCGAGTGCTAGGAGATCCTCAATTCCACATGGTGCGTCCAAGTGGCACCATCCCCGTTTGCCGTCAAATTAACACCATAAAGGCCTTTCATCAGAGAATACTATGGCGTTATCTAACTACCTTGCTCGGAGCATCGTCAAGCTGCCAACGCCAAAGCCCATTCTAGACGCTTATATTCTAACCGATCCACTCAAATAATTTCCCCTTAAGAGGGTTGTTTCTTGCTCAGACCTAAACCTAAAAAAGGTTACATTATACACCTGCTTTTGGACTCGGATGATATATAAAACTGGAGTATTTAGAGATGAATCGTACATCTGCATGGAATTGCATGGATATACACGAAGTAGGCATCAGAAGGGCAGGAACACGCGGGTCCCTCGTGATATCTGTTCCTAGGTGGAGAGCCCACGGTATCAACAGCCAGCGCGACACTGTATCTAGTCCTTGTTCAAAACCATGCTTCCCAACTTCCTGGCCCGTCCATTCGCCATATTAGTAATTCTCTTATTTGACATGCCGATCCTCCACGCCCCTAGTACAGAGAAGTCGCCATGTACACTGTGATACGTGCCGACTAGTCGGCATCGCTGCACCTTCATTTCCTCATCTAAAAACATCTCTGTTTCTGCCTGATCGATCACTGGCTGTATAACATAAAGTACTCTACTGGGGCTGAGGTCTGCTTCCTGTAAGTCGGCAAGGATCGCCTCCCACTCAGAAACCGCCAGATCTTCCCCATGCTTTACTCCTCCCACTACCTGAGCGGATTGGTTTGATAAAGTATTTTGCATTCCGTCCAATTGGCTTGCCGTACTCGTCAACTATCCCGTTGGGAGTACAGGCTCATCAGCACATTCGACTTGAATAACCTGGTGCTTGATTTCTCCATCGCAACCCGTAATCACAAGCGCGCTTAACCGATGGCCGTATAAACACGCTGAATCCAGTCCGATGGTATACCTTCCCAGTTGCAAACGACGCTTTGCATCGTGTCCGAATATCACAGTAGTCTTGGATGCTAGCTTATCTTGCCATCGGTCCCATTCCATAGCCCAGCCTTCTTCCCCGAAGGTTTCAGCAGGTTTGAATTCGCTCTCCTCACCAGATGTGCGGACGAGGGATCGCATATGCATGATAGCGTGTGGATCCTGCGCTTCAAGTGGGATACCAGGAACGAGGCCCGCATGTACAACAATTAAAGTATCGCCGAAGGAGGATGTCAAGTTAGGAGGTAGCTTGATGCGCAAGATCAACGGCAAAGCGGCAAGCCAGTCGAGCTGACGGGTCGAAAGTGCCGATGCTGTAGTATACGTTGCTGCGCTATGTTTCCTACTTGCCCCGGTGGTAGCTGATGCGTCTTTGTCAGGGACCTCGGGATCTTGGACAGTATTCCCGAGCACATCAGCTTCGGGGGTTTCTGGTAGGGCCGGACTACCCGTCAAGCCTCCAGATTGTAGTAGACTATCCTTTGTGGCTCTGATCTCCGCGGCCGCATTAATAACAGCATTGTCATGGTTGCCTCTCACTGCGGTGGCGCCTAACTTCATAGCCAGATCAACAACACCAGGGCTATCGGGCCCTTTACTGACTAGGTCGCCAGCTAGTATTAGATGATCTCCGTTGCGTTTCTCGAAACCAACTTTGTCTAGGAGTGCCTCCAAGGATTTTCGCATCCCATGCACATCGCCTACAATGACCAAGCGCCGGCTGACAGGGCCATTTTCGGAAGATGATGGGAGGGACTGCGGAACGAAACTGGTCGGTAGCTCCGAAATAAACGTTGTGATTGGAAATATCTCATCGGAAACTTTTGTAGGAGTCATTTTATCAGCTGGTCCTATGGTTCAGGGCCGGGCTCGAGCGATATGTCCCAACATGCTCAGACTGCTCACTCAACAGTTTTCATAGCTCTGGAGGAGGCGGTGAGCAGATGACATGAACAAGCACAACGGAGTCATGGGCTACGGCTAAAAGGAACTTTTGGTTTTCTATAATGATTACATCTCACCACACTCCTTAGTAGTATAATGATCTAATATTAATATTAAATACCATCTAGTATCGATATTGAATGCCAAGTAGCATCAAACCGAATGCCAACCAGTATCGATATTAAGATATCAAATGCCATCTAGTATTGATTCAAATACCATCTAGTATTAATATTGAATGCCATCTAGTATTAATATTAAATATTATCTAGTGCAGCCATAGCAATATTTAAGATTTATGGAGGTAGTGATATTAGGTAATACATGTGGTGAACAGTAAAAGCATCCAAAAGTTCCTTTTGTACAAATAGTCTGCCGTAACGGCGGACTATAGCTACAATGTGGACTTTTGAAGCTTTTGACTTTTTGCCGTATGTACTATCTATAGCCACTACTTCCGCAAAGACGCAATCATAAAATCAATCCTTAATCGTCTCCCGTCCAGTGTTGGACACATAATGGCCTTCAACTCGTCAGGGCTCGAGATGTCTGCATCGGTCTGCACGTACACTTGCTTGAAGTTTCTCTCTTTTAGCAGGCTGACCAGACTTTGCCTGGCATATTCTCCGTTTCCTGACATCCTATGATCACAATCCTTTGCGACGCGATACACACTCCTCCACTTGGTCAAGATTGCTTGTGGCGATCAGAAACACATGGTCCAATTGCAGCGGTCCGGACAACGTCGCAGCCACCAAAGGTGAGTCTCGTATCCCGATGGTAGCAGGCGGGAATTGGCTAACTCTTCGCCCCGGCCAACAAGGCTCGGAGCACCATGTACATATGTATGTATCATGCTTTGGTTGGTGAGGTAGATGGGGTGTCAGATCCGCATGGGCATCGATCAACAGGGCTGCCATCTCCTGGCCGTACATGGACGAGCATCGTGGCCGAGAGTGCCATAGTTGCGAATCAGGTGGTTGCCGTTGTCCTCTGAACCGTCTGTGCTTATGCCACTTTGTCGAGGACGTATACTGATATAGCGAATGTCCTTCGCACAAATTTTTGGATCATCCACGGGGAGCGGGAAAGAGATTGAGAGCCGTGGTAAATCTTGTCATTATCTCCAGAGCCTTCCCATTGAGGTAATGCAGTAGAAGGAGTGGGCTGCTCATTTTTCAAGACTCGTGGGATTGATTCATAACGCCAACCCATGCACCTTCGCTGCCTCTTCTTCGGTTTTACCCCTGTCGTCAATTAGTAAATGTTTCTGGTGACAGCAACAGCGGGAGATGGCACGAACATCAGAAGTTTGCGGACAGGATACGTCTCCGCACAACGGCCAAACGGCCTTCCCCTCTCTCGGCCTCGAGGTCGGATGGTAGGAGTCCAAGCTTGTGGCCAATTGGTCAGCTGCAGTAATGGAGACCTAATGATCCCATACCGAGCCCTATCCAACACGGCAAGCCAGGATCCCATCCTGCTATCAGTCGCAAAACCGCCTCTAGAGGCTCCAAGATGGAACTCTCCGTCTTCAGTCCAACTGCACTGAAACACACTTGGCAAACTGGGTCTTCCTTCCCTGATCAGCTTTGAGCACCACTGTCCGGTAGACAGCGGTCAGCGGCAGGTAGAAATTCCTCTTCGTTGCTGTTGTGGGAGCTCGACCTAATGAGCTCATGAAGAGCCCCAAGAGGTCCGGAAGGGCCCAGTATTCCACTCCATCGTACGTCGACTTTGTAAGGCGAAATCGCGCCAGGGCCGAGGGCCACTTGGGATGACGCTTACGGTCGATGTTCTGGGGTGGAGGTGGGACGAGGTAGCCGGGGCCATCGGGGCGGCTTTCTTCGAAGTTAGCTATATTTGCATATGCGTTCCTGACTAGCAGCTTACCGGAGGCGGGTGATATCTGCATGTATTAATCGCAGGTTGGCGACATTCTGAGGGAGGACTCCGTATGCACCAGGGTTGCTGGCGATATCCGCTAACAGCGCGACACTATCGCTCCAGCTCAAGGTGTACGCCTGCCGAAAATCACCACGGCCGTTCAGCCACAAAAAGCAACTGTTCAGCCATAGTGAATTACTCCAGAATGATGCCGCCTACGATCATCTACAAGGCTACGTTGGACAACAAAGGCTGTGAACTATTTGGATTTGCTCTACTTCTCCAAAGTGGAAGGAACGGACGGGCCTTGCCCTTCAACCATCATTTCCTCCTCCTCCCAGGGCTCCTCATCGACAACCACGGGCCGGAGCACCTTCATCCTCAATTCCCTCTCCCCCTTCGTGGCAAGAGCGCGCAGAATCTCCGGCCAGGTCCTGGACTTGGTGATCTCAAAGATGTGATCAATCATCAGATCACCCCGGAAAAAGCGGCCACCCGACGTGATTATATATGCCATATCCCCAGTATCAGGGCTAGTCATCAACAGAGGTTTAGGGTCATTTATCCCATGGCGTCGGGCCAAGTGGGCCTCTGCAGAGTCATAGTCGAAAAACCCTTCGAAGAGCGCGGGGTCGTTAGTCCAGCCATTTGGGATGGCTTCAGCCTAGACACGATTAGACTCGACGTTGTAGTAACTGGGTTGTGGATTATGATTTACTGGTGTTCCCATGATAAAATTGAAAGAGTTCTTGAAGGGACTGATGCAGTCGTTGAGAAATTAACTCTTGTCTCTAGATACCTAAGGTTAGCACGGGTGTTATCATACGAATAACTTTCTCGAAGGCTTCTTTGAAGTAATTTCGGTTATTGTGTAGTTGTATGGATGAAATGAAGAGAGAGAGAAGTTTGTTATCTGAGTCTGGTTGGGGTCAATCTGGTTGGGTCAGTAATAGGTAATGGGTGAATTACAGCGGACTGTAGCTACATTGTGGGTTTTTGAAGTTTTTTACCGTCCGCCGCATGTATTACCTATTGCCACTACTACCACAGATATTAAATCATCATCTAGTAATGATATCAAATCCATATCGAATCCATAGTATTCAATATCAAATCACCATATAGTAGAGAATCGAATTGCCGTATAGTAGGGATTGGAATCGCTATATAGTAGGGATATAAATCACCATATGGCAATTCGAACCCCTACTATATGATGATTCAAATCCCTACTACATGGCGAAGTGAAAAACAGATTGAGAGCCGTAGTAAATCTTTTCGTCATCTCCAGAGCCTTTGCATTGAGATAATGCAGTGGAAGGAGTGGGCTGCTCATTTTTCAAGACTCAAGAGGCTTCTTGTCGCAAGATGAATGGGAACGTGGAAGGCATGACATCTTGTATTTTTTATAATGGTCGACGAGGAGATGATTCATTTCCAATTATATTTCCATTGTCTTTGATCATCGACGTGAAATACGAGCCGGCGTCGAGAAACGGATATCGCAAAGTCATCTACTGGTAGGTGGAAGCATATCTTTTATATCTAATTATATCAAATATGGTTTCGTCACGATGCAAAGTGGCCGTTCATTCCAACCACCGTCTGGACGGTTTGTTTGATTAGCTGCTTGAACTGCTCGAGGGCCCCTTCGTTTTCTTAGCTATCCAGGAACTAAAATCTTGTATATACTCGCACCAGAAGACGGCATCACACGCAGAAGCGGCGAGGCAACCGTAGTTTGTCAGTCATGGAAGGTTAGACTGTATTCAACCGGATGATGAGCGCGCAATGGATCATCTCGATTTAGGGTAAGCGCCGCCAATCCGAATTTAAAGTAAAATTGCTCAATGGTGACTCAATCCTCAGCCATCAATTGTATACCCCGGAGGGTGAATCGTATCTCTACTGGAGGAGTTACTCTTGATAAATTGGCGGACTACATGTACGAAGCACAGTTATCGTACTCCGTAGACCATGACAACATACACAATCCCGTCTCCATCGTAGAGCCGACAAACAGTCCCGTCCCGACATTTAGGAAGTAACGAACAGATGAGACAGGCCGAGATGCCGTTGACTTGTCGAGAGCAGCCACGACTTTGTTTTTAGGTTTGGAAAAGGGGTCCAATCCCTTAGCTTTCGAGGAATGCAGACCAATGCCGCGTGTCTACTCGCGCCGCTGATTGGTTTAATTTAAAGGAAAGCCTCGTATTCCTCGTGCTGTTCTCCGCAAAGCTAAGTTAGTCTTCATGCTTCCACGGTTGATGCAAATGTCAAAGTTTCCGCCTAGTCGTCTTCCGGTGGCAACTGAAACTTTGAGATGCGGTTATAGGGGATGCCGAGATGGAGGTTACGATATCATCCCAACCCTTGCACCTTTCTTCAGTTATGCGTCCATGGCCTCCTCTTTACGCAGTAGAGGTCAAGATCTCGTTGCAGTGGGATCTTCTCTCTTCTCCTTTACATTTACGATCTAATCTGATTTGGGAAGAACGGAGGTGTAAATCTTCTACCAACACCTAGTCGGTGTTGCATAGTAGCCACACGGAGTCGCTCCAGGGCCCAGGTCACTTAATACGCCAGAGGATGGACCAGCATCGTCCGAGTGGGCAGGGCCGAGCAGCTATGGGCTTAGACTACGTTATTCTTGAAGCCTGGAGCCAAGGGTTTCTTGTCGGAGGACTGATCATACTGATTATGATTACCTTGGCAAACATTCGAAAAGGTGTGCTTTTGCACAAGTTGATCCTATTAGAGGTATGTGCACTGTCTACTACTTGACTAAGTTGCTCAGAGTTGATTGTTTTAGCTCCTCTTTTCTCTAGGCCATGGGACCTTTGTCTTTTTCCCCGATCCAGCATACGGCTGGTGAGTCCCCCGGAGAACTGCTGAATCTGAAAGAAGTCTCGGCTAATCTTTAGATCAGGTATCTCAGCTCTACAGCTTCCTTGCTGTACGTATCTTACGCTATTCACAATGTAGTCTCTTGGATGAAGATAAAGCCGTTCTTATCGCAACTGGGTAGCACCTTGTTCATCGGTACTGTAATACTGGTAACTCCATACTGGGTTGCTGAAATGTACTTGAACTTCGAATACTTTAACGGACTCGGCAATGACTCCTTCACGTTTACTCGTCCCTGGGAAGTTGTTGTAAGGTACGAGTCCTTTGTCCAGAAAAACTATTTTCTTTGCCCACCTTGCACGCATTCTGATAAGCTCCCACAGAGATGGCTGGTGGATTTTCACAGCATGCTGGTTGACTTACAGTATCAAAACGGGCTATAATGTCACTTTGGTAGAGCTGGTCAAAATCAGTTCCAGGTTCGGAATACTGCTCTTATGCATGATTCTCTCGATTGTGTTTATGTTTGTGGATGTTGCTGTGACTGTGGGCCATCTATTCAAAAGTAAAGGAGTTAATCCCTTCTGGAAGGTATGATCTGTTTATATGATATAGAACTTAGCTAACCAATGAGCAGCCGTACATCATATTTAAATGCGCCGCGGATGTGGTTTTTCTTGATGATTTCAAACATGTTATTGATAGGCTTGTTATGCATACAGTTGCCATGAACACTTTCCCTGATGGCGGCGAAATTGGGCTAAGACAGTCAGTGCAGACAGCTCCCATCCGCGACATTGATCTTGAACCTTCACATCAGGCATCGTCATGACCAGCAAGGGCATGGTCCCGGCAGTAGGGGACCTCCGATGCTCTTGGTGCCCACTTCTGCCCCGAGGCGCTTCTGGCGCAGTCGTTTTGTCTCCGCCTCATCCCCCCTCTTTCTTCTTTCTATCATGTGGTGTGGCATTCGGGGTTGGGCGACTATAGCTTGCCATGATGACCTCAGTGAAGCTAGCATATAGTCCTTTGAGACTTCTTGAACAGAAAATTGCTTTTTTTCGCCTCAGACATTAGGCTTGAACCCTCATAAATCGAGAATACCAGCAACAAACGTGGCGAAATCAGTGGCAAGTATGTGCATGAACGTGCTGAAGAAGTATCTGAAGCCAGCAATAAATTTCATGACGTATAGAGGTACAAACATTATACCATGGTCCATTAATTTACATCCGTCTAGTTCAAGTTCCCAGATACAAGACATCTGGTAGAGACACTGACTAGTTCAGCCCTTTGAGAATCTCCGGGAAAAGAAGCTCATCGTACTGCCACAACGTGGTCTGGAAATTGACCGAGAAAGCGCCGCCGGTCCACCAGGTCGACCGTCCTCCCTGCAGCGCGTATAGCTTCTGGTAAAAGCCGTCTTTCAAGTCTGCAACCGACACGCGGGCATGCATGGGCCCATGTGCAGAGAAGTCGACCCAGCTCACCTGCTCCCCTTCCTTAGCATCCAACAGGCGACCGGCTTTGCGGAGAGTATCAAAGTCCCTTTGCACCAGTTGTCTGGCGCCGGCAGAGTCGAGTGCCTCGTCACCGACGATCGTCACTCTGAACACGTTATCGCCGCCGAGGTAGTCAATGCGAGCCGTGAATGAGGGATTCGGCAGAGCAAGATAGTTGTCGGGCGCGGCAGAGGCAGGGAGGTTGAAATAGGAGTGGTTTGTTACGAATGCAGAATTGTTCACCAGACCGGTGTATTCGTTAGTGTAAGTAAACTTGGAGAAGACCGTACGCTCGTTATAGTCCAGGTCAAAGGGCGCCATGTTGTCCTTGGTCGGCTCGATGGCGAGGAGAAGCCTGCGGGCCGTGATCAGGGTGACCTGGCCTGTTTTGCTGTTCTTCACTGTCAGGAAGACGCCATATGGGGTACGCCAGCTGTCAACAACTGTGCTCGAATATAGGACGTCGTCTCCGAGATGATCGGCTACAGCGTCATACAGGTCCTGGTTGCGACCGGATGCAGGGACAAACATTCCTTGCTTGCCCAGCATCGCTCGAGCCATGGAGGGACCGAACGACTGTAGAACAAACAGGGTGGTTTCCCGCGTCATGTTCCCGAGGCCAAGACCGGTACTTTCGTAGATCAGAGGGACGGCAGCTTCGATACCATGCTTGGTGACAAAATCACCAAACGTGATCAGAAGATCTTCAGGAATGGCATTTGGCTGGGGAAATTCGTAGTAGCCAGGCTGCATCAGGTGCTCCCACGGCTCCACCACCTCGAGGAATTTCGCAATGGCCGCAAACTGGTCGGGAAAAGGTGGCAGCTGCATGTTGACCACATCTCCGGTTCGGAAGTCAATGTACTCCGTTGTGACCGTGGGGTTGGACGAGTTGCCCCTGGCGATGCCAAAGCGATCAAAGAAGCCCGTCGCATTGCCGGCGTCGATGAAAATCTTGACGCCGTAGTCAAGAGGGGCGCCGGTCTTGGGGTCGACGTAAGAGTCGACCATACCACCCTGTCGGGGTCAAGAACTGTCCATTTACCGGAGGCAGGGATAAACTTACAAGGATGCTCTGCTTCTCGATGAGAGCAACACTTTTGCCAAAATCATCGCGAAGTCGCACCGCGGCGTAGGCACCAGAAGCACCGCCACCGACAACAACAATGTCCTTAAATAGGGTATTTGGCAACAGATTAGCCGTGGCCAGAGACGCGGCTGCGGCCAGGCCGAGGATAGGAGATACGAGAGAGAGCATCTTGGGAGGTTTATATGAATGATATCTTCAGGAGTAGATTATACCTTTTGGCATCAGGGGCCGCACTTGGTTTATAAATCTGCAGCTGACCCGGTGGGCTTCTATTCTTCGGCATGATATTAAGGGAGTATCAACCTCATCCAATCACTTTGACCACACCATGACTTGACGACCACGGCTATTTCGGCAGTAACCCTACATTGAGCGATTTTGTTGACCTGGACGAAATTGATTGGCCGATAGCACAAATTGAAGTGATAGCTATGTCAGCTATGCCGTGTTTTAGCCTTTATAATCCTTGCGCATGAAATGCCAAGTCCGTGCTAGAGTCGGACGAGAACCGGATACGGAATTCATGTCCTTCTCTGCAGCTAAAGGGTTGTACTCATTCGCCGAGTTTTACACTGGCCAGCGAGTTCACCTTCGAAGGAACAGTGAGTCAGTGACTTCGGGGCACTAAAGTGTGCTAGGTGACATTCTGATGAATCTTGGCAATCGGGAGATGTCAGCTAAACCTGGGCCCGTCTCTGTGCCTGTGTAGAAATTCTGAGAGTGTCTTGCAGTGACTGCATATGCACTAAAAACATCGAGGGGTGGGCTAATTTATCCGATAATCCTGTAGCATTGCTCATGTCGCTAACAATGCATTGTCACAAAGTCAGCCTGCTAACCGTATTCGGCTGAGACGACAGTATTAGCCTCTATTGAGTAAGCAGACACCAGGGTAGTGATGCTTTTGTCGCGTGATTGGAGGATTAATGTTTATATACTCTGACATATGAAGCTATGGTTCGCTGATTTTCATCATATAGAGGTACGCGCATATATACTTGCACAAAGATTGTGTGTATCATAGTACATAAATAATCCTTAGAGCCGAGAAGAATTAGGGACCTAGATAATAAACTATGGTGGTTACAATAAGGCGACAGTAGCATTCCCATCTCCATGGACATCGCAGTCGAAGTGATAGCCATAGATTTCATGTACTGCCGATCATACTCTATCAGAGAGAAATCAGAAAATCAGTTTATAGAGTTGTATAGTAGCAATGAAATACATGTCCCTGTTCTTGTATGCTATTGTTTTGCTTTTGGTCATGGAAAGAGTCTGGAACGTGTAATTGCCGCAGGAGCATCGGGAATATATTCCCAGATGCAACAACTTGAACTGCCGTCACCTTGGGAGTCCAAACTTCCCCAGAGCAGAAGTTTAGAGTGGCAAACCCTGTCCGTGCACATGTCTTATACCAACCCCGCCGGCTTCTGGCAGCATGGAGGGCATAACCCGTCAACAGGCGACACTGATTGATTCTCCACCGATTGTCCCGTAAGCTTATCTGTAGGTAGAACCAGTGGAACCAATCACAACACCTTACCCATCTCGGCGATCCGCATGTAGTCACGTGCCATGGGCACCTATTCTTGGCTCTTTCGTTGATCGGGGTCCAGTGTTGTCTGGAACCTCGAATTGCTTGGATTTCATCTAGAAAGAATTGAGCAGTCAATTGTGAGCTGGAATAAGCGGGGAACAGTTGTACCCCTATTAGATGAAGTAATTTCCGCCGTCTCGGATCCGACCTGCATACAAAATGAGGACGATCCATGGATGGTCTCTTCATGCGCATGTTACGCCTGCAACTTCCACCCAATCGGACTGCATTGATTGAGGCCGTGACCCACTTATTGCCACAAGCCAGCCGAGGCCATCAAAGCGGCCAATCAAACCACTGCACTTAACACGGCGACACAGCACAAATGCACAACTGCCGAACCAGTGTCGACGCTGAAAATGGCCCTTTGATGCTGATCACCGAGGTTTCTCACTTTCGGCCGGCCACTCGCTTCTCGCTTTGTGTTCGGATCCGACCAAATGGGATTATATTTACAGTCTCGGGCTGAAATGTTCAGCATTTCTTCCCAAGCCCATCGCATCATGCCGCGCCGCATCCTGATTGTGGGTGGTGGAATCGCCGGTCTCACGGCCAGCATCGCTCTGGCGAAAGAGCTCACACAAGTCGAATCAGATCTGGACATCACCATCTATGACAGTCGAAATGAACATGAGATGGGAGATGGAGGAGCCATCAGTCTCACCCCGGTCGCTCAGCACCACCTGGATCAGCTGGGCGTCCTGCCTGAACTCTCTCGGATGGGAGAGGACACGGGAATTGAAGTGGATGAAATCAACCTCTACTCTCTCCGCTCCGGGCGATCGTTGGGTCCCTTGCGATTTACCGACGAGACCGGACGCGGTTACGGAGGCTATAAGAGCCGCCGAGTGCTGCGGAGTGCCCTGTTTCGCGCCATGCTGGCTGTGGCGCGCCGGTACGCACAGATTTCGGTGGAGTTTGACAAGAAATTGTCCAGCACCAGCACGACTGGAAAGGTAGTGACTCTCGAGTTCGACGATGGAACGACGACCACGGGGGATCTACTGCTGGGATGCGATGGCGTCCACTCGGCGGTCCGCACGCAACTAGTGGATCCCGGGAACCAATCCGAATATACCGGCATCGCCTTTATTCAGAGTCTGGCTCCGGCCGAGCGGGTATCGCTACCATCTCATTTCGACAAATCGGCCATTCACCTTACAAAGCAAGGATCGCTGCTGGCCAGCTACTGCGACCCCAATCATCAGACCATGTTTGTTGCCGCGATCATGCGTGTGAACGAACACATTATCGAGCGGTACCGCGCGCTGGCCTACACAGACGCCAATATCGCGGCACTCACGTCCGCACAGATGGCCCTTCGCTACCAGGTGCGCAGTAAATTTGGCACGTCGGCCTTCCCGTGGATCCGGGAGTGGATTGACGAGACGCGTGATTGGGAGCTGTATCCCATCTATCAGGTTCGCCAGCGGGGGAAGTGGCATGTTGACCGCGCTCTCCTGCTCGGGGATGCCGCACACGCAGTAAGTCCGAAGGTCTTTTCGCAGGGAGGATAGCAGCGCTAAATGACAACTGCAGATGCCACCACGCGAGGAATCAGCCGCGTACGCCATCGAAGACGCGGTGATATTCGCGCGGATCTTCGCTCGGAGGCGTGATCGTTCTCTACACCATATATTCGTAGAATACGAGAACGCGCGGCGAGGGCTGGTCGATAAAGCGTTTGATGCCACCCGCCGGTTATGGCAAAGCGACCTGGACAAAGGACTTTTTCCTGGGAACTTCCGAGACTGCATGTCGTCAACCCAGCTGCCACCAAATCGTGCAGTAAAGGAAAAAGCCGACGTCCCGCTAAGAGAACCAATCTTCCCGCCACCGACGCATGAAAGCATGTCCGATCTGTCTGTGTATACATTGACAAGCGAATTGGAGGCGGCTCTTGATGCCGATGAGGGGAGGACAAAAGTCCCGTTGTCATTATGAAGCTTCTATGAATGTTACAGCATGGAGCAAGGCGTTTGACGACTCTTGACGACTCATGATTTGATTGTGGTTTGGGTCCGGTTACGGCAAAGGTAACATTAAATATGCATGGTCTCCAATAGACGCGGAATACCTTATGACTTATGAATTAGTGCAATCCACACAAAGTTTACTGTTCAAATGCCCTTGACAGGCTTCAGGGATGAGTGTCTCGCTTTCAATAGCCGCTATGCGTTCAGCAGGAGACTGATCCGGGCCGGGAGCAACTTCGGCAGCCACCGAGAGTGAATAGAGGAATCGGATAGAGGTCTGTACCTCGGCGGACAGTCATCAAAGCAGACCTTATCACATAATTGCAGAATCACTTAAACAGTTCAGTGAATCATTGATTATCCGAATGACATCAGATGTCTGCCCGGTCTTGTCGGGGGCATGACAAGTCTCTGCAAGGGCTGTCATCTTCAGACTCATCATCGACTATCTGTGGGCGATATATCGTAGCAGCTTTCACACATAATAGAACAGGTCTGTGTCAAACGAGACTTTCAGGCCCCAAGGAGAGATGGATACTTCTAGTAGCTCACAGCACCAATGACGACAGACAAATAGAGACATTCAATGGTTATCTGACAGCCCAGGTTCGACAGGTCCTATGTCATATTTTGAACAATTCATCATTACCCTTCCCATAGCCGGCTATTGGTTCATTCTGTCCAACTGCGTCCTGGAACTACAGCCGTCGTACGCACCGGAGCTCAGCATCGCCGGGTCCCTATTGATGACGGCTGCACGACGAAAACCGTCTGACAGGACTGACGGATCCGAGAGCTATACTTGGTTTGGGTACCAATGTGATCCAAATCCTGCTAGCCTTGTTGTCGGCACTAGTTGGAACGGTAGTTGGATAATTTATAGTATCATGGTATAGATTTGCCTGTCAAGAAACAGCCTATTCGGACGAGTAACAGTTCAATCACGCCCGCGAAGCCACCTCAACGTGAACATTCTGCGCCTTCTCATCATGCCCCTGATCAAGCTGCTTGTGAACAGCTGCAGCCACTTCATTTGCCTTTTCTTTGCCCTCGAACACTGTATACGTTAGTTTTGTCTAGCAACCCCAGAGGTGAAACTTACTGAAAGATAACTCCTCGAGAGTTCTGCCGGACGTCTCGGGAAAGAGCAAATAGATAAACGCCACCTCGAAAGCCAACCAGCAGCAATACACCAGCAGCCACTTCCAGCCGATATTCTTCAAGCCGACGGGGTTCACATAGGTTGCAAAGAAGGTGGCGCCTCGTCCGTAGAACTGGAACCACGAGAGACCTCTGGAGCGACCAAAGTAGGGGAAGATTTCAACCAGGTAGGCTGACCAGTCAGTCACTATTTATCATCTTGAAAAGGGGAAGACTTACTATATGTCAACGCGTTGTAGCCGAGGTTATAAGCCGGCGAATAGCAGAAAATGAAGAAAATGGTCAGGATGGCGGCGGCTTTGGCGTGGGTAGCCAGGAAGCGTTCCATGGAGATGGTCCAGGCGACATACACGCAGAGCAACGAACAGGCACAGGTTAGGTACATTGTCCGTCGTTTGAATCGAGGAGCAGTTAGCGCCAGCGTCGTGCCGCAGACGAGACCCCAGCACGCAATGCCGATGTTGATCTTTGACTTGACTACTCCGTCGGTGATGTTGACCATTTCCAGGAGGTCACTCAGGTAGTATCTGACATCATTAGCAAACATATCAAGAAGGCAAAAGCGGTACGTACGAGATCAAGGTATTGCCCGACCACTGGGTGAACAATCCCAAAAACGCCGAAATGAGCAACCGACGACGCATACCAGCGGTGCGGAACATATCCCACCACGTCTGCTTGGCCTCTTCGAGCTCGAGCTTGATGGTGCGTTGGATCTGCGCGATTTCGGCTCGCACGATGACCGAGCTGCGGTCACCCTCGGCATGGTATTTGGTCAGGATGTCAAAGGCCTCCTCGTGGCGATCCTTACTAATTAAATACCGGGGGCTTTCAGGAAGGAGACTGCACACTGTCAGTTCTGTCAGGCACAGTAAGATACAAACTTACAAGACGAAGACAATCTGCACCATCGCCGGTGCAATCTGAAGGAGGGACGGAATTCTCCACGCCCAGTCGGTTTTGATGGTCACCGTCCCCAAGCCGACGGAAGCAGCAATGATCTGGCCGATAAAGTACGAAGAATTGAACAGCGAGGTCAAAATGGGTCGTTCCTTGGGATATCCCAGTTCACCCAGAAGGGAAGACCCGGCAACGATGCAAAAGGGAATGCCGAATCCAAGGACCATCCGCGCGACGACATACATGCCGACTACAGAATTAGCATGTGGATTAGACCCCAGGTGGGTAGCATACCTCCGTTGGCAAAGCCCTGCAGAAGAGCACCCACCAGACTGATGCAGGAACCAAACACGATCGTCCATCGTCGTCCGAATCGCTGGTTTACCCAGGGGACAAACGGGAGGGAGATGATGGCTCCGAGGGAATATGCGGCTCCAAGGAAACCTTTGAGATTTGCTTCGATCTCATACTTGGGTTTGCCGTCGACAACAGCTCCGGTTGGGTGACCGAAATCTAGACATGTCAGCAGTGTCCGATTATAGTATAACGTGTGATGAGGAATACATTTGTTCCACGTGTAGACGATCTGCACAGTATTGATGATTTGCGAGTCGAATCCCGAGGTGATCTCGATTCCCATGCATGCAGGAAACAGAATAAGATACAAGTATCTCAAATTGGGCTTCTTGTACCAAGGAGTGTGATCGTCGGCCAGCAAGTTGGCCAGGACGGGCTCCGCGACATCTTCCTCACGGTGCTTTGGCACTACAACCATGATGATCGGTGTAGTATAATCGATGGTGCTGATGGCTTGATACTGTCAGGAGGAGACGGCCTTCTCTGGCTATATGTAGAATCCCTTCATGGGATGTCTTACGCCAGGGCAACTGGTTTTCAGCCGCGACGACCCTGTTGATAGCTCTGACCGGGGTCTTCGTCCAAGATGCTCCCTGATGGAAAAGGCATCCTGCAACCCCCACGCCCAAAAGACGGGAACTCTGGTTATATCCCCCACCAATGGGGTCTTAATGTGAGCATGGTTGAATGCTGTCAGCATACCTGCCAAGAGCGGCCCAACGCCTCATGCGGGGGGTGGGTGAGACAATCCAACGAGCTCACGGAGGATTTGGGTTACAGTTGGGTTAAACAGTGAAAAGATCATCACATGCCCCATGTTTACCCCAGATTGAGCACGGTAAAGGCCCTAATCGGTAATGGAAGTGGCTCGATTCAGTAATTGATTGACCCCCCACACTGCCCAGCCTGCACCTTGGATAAATGCACGTCTTTACCCGGTGCCAAGCTCGTGAGATTCAAGTGCAGACTAAAAGATGGGACACGGTTGCTACGCTGCTGTCTATACACCACGCCAGTATCTTGTCTGCTCCACCCTAAACTCTCCTCGAGACACAATCTCCTGACTCGAAGTCCCAATGAGCACCTGATAGACGCCCTCTTCGCTCTTCCACATATCCTCGATCTCATCCCAGAAGCTGGTCGCGTATTTGTCGATGTGGATAGCGACTGTTCTCTCTTCTCCAGGCTGTAGGAACACTTTGGTGAATCCGTGCAGCTCCTTGACAGGGCGTGGAGTTGCTGAATTGGGCGCGGCAATATACAGCTGTAGGATCTGCGCTCCTGCTACTGGACCGGTATTCTTGACTAGAACTCTGGCAGTGGGTGGACTGTCCGACGAGAAGACACTCGGAGAGACAGTCGCCTCAGGAGAGACACTGAAGGTCGTGTATGATAAACCATGTCTGCCGGGGTCAGCATGCGTTTAGTGAGCAAGACGATCAACCTACCCAAATGGAAACAAGACCTCGCGGCCGACCTTCTCGTAGAATCGATATCCCATATACACATCCTCGCCATAGAGCATTCTACCCCCCACGCTCATATTGTTCAAATACGCTGGGTTATGCTTCACATCCACTGGCCAGGAAAGAGGCAATTTTCCACACGGGTTGACATCTCCAAACAGGACATCGGCAATGCCATGACCGGTTTCATTGCCCCCATACCATGCCTGAACAACCCCTCTGGCTCGATCCGCCCACGGCAAAGTAACAGGAGTTCCGGATTGGTTAACGATGACAGTCCTGTCAGCCGCCAGGTCAAGCACAGACGAAATCAGGGCGTCGATGCCCGGGGGAAGATCCATATCCGGACGGTCGAATCCTTCCGACTCCCAGTCTCTGTTGAGCCCTGTGCACACGATCGTATAATCCGCCTCTGCAGCGACTTTAACCGCATTGGCAACCATCTGCTCTGGATCCATGTGTAGACATGCACCGAGATGTGCGGCGCCACCACCAAAGTGGACGACACCGATAGCTTTCATAGGACTGGTGTTGGCAGACCCGAACTCGATTCGAATCTTATAGGTTTGTCCAGCAGTGAGCTGCTTCTGCCCAACCTCCTGCACCGTTCCCTTGCCGAAAAATGCCGTTCCGCGGGTTTGGCGGGTGGTGTTATCAATGACCATCTCATCGTCGACGAAAAGCGTGGCAGTTCCGAATACGGTGAGACCAAAGTCCCACAGCCCAGAGACATCTGGTGTAAACTCTCCGATTAGAGTAGCCCAGAACAAGCCTCTGTTGAGACCGGGAGCGTTGTAGTCCATCAACTGGAACGCAGTGTTAACGACCGGTTCTGTCGCCAGTAGCGTGCGTTCCTTTTCGGGCGGTTCATTGTAGAAGTGGATGACAGCATTGCTAAGCATTCGATCAATGACAGGAAGCATCTTGTGAGCATACGCGCCCGCTTCATAGAGAATCTTGGCATCAGGAAGGGCTTCGACCACAGCATCGTATAAAGAGACTGCATAGTATGGTTCAAGAGAAGCACTACCGCCGCCTGAAATAGCCGGAGTCTTCACATGAGACCCGATCAGCGCGATCTTCTTAACTGTCTTGGGAATTGGCAGCAGATTGCCATCATTCTTCAGCAGAACGATACTGTTCGCACACAGGGTCCGGTTCAACGCCCGGTCTTCTGGGAAGTCACGGCCAGTCTCATCGGCCGACACAGGAGCGCGGCTCGCGCGTTGGACAAACTCTAGCACCTTCCGGGCACGCTTGTTGATCGTCGACTGTTTGATCAGTCGCGCCTGCATGGCTGATTCGATGTACTTTCCGCGATAGCGCGTCGGACCCGGCATCTCAAGATCTAGGCCCGCATTCATCGAGTCGATGGTGGTGTATGTTCCTAACCAATCGCTCATGATCAAAGGATCCCAGTTCCAGTCTTTGCGGACAATATCCAGCATGGCAGGATTCTCAACGACATGCTTGCCGTTGATTTTGTTGTACGAAGTCATCAAGGCCCCCGGATGGGCGTCCCGAGCAACAATCTGAAAGGGACGGAGATAGATCTCCCGAAGTGCTCGCGGAGTGACCAGCACATCGACAGCGCGGCGCTCATGTTCCTGGTCATTTCCTACGTAGTGCTTGACCGTTGAGATAACCCCTGTACTCTCGCAGCCCAGGATGATCGACTTGGCCATGATTCCCGAGAGATGTGGATCTTCCGCGAACGATTCAAACCCCCGTCCTCCCAAGGGCGACCGCTGCATGTTGATCGTAGGACCCAACCAGCAATGTGCCCCCTTGGCGAGACATTCTTTGCCAAGCAGGACACCGGCTTGATGCAGCAGATCACGATCCCAGGTGGCGCCTAGGGCCGTGCCACATGGGAGACACGCAGCGGGCACCCCGGCAAAGAATTTGGTGCCACGGATACCATTGGGGCCATCAGTGGTACGAATCGGAGGCACGTTGAATTTGGGGATTGCATGTGTGTGCCAAAAGTCACTCCCTATTAGACTTTAGCAAGTGTTATAGGTAGTGGTTGGGTTAACAATAGGTACCGGAGAGAAGAGCGATCTTGTCGTCCTCGGTGATATTGGCTAAAACATAGTCGACGTCGAATTTGGCCGTCATCTTCAGTTGGTTGTTATTGATGGTTATTTTGTCATGGTCTCAGACCAGCACAGCTACAGTGATCATAAAAGTATGGTGTGGTTAAACAAGACGACGATCTTCACGGCCCTCGAGCCGAATTCCCGACTCTGTGCGGGACTAAATCCGTCGACAGTATCCTGATGGACTTGGCAACCCCCACGCGATGTGGGTTTATCAGATTGGAGCAAAGACTGGTGTCTCAGAAATGAAATGACTGGTTGTATCGGTTAAATTAACTCATCCTGACAGTTGCAGACTCCTCTAAGTTGATATTCTGCTAAGCTCTATTGCTGACATGAGATTTTAGCCTGGTCACTCAAGAACAGTGCTTACTGACTCATTTCACTGCTGTCATCATTACTCAAGTAAAGAATAAGGGTACATTGAAATAGCCATGGTGATCAAGCGCTGTAGCTAATTCCGTACCAGGCATGAGTGTCATATATATATCCCGTTGACGCGGGTGGCGGCAATCACGACCTTGGCAAGAATATGACGCTGTAAAACTACGCTAGGGCTTAATACCTCTGTCCTTAGGGAGAGCATTCCTACGCGTGCGGTGTATGGCAGCCGAATCTTCTCTGTTCAAGCCATACTGCTAGCAATCGGTCTCTTGCGGGCATTGTTGCTGGGTACGTCGAGCTCCATTGCCTATCCAGCAGCGGAGAAAGCGGAAACGAGTTAGGCGACTGAGCTGTGCACCTCATGATAAATATAACCAAGGGATCATATCCATGCGGATGTCGAGAAAAATGTGGTCTCGCAGTCGACAAACGATCCTGATCGAGAGCACCAGATGCCTCAATCCGTCAGCACAACACCATGACAGCTACCACTACTAGGACAATCACTGCAACCGGTGCTTAGTGACAGAGGCAGAGAAACAAACACAGTGTGACGAATATGAACAACAATATGACTCCTCGTCGTCACCCTAATTAAATTAACTTCCCTGGACACTCAAATAATCAGTCACCGCCAAGAGTTTGCACCCGTCGCAGGGCCGGCGCCAACATTGTCTGTATACTGCTTTGCGTTTCAATGTTGTCACGACGATAACGACCAACCTGCGCTGGCTTGGAGATCACCACAAAGCGAGAGACCTTTATCCACTATAACGAGCGCCACTGCCATCCTTGCCACGAGGAACAGACCGATCAGAGAAAGTTCAAGGCGGATGGATTTAATCTCGGTGCGCAGATAAACCAGGAGCATCCTGCGCTAAGAATAGCGTAAGTGGTACGCTCTGAGTGCCATTGAATAAACCTTCTCCCAAACTCTCCCCAGCTCGGTGTTGCACCGCAACTGGGTAGTTCCGTAGGTGTTTGTGTTGGGACTTGCGAACTTGGGGACGATGGGAGATCCCCCGCTTTTTGATCATCAGATTCATCACGTGTCGCCTGACGCATTTGACCCAATCGCAGCTGACTGGGGTACTGTGGGGCCAAAGCCTGTTGTGATTGGTTGGTAGTATTGGCTTAGTGGGTGCTTGTACCTTAAATGTGTTCGCTGTCAATCGGTCAAAGGGTACGTTCTACCACATACTTTGGTCTAGACACGCAAATGCGGACCATGCGGTATATCTGCATGGTTTCTTTGATTCTAGGCCCCAGCTATGATGCCGGACATTTATTTGATCCCATCGAGGACAGCGACTAGTCATTTCCAGGGAATACATTGGTGATAGCCAGCGCTTAGCGAAGTTTGTTGAAAGCGGCTAACTGGGGCTACATGCTCAACCCTGCAGGGTCTGCCAGTCATTGCTTCTTGTTTAGCGACATGTGTTCTAGCTGTATGTTTGCGCCTCAGCCATGCGGCCTATTTAATATGTATGACCCCTGAGTGGACATTTTATGCCAGTTCTCTCCATTTTTCTGCTCGGCCTGTCTCTCGTTTCAAGATACCCGACAATGCCTTGATTGCACCGTCAAATCCTGAGAAAAGACACCATGCCGGGGGTTGGCCCAGCTGTGGCAGCGACTCGCACTGCGACCGCGGACACTACAACCTCCACAACGACAATTGTGACCACCACGGTTCCTATGGTGTCTGTCTATACACCACCTGCATCCTGTTCGTCGCGTTGGACTTATGAGGCCTCCACTTACAATGGCATCACCAGCGGAATCCTGCTCCAGAATGCCTTTTCCGTCGATACCGACTGCTTTCCTCCTGGTTTCCAGCAGAATGGTCGGATTCTTGCCAGTCAGGTCTTCAGCCCTGGCGCATGTCCCGGCCGGTATTCTACTCAGCAGTTTGTCGTCAGCAATGCAATTACCACTGCCACATGCTGTTTGAGGTGGGCATCTGCAGTCAGTCCTTTGTCCTTCCGGCCGCTGACCATAATTCCAGTGACTTTTCTCTATACGCCGATTCCGGTTATGTTGGATGCGTCAGTACTTTCACCGGCGCTACGGAAGTGGCTGCGCGCGCGGGCGGGATTATATTCAACACAAGGGACTACACCACCAGCACCAGCATCTCCGGCACATATACCATGTGGGGGATGCCCATCGTGATTGAGGTCGAATCGACCGATCGGAGCCTGTACACTACTGCCCTCTCGACATCCGCAACAACCACCGCCTCTGCGACCGCTACGCCCTCTGCGTCCTCTACCTCTACCTCTTCATCCCAAATCGCGAGCCAGACCGCCATCTCCTCCTCGTCCAACGGGTTATCAAGTGGTACAAAAGCCGGCATTGGTGTCGGAGTCGGTGTCGGCGTCGCCGCCCTGGCCATCATAGGTTTCCTGGGCTTCTGGCTGCGACAACGGCGGAAATCCCCAGCCCCAGCCCCGTCAGGATTCATACCACAGCACTCTCACGAAGTTCAAGGATTTTCAGTCTCCGAGCTACATGCGGACTCTCGCAAGTCTCGATTTCCAATAACTGAACTGCCATCCTGATCCTCTGCCTCACATATCGACCTTGTAGTTCTGCTTTCCATCACTAGGGCTTGTCGAGCGCAGCTCTGAATCCAGTGAGATGGGATTATTCATGTACTTATGACTGATGATCTTAATGCTTGTACTTCAATCCAATTAAATACCATCGACCGTTATTACTGATGACTACTACTGGGTGTAGGATATTCCACAGGATCTGCACTCCAACTGGACATGTATCAACCCGTGAGGTGTATGCCGCCCTTTTTGGAAAGATTCTAGTCCTGTTGAGCCAATCAAACATGACCTCCTGCTGGAACATCTACAGATGCCTGATACTTAAGGTACCTACGCATAAAGCTCAGCTACGGCTGAATATTAGTTAGTTAACTACTCACAGTTGTCTTACGTCTGTTGTTCTGCAGTGTGCACAATCACGATTAATTGTTTGTGAATTGCTAGAACTTAGTGTGGGTCTCGATCGACTCAGCTTCAGATTGGCGTCAATAGTTCACTTAGTGTTCAATAGTCCAGCTGAGATTGACAAATGACAGCTCATGAATACTTGAGCGCATCCACAGAGATGCATCTGCGGCCCGAAGGAAGGAAGGTTGTTCCCTAATCATAGGACCATTCCCCTAGTCGCATTTTTGGAGTCCATGTCAAATAGTCAATCGCATTCCTGAAGGCTGTTCGTGGTAAGATCAGCCGAATGAACCCCGACGATCTTCATGCAAGGTGATAGACTGCAGCACGCAGGATACACCTGGAGGAAGATAAATAGCAACATGTTCGCTCGAATTTATTCTCCCCAACATTACACGGCGCATCTCCACAATGATCTTCACCAACGCCATCCTGGTGTTTAGCACCTTGCTCCCTGCTACTGTCCTCTCCTTCCAAAACATAGAGGTAAAAGTGAACATTCCACCATTCAATTCTTTAACTAACCATTCAGGACTCTCTCTTCCCCGCCAGATGTTGGCCCGACCCCTGCGCCGGGATCACCTTCCAAAACGACACCTACGTCTGCGGAGACCCTCGCCTCGGGCCCGTCGTCCCACCCCGGAAATTCCCACTCCGTAACGAGCTACGCACCTACGCGCGATTCGGCGCCCTCTGCCCGGCCGAGTTCCTCGACAAATGGGCCTCCGACGTCGCTCCAAACGGGACATACATCTACCCACCCGCCAACGGATTCGTCGTCGACACAGGGAAGCACCCCATCCTGGGCAACGCGACCTTACCGGTTGGCATGAAGCTCGACCGTTTCGGATCAGAATACGGCAGCTTCCTGGCGCCGCTGGGAGCACCGTACATCGAGCGCTCGCTGCCGCCGAGTAATCTCAACACGTTTGACGGGATGTACCCGTACAATTATCACGTGTACCAGGTGATCAAGGAGTTTGTGGTCGGACTGGGGCCCATTGCGCCTTGGTTTGAGCAGCCTGGGATGGGGACGCAGTTCGTGACGTATACCAATGTGCTGGGATTGATCAATGAGGGTTACTTGAGACGGTTGAATGAGAGCGAGTATGATGAGAAGGTGGAATACTCGAATCCGTATACTCCGGGGCCGAATCAGTAGTGGATGCGCTTACGAGAATTATGGATCTTGTATTTAGAATATCTTAATATTGTTAATACATCCGTAGGAATTACGCCTCAGGTCTGACAGATTCGCAACACGCCAAGGTGGTGTCATAGGACGTTGGGAATACCGCGGTGTCTTCCATTCTGCCACGACAGACCACGATGTCCTTGGGGAGGAACAAGAGTGCCACGGAGCTGTCAGTCTAGCCAGTGATTCTATCGTGGTCCCAATAGCAAGAGTCTGCTTTGGGTTGAAGGGATCAGTTTTCGATGATTTCCGGTATTTTGTGCGATGGCCATAAGGGCGGTTGAGGGTGTCCTAGGGCTTTCCAAGAACCACGTAGCTGCATAGCCGCATATCTTTAATGCGTATGTGTTAAGCAGCTACCCAGTTGCTACTGCCTCATTCTTGTTCTGTATCGACATATTTACACGTAAATACGTTTCTCCTTCTCTCACTAGGGCACAAAGATCTGCCAATATCTGTCCGACTCGAGTACACATTCCCCAGCTGAGCCATGTCCTGCTCTTGACTGGCGATAAAGGATTATCTGATACGACAACGTTTGGAGAAGCTCACATGACTGGAAGTTGGACACCCCACGTCAGACCAAGGCTTCTCCGTGACGAGTGGTTAGATGCCGGAACCCTAACTGTGACCTATGTGCAAGTGTAAAGCTTCTCCATTTGGCGTGTTCCTCTTCCTTACAGTACATTCCTTCAAGGCACTCATCAAGGTTCCACTCATGCACCCTATCTCCATCGAGCAACAGCCTGAGGACTCCCACGCGCTCGTAGATCTTCCGGCCATCACGATAGAACAGAAGCAATTGCAAGAGCTCATGAAGAACACAAACCAGATAGTCTGGATGCATCTTATAGTCGACCCCCGTCTCCTTTATCAAGCTGAGTAGTCTACCAATCTCGGGTGGCCTCGGGCGTTGCGTCCTGGGTAGCACAAACGTGCGGTCTTCGGTAGTGATATTCGGTGGACCAAGCAGGTTCCCTGGGATACCTGTCCGAGTACGGACATCCAACTCGAGCGTCTCGATCAGAATATGCGCGTCTGCAGGCACATTGGTTGCGTCAGGAGGCCCGCATTGGAGGAAGCGCTGTAGAACCCCGTAGAAGTCCCAGCAGTCCGTTAGAGCGCCCCCGCTTACTGAGCGATATCTAAAGTACCAGGACTCAATGGGGCGCGTCCCGTCGTCTTTTAGAACATAAAACTTCGCGCGCGCACGCTTGAATCGGGTGGGGAACTGTTGGGTTGGCATGAAGAGAACCAGGCGCTGTGTCTGGAAGAACACAATGTCCGCCTCATATCTGGAAGCAGCGAGTCTGTTCAATACTTCCCAACCTTCAGCTCGAAATTGGTGGTTGACTAGCAAAAGTGGATAGTGCAGTAAACGTTGCCCTTTGGACGCATACTTGGTTCCCTTAAACCGCTTTTCCCGCGGCGGGGACGGGGTGGGGTAATTTGGTAGTTCGATACTAACTGGATCCCGATCTAGGAAGCTGTATTCTATGATAATGTCCCGGAGCTCTCGTGGAAGAGATAGGATAGTTGGTTTTCCAAACGCAGCTGGATTGGAAATCATAATTGATGCGTTGAGAGATGTATGTCAAAGAATAAATCAACATCAAGAGAAGAACCTACTCTATCATGTGATGCTGCTTGGCCCTCTAGCCCTCTCTGGTTGGCGCTGCAAGTGTATAGCAACATGACTTTATATCACCAGAGAAAAGCCAGAGGTAGATTTTTGGAGTTGCAAACTGTTGGAGAACTCCAGCGTATATATATAATGCTCACCCATAAGCTACGCGGCGTCAAGAAATGTCCCTGTTGTTGTTGTTTGGAAGGCGTGTGTTTACTTCCCTGTTTGGACCCCGCTATCGATAAGCCCGCAGTATAAGAGTTACTTGTACCCCTCATCCTCTTCCTCATTCTTCCTTCGTCCATCGTCAATCTTCAGATCTTCTTCATCTTCTACATAGCAAAATGTCAAAACTCTCCGACTACCGTCTGTTGTGCTTCGATGTTTATGGGACCCTAGTCGATTGGGAATCCGGGATCGTGAACGCCTTCCAACCGATCCTCGACAGGAACAATTCGTCTATTTCACGCGAGCACCTCCTGACTGTTTACCATGAGCTGGAGCATGAGCAACAAGCTCTGACACCTGATATGCCATACTCCGAACTGCTAGCCGAGATTCATCCGAAACTTGCCCAGCGCCTCTCGCTCGCCCCGCCGACCGAGGAAGAGAGTATCGCATTTGGCGAATCAGTCGGCACATGGCCCGCCTTCCCCGACACTGTCAATGCTCTCAAGCGTTTATCAAAGCACTACAAGCTGGTGGTCCTGTCAAACGTCGACCGGGAATCATTCGCCAAGACGAACGCGGGGAGTCTGCAGGGCGTCAAGTTCGATCGCATCATCACCGCGCAAGACGTGGGCTCGTACAAGCCTGACCTGCGCAATTTCGATTACATGTTGAAAACTGTACAGGCCGAGCTGGGGATTGACAAGAGTCAGGTCCTGCAGACTGCTCAGAGTCAATTCCATGATCACCAGCCTGCCTCCAAAGTTGGGATCAAGTCGGTGTGGATTGTAAGGCCAGGAGCTATTATGGGCAACACCAAGCATACTATCTACGACTGGAAGTTTGACACTCTGGGGGATATGGCCCATGCTGTAGAAAGCGGCCAATGAATGATAGAAATAAACTCCGTAATGAAAATGTTTCAAGAAGGAATAGATCGAGCGCTTTATATATTTGTCTGGTCGATCATGACTCCATAGCTAGATTTGTCTCTGAAGCCCTAGTCCCGATTTCAGTACTAAAAAGTAATGATGTATGAGTGGGTAATAGGCATGGCCTTAGGCGGTTAGGTCATGCATAGGACAATTCCTTTAGTGCATTCCGCGTCCACCAACAGTATTTCTCCCATCTCTTTTCCCCTTGCTCCACCACCCGCTTTTCCCTCAATTTCCGTCCCCATCATCGTCCAATCAACGAATCAGCTGTGTCACTTCTCATGTCAGATTTACTTTCCGGGGCCTCTGTTATGGAGACCGCGGCGGAGGTAAATCTGCGACCTGTCCCTCCCCTCACCCAGATAAATGGTACGCGTTATGTCTCCGACTCATCTGAGGTTATCTCGTTACGGTTTTTCCATGAATGGAAGACCTTTAAACAGGATGTTCTCGAAGCATCTGCTTCTTTAGATCTTAGCCATCCCGTTCCTTACACGGATGATGTGTCAGAAAGCTACGTTGTTGGAAGCACACTTGGTTTGAACGGAAGGTTCTCCAAGAATGTCTGTGACCCAGTTTCGAAAGTGTTTGCCACTACTTGCCTCTCCTACTTGAAGTTCGGTGATTATCAGTCCTCTGCAGGGCCAACGGACACGAGTCAAGTACCTGATATCACTATGTTCAACACAACGGGACCACCTCGCCCAGCGGCTGTCGGAGAACTCAAGTCTTTCTGGACAGTTGAACTTGAGGACTATTCCATTCGTGAAGGCTACCAACGGTTAATCGGCATCCAGCATCACATTGGTAAGTCCAGTTGAACCTTATTTATGGCCCTGTTAACGGTTCCTCAGCCCAACTCGTCAAGCACATGCGGTCGAGTAAGCTTAAGTTTGGATTTTTGTCGACATACGAGTGGACGGTCTTCATTCGCAGAACGGCTTCTTACCATTTTGACATGTCGTTACCTATTGCAAGAGACGCATTGAACCCCAGTCTCCGGCAGTGCTTGTTGGCGCTAGGTGTACTGGCTTCCAAAGATTGGGAATTCATTGAACCTCCTGACTTCAACATCGCCCAGGTAAGTTTTCCAGTTAATAATAGCGGCAATCTCCTAACATCAGTCCCTAGCTCCGCATTCCGACGGGCCCTTCACACCAAGCGTCCGTCCGTCCGTCCGCTTTCCGGAACCAAGTCGGCACCAAGGAGGAGATATCGGACATGCTTGGCTCGTCGTCAATCCTCTACGGGGCCGATGACGGTCTTGCAACGACGTTCGTAAATTGCAAGAGGATTATCCAGCAATCCTCCGCCAAAGCGATTTATGAAGTCACATGGGATGGAAAACCGGCCATCGCGAAATGCTGGTCCCCATCTCAAATCGAACGGTCTGCTGCTGTGTCCTTGTAGCATAGTATCTCAATCGCTAATCCTTTTGTTCTGTAGGTTTGCTGACGAAGCGAGGACGTATGAGAGCATCCATGCGCAACGTCCAGCCGGTTTCGATTTCTTCCCCTCACTACTAAGTATCGGCAAGATCTGTTGCTCTTCGATCTTTCCGCAGGGTTATATCATTGTGATAACAAAGGTTAATGGGGAACGGCTCGACAAACAATGGGACCAACTTTCTGGAAGCGTCAAGGAGCACATACGTTCAGAGATTTACAAGGCTATCAAGGTCCTCAGGCGAGCCTCAACCATTGTTGTCGATTCCGGGAAACATAATGTCTTGTATGACCCGGAAACCAATGCTGTAACAATGTTGGATTTTGAGTTGATGCAAGCATGTGAGGAGGACACCATGAGTCCTGACGAACCAGAGATGTTTTCCATATTCGGGCATTACCCTTCGCGCGCACGGATTCGTCACGAGGGTGGTTAGACGCCAATCATCGACAATTGCACTCCGGAGTTATCGGAGGAAATTTCCTGCTCTCGAAGCATTTTCATTTGCCACGGTTGGGTTTCTGGTCGGAGAGAGTCTGACGAGGATATTGCTGCTGCTGTCGCTGAAAGAAAGGTTCCTACGCTTTTCAAATGTTCTGTATGTCTTATACCCCTGGTCGACAAACGACTTCATAGCTTCATGGGAAATGTTCAATTGCAGTCATCGTTTCTCACTCAGTCTATCTCGTATAAAGATTGAATTCTAGATAGATCCACCGGACTTGAAGCTCATCGGACATACCTCGGCAGAAAAGCATGTCAAGTCTCCCGATTATTGAATTCAGGCTAAATACACTCCATTTATCCTGCTTTAGGCGCATCCTTACTCCATATACTTGGCTGCTTGGATTCGTCACAGATTCACCGGCAATATCTCTTTCTTTGTCCGTAAGGCTAGATATCCACCAAGACAAAGTGTCCAGTTGCTGCGTAGTGAAGACATCGACACACTCAAGATAGTGGAAAAGAACTTTTACTGGGAACGAGGTATACAAGACTACTGAGAGTATATCCAAGCATACTGGTGTTGTTGAAGTCACAATGGATGATGCCAATGTAGCGGGAGGATTGACAGGGTAGGATGGTATGATTAACATCTGACAATGTCGAATGTTCGTGGACTATTTTCTATTATATTCCAGTGAGCAGAGCATCTTAGCACCCGTTCTACTATAGTATTGTGTAGGTGCAGCCACAATTTCAAGCCAAGGTCGAAACATCAACGTATGATGCTTCTGCTAGAGTAATACAACCACTATGAGCTGGCAGTCTTGGGTATCTCAGTTCGCTCGTGATGATCCATGTGCTCGAGCTTCTCGGACGTCTTCTCGCTCGAGTCGGGGTCGTCGCCCAATAAAGCCAGTAAGCCGATCTCCCGCTCGATGCGACGCTTCAGAGCCTCGTCCTCGACGGCCATGCTTCCAGATCCGAATAACTCGTCCATCTCTTCCAGTGTGCGGCCCTTGGTCTCCGGGACGAGGAACCACACATACAGGACGCCGATGGTGGTCACCAGGCCGAAGAAGATGAAGGTACCGTAATCAGAGGCTTCGATGAAGGGGGAGGTTGACAGGCCGACCGCGAAATTGTTAAGCTAGCATTCTGTCAGAAATGTGTATATGTCGCAAGGGAGTGCACATACCCAGTTGCTACTGCCACCGATACTAACACCTTTGGCGCGCATACTCAAAGGGAAGACTTCAGACACCACAATCCACGCGACGGGGCCTGCACCTGTTAGTCTGTGATATTATATTCCAAGAGAGAAATTGCACTTACCCCATGCGTATGCAAAGTTGATAATGAAGATCCAGACAAAGACCACAGCAGCCCAGCCAGCTCCCTTGTGATTCTCGAACTCGCCCGAGTACGTTCCGATGATGCCGGCAACGATAAAATGGCAGACAGCCATACCGATTCCTCCGGCAATCAGAATCTTCTTACGGCCGATGTTGTCAACCCAAAGAACGGCAGGAATGGTAAAGACAAATTCGAAAATACCGGCGACACCAGTTGCGAGGAGGGAGGTAGTGTTGCCACCTAGTTGGAGACCTTTGAAAATCTGCGGACTTTTTCAAGTCAACACGGTGAATTAACTTCACATGTAATACACTTACGCATAGTAGTTGATACTGTGACTTGTTAGCAAGATCCGTGTAGAACAAAGGTATCTATTGACTTACGCATTGATTCCGTTCCATTGCTGGAAGACCATGATCATACACTGCGGAGTCAGTAATTGCAGCGGACGATGGCAGAATACTTACAGCTACAGTGGTTCGTTTGAATAGGGACTTGTCGGTGATTAGGGAAAGATAGTCATTGAGCCCAATCATGAATCGGCTCTTGAGCGAGCCATCCTGGTACTGAGGATACCTCTTCCGAGCGGCTTCGTCCTCGAACATGCGTAGAGCCTTGATTTCGAGAAACTCGATCCGGACCGAAATGTCATCAACGGAGGTATCACGAAGTCTAGCCAGAGTCTGTAAGCATTCCTCCTCCCGTCCTTGGTTCATTAAGTGTCGCGGGGACTGCGGCATGAACAGGAGCATTCCAGCTGCCAGAACTAGGGCTGGAAGGATCTGGATGCAAACGGGGATCTCCCAGGCAGCAATGGATTGCCCTTCGCCAGTTCCTCCAATGTAGTTTGTCCCGTAACCAATCTAAAACATCAGCATTTCATCGTTCTACAGTTGACCATATACTTACCCAGAAGCTGACCATGATGCCAAAAGTAATGGATAACTGCTGCACAGCGACCAGAGAGCCACGGATTTCCGGCGGTGCCTAACGTGGTCAGACAGAATCGTCATATAAATCCTTTGAACATACCAGTTCCGCATTATACAGAGGCACAATCATACTCAGGTTACCCACGCCCAGACCCGTAACGAACCGCCCAGCGTAGATGTAGTCCGGGCTCTTGGTGCATGCCTGGACAATGACGCCGACACAAAACACAACCACCGCAATGACAACCGTGATGCGACGACCGGTAGCATCGGCCAAATATCCGTTGATGAGGGTTCCGAGCCATGCACCGAGTTCCAGAATCGCGGTCAACATTCCTTGTTTCACTCCAGTGGTCTCTGCATATCCTTGGGTCTAGAAATGTGAGTGACGATCGACGTTAAGTCATCAAGAATCACGTACTGCTTCTATAAATGAGTGCATGGTCAAAATCTGCGCGAACATTCCTTGGTTGTCTGGATACGTCAGACTCTGAAGCATTCCTTATGGAGAGCAGAGTAAAGAAGACGATCATACATCCATAAACTAAGCCACCCAGAGACGCAAACAAGGCAATCCCAAAGGTCTTTTTGCTGCTGAGCAAGCCACGCCAACCGACCTTTCCTCCAGTCAACTCGGCTCTTTTGGCCGAGATGCCTTCGGAAGTCATGCCCCCGGCCATTCTGACTGGTTTGGTGTAGAGAAGTGGATGAACAAGAGTGAAAGACAGAAAATCAAAGCCGTGCTAGCGAGAGACCAGAAAACAAAAGACAGGTTCAGGTGGTCATCAAATATATAGTTGAAACACAGTTGCAATTCGGAACAATCGGCAGCCAAGGCAGTCTTGCGCGAGCTTCTACTGCCAACAAATGCTTGATCTCAACCCGATAGCCGACCAGAACCGGCGCAAGCATCTCCATCAGCCCATGCATTTATCCCCTCCTGCGTACGATACGATTTTCGGCAATGATCGGTATGGATTTATCCTGAACCAATGGCGGTGATAGACTGAATGGGGAGTGATCCACTTTTCCCCGGCCTTTATCCCCGTGGGGCCACAGTTGCCTGGAGTATGTCCGTGTCCTTGTCATGATCGTTCAGAATAGTGTGAATTGTTATTCAGACTATGGGTAAATCTAACTACGCGCAAAAAATGGCGTTGTAACTTGGAAATGTATGTCCTCAATATCTCCAATATTGTTAAGCTTCGTGGCTGCCGGTACGAAACGCCATGCCGGCTACCGGCTCGGCATCGCAATCCTTTCCATGCATTGCCGGTTAGTCGTGAAGCTAAGCAGGGAAACAGTGATGGAGCGGCGCCAGTGTTTTTAGCGCTAGAAGAGAGACTCCAACCTACCAATCATAAACACAAGGAAATTCATTCTGTCTCAATCCGGGGGTGGAACCGACTCAGGTCGTCGGAAGAATCCTCATGAGGGGAATTTCTCGCCTTTCGAATCGAGTGGAGCTGGAACAACCCAACGCTGATTTTAGCCGGAATTCTCCCCCTGTGGACGAACTGTATCATGTTTGATTGGATGTTCTCATCATCCTACCTTTAGCAATCCATGCATTGCAACACGTCATAGCCGTCTGTGCAGCATAAGGACGGCATAATGCGTGGCCTGATTCCCCTGGTTCGACGTATGTCGCTATGTAAACCCAGCACATGGATACTGAAGGGATTGATTCTGTCGAGATATTTGAATGAGAAGGCACAAAATGCTGTGGGATACTCTCAGCTAATAAGATGCCAATAAGTACCGCGCGCTCTTGGTTCGAGTCTGATTTCCATTTCCAGGAAGAAACATTCCGGATAAAAGAAGCGCTTTTCGGTGTCATATGTCCGGTTCTAGAATATGACCTAGAATAATTGATTACGTCTGTGGCCATGCTAGATAGAGGCCTTTGATAGTGGGCTTCAGACATGTACAAGAACGAGAACTGAATCCTAGGGTAGTTTACGGCAAGCCTTTGAACAAAGCCGAAATAAAAACTTTAGGAGTTTAAGTATGTAGACTGCTCTGAGTTCCGCCTAACTAGAATTACATTTTCATACCATTTGGTATTCTTACCATATAGGGATATTGAATGATTCAATTCGTCATATAGTGGGGATTTGAATCGCCATGTAGTAAGGATTTGAATGACCATATAGTACCTGTGGCTGATTGTTTGTAGTAAGCACACAAACTACTCCTTATGACATGGTGGCGCAGAGTGAAAATGGCACACTGAAAGCTGACAATAACCCCTAAAATAGGAAAGAAGCATGAGAGCGCTATTCCATAATCTGTTCCGGTAAGGAGGTCCTTGAGAGTAAGGGCAAATAGACAGACATGATGTGGATAGCTTTGCGAATCATTAGTTAAGCATGGTATTTTCGGTCTTTCTGTTCCTAAACTTTGTCTCCTGCGCGGTTCCCTTTACTTTGGATGTTGTGAAGAAATCTGATAGCCTCCTAAGTTACTCACATAACATATCCAGCCGTGACCATAAGCAATTAAGACAGCACTTCCAGTCAGCAGTAGGCAGATGGATTAGCTCATCATGGAGTAGCACTAATGACGATAAACAGATTGCATACTAATAGTAGATGACTTGGCGGATTAGCCAAGGTGCTGTAAGAAGATAGGTTCCTACTAAGGTTGTTGGTTGACCTGCTGAGCAAGCCTACTTACTAAGCTGATGAATGCAAACCATAGAGATACTAGGTCAAATTGGTTAGGAGACATCGCTTAGGTACTGATGTTTAATGCTCATGCCCTGTGTGTTGACAGGACCTGGGCGTGTGGGCCTAGATCTAGAGAATACTTGGATTAGTATGGGTATATCTTAGCACTACTTAGGCATCCTATTATCCTAGGCACATAAGTTTATAGCTAGCTAATCTATAAGCCACCTTCATATCTCATGTATATGTTTAGGCCCCATATACTCTAGGAAGTAATAGTAAACTTCCTAAGTACTTCTCTTTAGCTGCTCTAATGCATCTCACTCTCTTATGTACCTTATGGATTTGCAAATCATCCCAGAGGGAGCAGGGAATATAGAAGTAACTCTAAAGACATGTGTCTAAGCGGGTAGATGCCTGGGTTTTGCCCTGGAGATTGGGAGCTTAATGGTTCCCTTCCAATATTACCAACTTCAATCATCAATTTGGTCATGGCTGGCAGAAATTGCAAGCTTCACGGGAAGGATCACTGAAACAGGCACACTGTTTGGTCTGATAGATATCATACATGATCAAACACACCCGAGGCGCTGAGAAACAGGACACTGGCGACGTGACTCCGGCGGGTCCAAGTAGAAAACTGCGTTCGGCATCGTGAACTTTTCCCCGAACAGCACGTGATGAAGCTGGCCGGAGGGTAAACGCCGTTGGAACTGAACAATATCTTACTGAAAGCTCCAATGAACCATCCATTTCTGACTGTGTCTGCATCTACTGCCCCGATTCATGCTTGAATTATAGGATTTCTGATAGCGCGCCCCCTATGTCTCCTAGTGATATGTCTTTCCTCCAGGAGCCCAACCTATGGCAGGGCCATGGAGACGCCGAATTCGATCTCAGGAGTAGGTAACACGGGCGCTTCTCCAGGCAAATAACAGGGTTGACAGATACAGGTGACACGATCACAAAGCCCACCCTACAAATGCTAGAAGCTATTGCCAAATGCACTTTATCCGACGACGTCTTCCAGGAGGATAAGACCACCAACTCCCTACAAGAGTACATTGCCCAGCGGACAGGGCATGAAGCCGGCCTACTTGTGATGTCTGGAACCATGGGAAACCAAGTTGCCATCCGATCGCATCTCTCCGACCCACCCTATTCCGTGCTCTGTGATCATCGAGCGCACATCCTTCAATCAGAAGCCGGTGGAGTAAGTGCCTGGACTGGTGCTACAGTAAATGGTATCATGCCCAAGAATGGACAGTACATCACCTTGGAAGAAATACAAAAACACGTTGTACTTGGGAACAACATCCATCGATGCCCCACGAAGCTAATTAGTCTGGAGAACACACTGTACGGGATGGTGATGCCTCTAGCGGAAACGAAACGCATCGTAAATTGGGCTCATGCTCAGGGAATAAAAGTCCATTTGGATGGCGCACGACTGTGGGATGCGGTGGTAACAGGAGCAGGCGGTCTATCTGAGTATGCCAGTTTGTTTGACAGCGTCAGCCTATGCTTTTCGAAAGGACTCGGCGCCCCCATTGGTAGTATTATCGTGGGATCTCAGGAGTTCATTGACAAGGCTCGTTGGTTCCGCAAATCCATTGGAGGCGGTATTCGACAGGCTGGCATCATTTCTGCCGCAGCGAGGTTTGCTGTGGATGAAGTTTTTGGATTGGATGCATGTGGGACGAGCGGAAAGCTGAAAGAAGTCCATACGAAAGCAAGTAGGGTTGCGACTATGTGGACCAAACGTGGAGGAAGGTTACTATATCCTGTTCAGACGAATATGGTATGGATCGATATAGACAGCGCTGGGCTTCAGCCGTCGGATCTTGCGAGGATTGGAAAGCGAAAAGGACTGCGTTTGGGCGAAAAGCGGATCGTGATGCATTATCGTAAGTATTCTCCCAAACACGGTTTCAATATACTCATTATTTGCAGAGACATCAGATGAAACCCTGTGCCGATTGGAGGAGGTGTTCCAAGAGGCCTTGAAGAAGACATGCTCGAGATTATAAAGCTTGACCAACGCCTATCAATTCCCAATCAGACCCACTGAGCTGACAACTGTTATGGAAGTTTTTGGTCATCTTCAGTCAACACCGTGGTGATGGATAGTAATTTAGCATCCCATGGCGGAAGTATAGTAGTCCCATGCATCCCAAGTGTCATAGTACTGTTTTGTGCTGAAAGCAATCAAAGCACTTCTTCCAGTTTTCAGATCCCCGCCTACTTGGCATCAAAATCTCCTGAAGTTGCTGAAGGACTTCCGTTTACCCTCTACAGTAGAACTTCAAATTCCGCAACTAAAGTATCTTAATCACTGCATTTTGATTTCCCTCAGAGAGTTTCAGTCTATCATTGTCGGCACCTGCTTCATAGCCTTCCTTGTCCCCGGAACCGCCGTGAGACAGGCTATATGATGATTCGAATCCCTACTATAGGGTGATTTGAATCATTCAATACACTAAGGGAAGAGAAATTGAAATCTATAATCAGTCAGGTGCTTATTCCTGGCAGAAAACCAATTTATTTCGGTTTTGTCCCAATGGCTCGCCGTAGTCGTTAAGCAGCTGCAGGCAGTCTTAGTAAAAATGATTAGTAAGTGGGTCACAGGAAGACAAACAAACACAAGTCTGGAGTCTCTGGACCTCTTGTCAGTGCTACGCACTTTTCTCTTCCAACTACCCCAGTTAAGTGGACACCTGCCTAGATCTGGACGTTGTTGTCTTTTCCAGTCAATGGTGCCCAACATGGGAATACAAGGACATATACGACACTCTTCGTGCAGCGTCTGCAGATGATGGTGATCCTGCATGCCGTGGACCTACATCATCATCGGAAATCGACGCGAGGATATCAGCTCATCCACAATGGTTAAGATCCGTCTTTGAAACTCTATGCCTGACCAACGAGAATTCAGTCAAACTTGGTCCTACAAATAGCATCGGACTTGTTTGCGGGCTCGATGCAAGTTGCTGACAGCCAAGACTTTCCGCCAGCAGCGAACCCCAGTATTTCCGCCCGCTATTCCATACTGGGACTTTGGTTCACCAGTACCATCCGGCATTGTTGGCCAAGATCAAGTGAAAAAGCAGCATAGCCACTTTATCATTGATGATAAAGCACAGTCTCCGGTTTTTGACTTCATCATCGGTGGGAATCCGTCATCTTTGCTGGCATTAACGCCTTGTCTCCGAGGCATCCGTCAGCTGCTGGGCGGAGTGTAATCGGCAGCCGGTGGCTGTGCATACACCATGTCATGGCCCCGGCCAATGAGCCAGGCCACTCACGATGTCGAATCTCCTGTTCGATTGGATTCTTTTGAGATGACGAGTCCTTATCTTGGCTTTCCCAGTACATCGATTTGACATTGGGAACCACAAAGTATCTTCGATTTATTTGGATGCCTAGCGGAGGCCACAGTGACATGCCCTATCTGCATTATTGTATGCTTCTCTAGCTTGTTCCTATTGAAGTGGCGTGCAATACATATATGGGAATGAGGTTTATCGAGAAGATGTCGTCTGGTTCCTTTCGTGAGAGGCTTCCAGGGAGGTAGCCATGAAGATTCTCAAACTCGTCAGTTTCATTGGTCTGATCGCTGCTGTGAAACGAAATGTTGCAGGTAAGGCGTGAGCACTCTGCCATGCACTATACATACTAACGTTCTTAGCACATTCGGTACAAACCTCCGCCTGGGATAGTGAAACCCGACTCGAGAATATCATTATCCATACCGCGTCTCATGGAGTTGACGCCTACTCACACTTTGATCTGTCCTTTGACCTTCCCGGGCAAGGAGCGCTGAGGCTGAACCTGGAGCCGAACCATGATATCCTCGCACAAGATTCCCGTGTCCATTACATCGGTACGGACGGCATAGTTCGCAGGACGGAAGCCGTGAATAAAGCCCAACACAAGGTGTTCAAAGGAGTCGTGTCTGCTCCGCACGTTGGTTCAGACGCAACTTGGAATCAGGTTGGCTGGGCGCGGATATATATACACCGAGATGGGGATGATCCCTTGTTTGACGGCATTTTCGGCGTGGCCGGTAAGCAGTACCAGGTGACGATAACATCAGGATCCGGGAATACCAGCGAACCGCAGATGGTTGTTCACTATCACTCTTCATATCACACATGGGACCAATTGGCACCTCGGTCGCCGCAGTCCTCGGGGAATCCCTTCATCACAGACGACGATTTACCATGCCCTAGCACCAGAAGAGTCGCCTTGGTAGGTATCGCGACTGATTGCACATACTCGGCCTCGTTCACATCCAGCGATGAGCTCCGGCGAAACATTATCAACATGGTGAATACGGCTTCAGAAGTCTACGAGCGGACCTTCAACATCTCCCTCGCGCTCCACGACCTGACCATTAGCGATCGAGATTGCCCGAGCAGTCCGTCCAGTTCAACGTCGTGGAATGCCGACTGCTCGGCAGGAGATCTAAACTGGAGACTGAGTCGATTCACCTCCTGGCGCGGTTCCCTCAACGATGACAATGCGTACTGGACGTTGATGACCGGGTGTCCGTCGGGTCAGGAGGTCGGTGTCTCTTGGCTCGGTCAATTGTGTACTGCCAACCGGGGCCGGCAAAGCGCAAGTGGTGCGAATGTGGTGGCACGCACTCGCAGTGAATGGCAGGTTTTTGCGTAAGTCTCCTTGCCTTGCACAAGCAATGCTTCAGTTGACTAAACTGCGAGTTTTGTAGCCACGAGTCAGGCCACACCTTTGGAGCCGTCCATGATTGTGATTCAACGCAGTGTGCTTCCGCCCAGAGTCAGTGCTGCCCATTGTCCTCCTCCACCTGCGACGCAAATGGCCAATACATCATGAACCCGGTCTCCTCGGCCTCGCAGACAGCATTCTCTCCATGCAGCATCCGGAATATCTGCTCGCAACTCAGTTCTGGGCGTGTCAGTACCCGCTGCCTGGTCAGCAACAGCAATATAACCACCATTACAGACGGGCAGTGCGGGAATGGCATTGTGGAAGTTGGCGAGGAATGCGACTGCGGCGCCACCTGCGATCAGAACAGTTGCTGTGATGGATCGACCTGCCGGTTGCGAGCGGGGGCTCTCTGCGACGATGCCGCGAGTCCGTGCTGTACCAACTGCCAGTTTGCTTCGGCGGATACAGTTTGTCGTCCGAGCACCGGTCCATGCGATGTTGAGGAGATGTGTACCGGCAATTCGACCATATGTCCCGCGGATCAGGTTTTGTCGGGTGGACAACGCTGCGGGGATGATGAGGGGGGATCCCGTACCCCGTCATGTTCCAACGGACAATGCAGAGGAAATGAGACCTCATGGGTGGACAGTCATCGATCACTCATCATTGGTCTCGCTGCTGGGATTGGCGGTGCGCTGGTCCTTGCCATCTTGGGTTGCATGATCTGCAGCTGTTGTCGCCGGCCGTCGAAGAAGGCATCGCCAGCTGTGCCAGTGGTATCGCAGGTCTACCCTCCGCCGCCTCCCTATCGTTACAGTTAGAATGATTTTGACGAGCTCAAGTTTTGAATGGTAGTAGATGATCTTTCTGCAGCATAGCAATCAACGAGCACAGCTACTTGGTGCTACACCCATGTCCCTTTCTCACTAGCTTTATATTGTACAGAAATTGCAAAGTCCACGAGCTCGAGTACGGCAGATCTTGATTATGCCGTTAAGATACTGTCCTGTCGTAGGTATTAATGCAGTAGTAATTGACTCGCGTCTATTTATGCATTGATAACTGGCAGATTGCGAGTCAGATATCCTCGCCACTCGGGAAGGGTACGTTTCCAAGGAGTATTCGTGGCCTTCTGCAGGTCTTCGATGGCGCTGGCGTATTTGATCAGAGTTGATTCAGCAAAGGCAGTCTGTAATATTGCGAGTCCGTACGGCATCCCTGATTCTTCATTGACACCAGCCGGGATTGTAACGACAGGATACCCCGCCTGTGCTGCAATCTGAATACTTTGGGCCACATCCGGCGGTACCAACAAGCCATCCAGAGTGCGGTTTCCGTGCTTCAACGCCGCATCGATTCCCTCTTCGCGTGTAGTACGTCTGCAGAATTCCAATGCTTGCCAGTAAGTTTCGTTCATGTCCCCTTTCGTAGCCAAAGATGCCTCAAACCCGTCTTGCCCTGAACCGAATGCCGGATGGACACCGGGGTAGCCGCCTTCCGCCCCAAAATTGGCTTTATTGTACTCGACAAAGTCTTCCAGAGATCGCATATTGGTGTTGTTCAGTTCCGAGAGATACGATTTGATGTTGTTGTAAAAGTCGACTTTGACGTAGGTGTACTCAGATTCGTTGGGATATCCACGTCTACTCCCATAGTCCCAGTCCCATCCATCCGGTGACACAATTTGACGGTAATGCGGGAACTCGGTGCCATTGATGATGGTGGCACCGGCATCCTTAATCAGATCCAAGAGCTCCATCAACTGAGATACTTGGTCTGGATCCCCTAAGCGCCACACGGATTCCCATGGAAGGCCGAACACGGCACCCTTGAGAGATGACCGATCGCTCAGGTACTGAGTATACCCGCCAAGGGGTGTCCGGCCACTCTGGGCCAAGGTATAGTTATCGCGCGTATCAACACCATGTATGGCGTCCAGGATATATGTTGCATCGCGCACCGTTTTCCCGAACACTCCCACCGTATCTTGATGCAGCGATTCAGGGATTACGCCGTCGCGTGACGTGAGGCCGACTGTAGGCTTTATACCAACAACAGCATTTCTCTGCGCTGGATTGATCACTATCCGTGATTGTCAGGAATGTTCCGAAGTAGGGAGCTCCATACGAGAAACGCACCACTGCCATCCGTCTCCGTACCGAGAGCAAAAGGCACAAGGTTGGCTCCCACAGCCACGCCTGAGCCAGAACTGCTGCCCCCAGGATTGACTGTGAGGTTATATGCACTGCGACACTGACCTCCCCGAGCAGAATAGCCTTCAGAGTAGTTGTTAGATCGCATGTCAGCCCATTCGCTCAGGGCGGCCTTCCCCAGCAACAGCGCCCCTGCTTCCCGCAACCGCCGGACAACAAACGCGTCGCGTGGCACCACGGACCCCAAGAGAGCCCAACTGCCAGCGGTGGTCTCCATGCGGTCCTTGGTCGCGATATTATCTTTGACAATGAATGGAATACCATGTAGCGGGCCACGCATTTTACCCTGAGCGCGTTCAACATCCAGGGCCTCCGCGATAGCGAACGCGTCGGGATTGTGCTGGAGGATGGCACTGTGCTTGATTCAGCAATATGAACTGTGGTCGACGCCAGACGGTAGAACAGATACTCACTTGAGGTAACTATCCGTTTGGGAGATGCGATCCAGGTAGCAATGAAGCAGTTGAAGGGTTGTCAATTTCACGGAGAATAGGTACTCCTGCAAGTCGTCGATGGTCGCTTCTTCCAACTGTATTCCATGACAAGGTCGCATTGGAAATAAAGAGGAGCCACTGGTACCAAGCAATGGAAAGTCATAGACGGATGGATTCCAATATGTCTGGATCTCCAGGAGATGGTCTTCTGCCGGCCGTGCATTCACCGGTAGAAATAAGGACAGCAAGAGGAGATGGTGGATCATGAAGGCGAATGCTTGTTACAGTATAGGTGATTTGGTCCTGGTTCAATGTTCGGACAACTAATGCTGCCCCAAGTATCTTTGTAATGCTTTTGCAGACCTGGAGCCAATCTGTATGGTGTTAAAGAGATGAAGTGGCTGCAGTGGAGAAGATTGCACAGACTAGGACCGTGTGCTAATAAATCCCTGCCCCTCATCCTGAACCTTTATCCTACAAATGCAGTCTACACTGTATTCATACCGTGTCTGAATGAATGATAATATCCGTAATCATTTAGGGGCTATATACTTGCTTAGTCGTCTACATAGGTAGCTGGTTCCAACTGTAGGTTGTTGCCCGAGTCGCCTAGAAGTTGAAAATCTCTGTCATTATAAAGCGGGCCTTTGAATGCTATTATGCAACTGCTTCTAGATGGGTACTCTCCCCGACCTACAAGCTCCATCCTTTCTGCGAAAGCCTGCTACTTGCCATCACATGGTATTGTAGCAGCCCTCCCTCCGTTGGAGCAGCGGCTCTGCTGGAAGTGCGTAGATTCAGGGGCTCTTTCCGTCTGGAAGCCCCTCATAGCAATACCATCTAGAACGGAAACAGCAACTCAGCATGCTCAGATTGTAGAAAACCTCGCAAAGAGTCATGGTGCTCGTTTCTTATCGCAGCACTGTATCTGGGCAAACTTTCTGACCACGTTGTGGAGCATTCATACTCTTTAAATACCTTGCGAGGTCCGTCACAATAGGAAATGGATTGTCCATGTCCTCTCTTGTGTTTGCTTTAATCATCGAAGCTGAATCAAAAATACATCCGGTCAGCCCTACAGTTTACAGGCTACCTCCTGTTCTGCACCCGTCTAAAGGCTGTTAGCTGACCGTTCTTACAGCCGGAGAAGGCTAAGCTGCAGGTTACACATTCTGGTGTAACCACTCAGCGTAGATTCTTCATTATTTTTGTCGTCTGCGAATTAGGATACGGACTCGGACGGATCACAGAGAGGTTTTATCGATTCAAACTCACATTATGTGCCGGATTGGGACGTTTACACCTTAGCGAGCACCCTGATATCCTGGCCACGGTGATGGGGAATGTATGTGGCCAATCACTGGTGATTCTTAATCTCCAAGTAAGCTTTACCGTCACCATGCACGTCCTCTGCAGACACTGATTGAATACACAAGATTGCCGGCGCCATCGAGGCGCTGTTGTTGGAGACGCAAATCCTCCAGCCTGAACAGGTCGAGGACCCTAAAGACGGAGAATTGCCTGATCCAACCAAGAAAGCCCGCTTTGCGAGATTGCTTGTCGAGAGCCTTGTTTGGTATTTTGTTTGGTCTTTTCTTCCTCCTACTATCTAGAAATTGGTTGGCCCCATTGCAGTCTTCGAGAATTGCCCTCGTCACAGTTTATTGGATAGTCAGCAAGTGGATCTCAAATATAGGAGACCGTGTCGCTGGTGCCACGATTGAATCACTGTTTTCAGCATGATACCAAGAAGGATTTGCTAGTTTGCTCTAACCTTTGTTCTATAATAGTTTGGCTTGACCATAAGATATGAAAGCTCATCATTGTCGCATCTAAGGTTTACCAAGAACTGTGATAATGGCCTGATATGATAATAGGTTCAATTCGCCTGGCACTATATCAACTGTTTGCTTTACTTTCTTCGTAATAGAAATTCAGGCAGTACAACTAACATGGATTAAAAGTTCATTTCTTTTCCCCTCTTCTTCTATTCTAAACAGAACTATATGGCCGATTAGTACTCTGTATACTCTTGCTCATCCCTGAATTACAGATGTTCCTCTTCCGCAGAAGTAGCCTTCAGTAATCTGCTGAGCAGCTGCGCCGGCTTTCCCCACCTCTGTAACAGCCCAATTTGGATAGTTTCAGGCCAGACTGTTAAGGCAAATGAGCCGGATTATCCGAAACGCTGGCCCCCTTACTGAACATGATAGGTGGAGACGATTTTCGTAGTGGTCCATCATGAGACTGCCTGAGTTGTCGCGTTCTTCAACCCTGTCTTCCGATTGACCGGAATATCCTCAGCACGAACCTTTTTAATCTATCTCGGATCCTGCAGGTTCCCCAGGTTGATGGCGTTTCCTTGGCACGGGGTAATTTCTGCAGCAATCATGCTTGGTGCTTTTATTCCTTTCGTGTCTGCAACTCCGGTATATGAACAGAAAATGGCTCCTCTTTCTTTTCAACTTTCGCAGATCATACCGTCAATATGAAGCTGTCTGCACCTCTTCTCGTCAGTTTAGCAGCTTTCTCACAAGCTGTCACGGCGCTGGTCGCATTTCCTGGCGCTGAAGGTTTTGGCGCCGATGCGATCGGCGGCCGCAAAGGCCAAGTCTATGTCGTTACCAACCTGAATGATTCCGGAACAGGTTCGCTACGAGATGCTGTTTCTGCGACTGATCGCATCGTTGTCTTTGCAGTCGGAGGCGTGATTAAGATCTCCGAGCGAATCGTGGTTTCGAAGCGTGTGACCATACTGGGGCAGACCGCGCCTGGAGACGGCATCACAGTCTATGGAAATGGCTGGTCTTTTTCTAATGCGGATGATGCCATTGTGCGATATATTCGGATGTATGTCTACCCTTTCTCCGCCGACCATTTACTTACTGACATGTTCTAGTCGCATGGGTAAGGGCGGCTCCTCAGGCAAGGACGCCATGGGCATCGCCGAAGGAAATAGGATGATCTTCGACCACGTTTCAGTGTCGTGGGGACGCGACGAGACATTCTCCATCAATGGAGATGCTAGCAACATCACGGTGCAAAACAGCATCATTGCACAAGGTCTGGAGACCCATTCCTGCGGAGGATTGATTCAGACCGACGGTGGTGTGTCGTTGTTCCGCAACCTGTACATCGATAACAAGACGCGCAATCCCAAGGTCAAGGGCGTGAACGAGTTTACGAACAATGTCGTGTACAACTGGGGCGGTGGCGGTGGATACATCGCTGGAGATTCTGATGGTCAATCTTGTATGTCCCTCTGCCTTCTGTGTTGGCATCAGCTAATTGGTAGACGCCAATATCATTGGCAATTACTTTATCAGTGGCCCTTCGACATCGGTGACGGCGTTTACTCGTGGCAATGCAAACTTCCACGGATACGTCGACAACAACTACTATGACCCTGATAAGGATGGGCAACTGGACGGCTCTGAACTCGGCGTGTCGTCGTCGAACTACGGCGGCATGGCAATTGTGTCGTCTAAATACAACTATCCAGCGGTGGCCTACACCATGAGCCCAGCTGAGGCCGTGACCTACGTGACCAAATGTGAGTTTCTCCTCGTCCAAGGGAGCATCAGCTAACTGAACTCGACAGATGCCGGAGCATCCAAGGTTAGGGATAGTGTCGACACGCAGCTGATCGCGCAAGTACAGTCCTGGGGCACAAAGGGTGCTCTGATCTCCGATGAAGCGACTATGGGAGGGCCAGGTACTCTGAATGGAGGCACTCCTGCGAAGGATACTGATGGGGATGGAATCCCTGATGAAGCGGAGAAGCAGCTGGGAACAGATCCCAACACCAACGATTCTATGAAACTGCATAGTAGTGGCTATACCTATCTGGAGGTGTGGGCCAACTCGTTGGTTCCGTCCACCTACCATTGACCTGTCATTACTGAAGTCCGTGCATTCTGAGTATATATGCTAAATTTGCCCTTTTTCCACGATCCTTGCAAAATACGATCACAAGATTATGTAGATCATCAATGTAACATAGATATTAGCCTAATCATGTCGGTACTGAAACCTTGTATAGGCTCATCGGCTGAGCGGAAGAATGCCTCTCGAGCATATAAACCGCAGGATAACTGAGGTTATCGAGAAGGTCACCAGCACAGCACGACAACAATGATGCTCCTTTACCCTGTCCTGCTTTCCCTCATCTCCAGTGGAGGTAAGTCACCTTTCTTTCTTTGGTTGCTGTACTGACCATCCAGCCCTGGCTGCCACCTGCCCGAGTCTCCCTTCATCACCCCAGCTCCAGTCCATCACCACACTCCCTGACCCCTTCTCTTGGTATCCACTGCAGCAGACCGGTCGTGTCACCACTCTCTCCGACTGGCAATGCCGCCAGAGCCACATTAGCACCCTCCTCCAGCAGCTCGAACTCGGCACCAAGCCTCCTGCCCCCTCCAGCGCAACCTCCACCTTCAGCCAAAACAAACTCACCATCACCGCCTCCAATGCCGGAAAAACCATCTCCTTCACAGCAACCATCACCTACCCCTCCTCAGGAGAAGGACCCTACCCCGCGATGATCGCCTACGGAGGGTTGAGCATCCCTCTCCCACCGGGAGTCGCAACCATCACCTTCGACAACAGCCAGATCGCGCAGCAAAACGACCAAAGCAGCCGCGGCAAGGGCCTCTTCTACACTCTGTACGGCGCTAACCACCCCGCCGGCGCAATGATGGCCTGGGCTTGGGCCACATCACTCATCATCGACTGTCTCGAAGCCACCCCCGCCGCGAGAATTAACACCTCCCGAATCGGCGTGACGGGATGCTCACGGAACGGCAAGGGCGCACTAGTCGCTGGCGCCTTCGATTCGCGGATTGCACTCACCGTCCCGCAGGAGTCCGGCACGGGGGGGTCAGGATGCTGGCGGCTGGCGGCGGCGTCTGAAGGCGCGCCGCAGAATGTCCAGACGGCGGGGGAGATTGTGCAGGAGAATGTCTGGTTCTCGACTGCGTTCAATGCCTACGCGAATAATGTGGACCGTCTCCCGTTCGACCATCATATGCTGGCTGGGTTGATTGCTCCGCGCGGTCTGCTGTCCATCGACAATGCGGGGTATCAGTGGCTAGGCCCGTGGTCGTCGCTGGGGTGTATGGCGACGGCGAGGCTGGTCTGGCAGGCGATGGGGGTGCCGGATCGTATGGGGTACTCGATGTCGACGAACCATCCGCACTGCTCGTTTCCGGATCAGCAGCGGGGGGATTTGTTTGCGTTTATTAATCGGTTTCTGCTGGGGATGGAGGTCAATACCACGGTGCAGAAGAATTATGCGGGGATTGCGTTTGATAGCAAGCCGTGGGTGAACTGGCAAGTTCCCACTTTGACTTGATTGTTCAACGATTCAGTCTCTGTTCCTTGTTTTGGTTCCTTTCTATGCGAACGTGCTTTAAGTTATCAGTTGTCTATAGCTCGACTATCATGTTTTTCTAGCTAATGATTCTTGTGTTCGGTTGCCCTGGCCGGAACTCAGACATCTTAGGTTTCCTATGACCCCCAGGCCTGAGGACAGGCCCTAGTTAAGGGGAAGGTGGTGTTATAGGGCCCGTGAGAGGCTGGACGTACTGTATAGTATAGTGTAGAAATACATAGATACTAAATAGCTAGAGTTATCAATGGACTATAGTAGCTAGCTTTATAGTATAGCTAGAGTAATAACAGTCTTACTTCAGGAAGAAGGGATATGGATCCACCTGCGCAGATAAATCTATATTATTATCCGCCCTGAGCTCCTTACAGAAGACCCCTTGGGCTGCTCCCACCTCGGGATGGATGTTGATAAAGACGGCGACGTTTATAAGCTATCCAGCTCTGAGTCCAGGAGAAATCGCAGAAGCGTTGAATATTTTTCCTGCTGGATGCGGGAAAAGCTTGAGAAGAAATTAGAGGGAATTGACACGAGGAATGTTGCAGATATAGAGCAACTTATGCGTCCTGGGGAAGATCTTATGCCGAAATTCGAAGATCTAGACATCCATCACCACGTTCACTGACGCAATAAACGCAGGGCTAGCTATCAAGCAATCAGATCGTTCGATCATCGATTAAAGATCAGATATGCATCATCGGATCGGTTCCTGTTTGTAGGTGCAGATGAACGCATCAAGAAATCTACTCCTTACGTCACCATTGCCTCGGCCTGGTCGGCCGAATTTGTCAACAGTCTAGACGCCGTGTATAAGATAAGCCAGAGTCAAGGATGACATCCAATCTCTCACGAGCGCTGAATACTATAAAATGCATCGAGGACTGAGTTTGCTTCGGCGACAATTTGGTATTATTCGCGCAACTCACTCTGGCCTAAACCCAGTGCCCATTCCATCTAGCATCTACTGCAAGAAGTACCCTCACCAAGGCTTCCACCACAGCGTCGGAAAAATGTCCAATTTTGACAAATTCAACGGCAATACGGCTGATAAGCCACCCAAGAACGGAATGGTCTATCTTCCTGGTGTGATGTCGCCCAATCGGAAGTTTGGGGTGTTCCGCAAGGTTCTACATACAGGCTTGTACTCCCAATTTGTTGCTATGGAAGTACCAGTGAAGGGAGAGATCGGGGATGAGGTCCGTCTTTGCATTCAATCTTTGATGGCTCGGTGAAATCTAATGACCATTAGATCCACACTGTCGATCAGACGCTCATCTTCACACACGGCAGGGGAAAGGCCATCGTCGCTGGAAAGGAGCAGGAGATCAAGGAGGGCGATGTGGTCATCGTTCCCGCCGGTACCCAGCATCAATTCCTTAACATCGGCGATGTCCCCTTGGAAGTGGTGACAATCTATGCGCCTGCCGAGCATTATCCGAGTACTATGCATCAAACAAAGGCAGAAGGAGATGCACAGGAAGAAAAGGGCGAGGATGAGGCCCCGGAATGGAGTCAGCGAGGCAAGGCCGAAAATGAGAAGCTGGGGCTGGTGAAGGGGGAATGAGTGTCTATAGAACTACCTCGGGCACGTGTCGCCTGTAGTCTCGTCTTCGTGTTCCAGGCGGCAACTTATTTAATGATGTCTGATCAATTGTTTATTTATTGCATGTGTCAATTTAATGCATTCTAGGAGTAAAGTTAACCAAGATCTCGTATTCTTGCTCTCGAGAGACGGCATCCTGGATGAACACTTCCTCATAGTTGAGAGGACGCAACTAAGATATATTAGTTTGACTTCTGCAAGACTGCCGACTGCGCTTACATCAAACTTCAAGATGATCAGGGCAGCAGCTCGCTTCAATTCTAGCCAAGCCGCTCGAGCTTTTGCAGAATTTGGCATATTCGGTCGCAGAAACAACAATGCTTCCATCTGTTTCCGTTGCCATTGATCCAAGTCTGCCTGTAGCCATCTTTGAGGCCGAAAATCAGAGACGTCTTCTCCGAAGATGGTACGATTATTTCTTAAAGCCTCTGAATGAAACTGAACGACCGTTCCTTCAGGAAGATAATGTCCCAAGACTGCTAGACCACCCGCAGGGACATCTCTTAGATAATCAAATCTCAAGGCAAGTCGCATCGATTCCTTTATGACAGCATCCAGGAATGATAGGGCGTGTAACTCAGTCTCTTGCTGAAGAATATCGGATAAAGTCAGGTTGCGAAATGCGTTGTCTACCTCGTGCTGGAGCTGAGACATAGCCGTAGGGCACTTTAACAAATGGCGAAACACTGAAACAAATGCGGCAACCATGCAGTCCGCTCCTTTTACAATCAGAGAGGCGTACGGACCACCATATTCACGGGTTTCTGCCTGCAAAAATGTTTTTCTGCCCGTCTCCGGCAAGACCTCGAAGATAGACGCATCGTCCCACCGGGAATGGGTGACTGCGCAGGAAACCCATCTTAGGCTCTTGTTGCGTTTCCGCTTTAGCTTAGCAACTGGATTCTTGAACATAATATGGTCCAGGGATGTTGTAAATCGGCATCTATCCATTTGGTTTGACCCAGTACGCATGGGTGCTGCTCGGTCATCCTCAAGGTCGCCCACAAACATGCGTCCAACAATGTCCGTCGCGAAATCTCGGAACACAGTCAGTTTCATGGTACGTTGTTTTCGGATGGCTTTGAGAAAGTCGAGAACCAGGTCCTTTTTATCATTATGTTGAGGTCCATCGTCTGTCTGTTCGTCTAGGTAAACACGATGATTGCTTTTGAGCTGAGAATTGACAGTCGCTCCTTCTGGTTCATCCACATAGCTATCAAGAAACGACTTCTAAATCTCAGCTTGTAATCCATCTGCTTGAAAAGGAAGTGATGAATACCTTCGACCTTTGTGGACAGGCGGCATCCAGCCAGAAAATGTTGGAGGGGTCAGTGACGCTGACCGTCTTCGGCCCTATGCGAACCACCTCGCCATATTTGCGATGAAGACGCTGCAAACGATAAGCATATCGTGGTGACGACTTGAGACACTGCGACCAAATATCAGATAGACCTGCAAGCAACGGGCCGGGGATTGTGTTTAGCCGCGTATAGTTCCACAGGATGCCGCCGAATACGCAGAGAAGCAATAGTAAAGCCGCAAACACAGCCATTTATCTGGGACATATTTCGAAATGGAGCTTGAATTATGCCTGTGAACTTTGTTCTCCTTCGAAGAAATCAGTAGAGAACCGGCTTTGGAGGTCGAAGAAACAACTCACCATGACAGCACACTACATCCCCTTTTTTAACCGCGATGTCCCGAACCGAGAAAAAGAACCGGGGAAAGGCCAGTCGCTCACTTTTTTCCCCAGGCGACCAGTCTCAATTACTGAAATTCCTGAAGCCTTGAAGGTCCCCAGCAGCACTGGTAAGCCTAGGTACTGCGTAATTGGTCAGGTTTTCCTTTTGGTCTTATCTGATTGTTCAGTGGGTTAAGTCATGTCCATCTCAAGGCTCAACTGGATTGGTTGCGCCCCATTCTCCATCGGGCCGACGGCTTATCAACTACCAGCTGCGTGACACCACAAAGCAGCCATCAGGTTAATCCGGGGAATCTGGAGAAGATCTCATTGATTCATGAGAAAAAGAAAATATCTGCAAGGTTTGCCAAATACGAGCAGAATCTCAGCCACAAGGTCAGCAGTGTAAGTGTCCAACGAGATAAAACTGTTGAAAAGAGCCGATCCGGAGAAGGGAGCATCGTGGGGTCGTTAGACGGTGTTCGGCAAACATCGCATAGTCGTCGTCAACCTCAGTCGCATAGATAATCAAGTCCTTGAGCTCACTTACTGGGCTGTTGATGCCCCGTGCTGGGAAGGAAAGGACAATCGAACAGGATCAAGTCTATTGGAAGCCAGTTTTTCCGATCTCCCAACGGCAGGAGGCAGTCAGTATAATTATGTTCTGTCTTTGACCGCCACCAATACTTCCCCATGGCGCACGGCAAAGCTCGAAGCGGATTGCAGAACCGATCAATAGACAGGTCGGGAAATACGCGTTCCGTTATAGCGTGCGTGATGATCACCAGACGGTCTGCAGAGACCTGCTGACGACTATGGCAGATGCAATCGATGTCGGGGCAGAAAGACCCGATGCGCTGGCACCCCACCGTATCCCTGTGCTGCATGTGAGGATGCGGGACAAATATGTGTGTATTCTGAAGCTGAGAAACGTGTGTCGGTATCTGAAAGGTGAGCCAAACTACGCGGACCAGGAGATGAGCGGAGATATAAAGGAGCAATCAGCTGGAAGGCGCAAGGTGCTAACCGCAGTGGTACTGAAACAGCTACCTGCGTCAGCTTCAATCGCAAGCTAGAGCTGCAAGGCAAGGATCGGACCACAGTCTTCCCCCTCTGTCATCGCACTCCACACCAAGCCAGCCCACTCCCTATAGCAACGCGAGTGAGAGCACTCCGCCTAGTCGAGATGACTGGTGGTATAATGGAACGGATAATCTTTTCTTAAACCGATCCGGAGAACATCGTATGTCCAATAGATTGCATCATCCACGATATCAGCTAACCACTCTCAGACTATGTTGGCCCTGCTGCGGCGGTCGCGCTAGCCAAGCGACTGCATCCTTCATCATCCAATCTCGCATGGGACGTACGCCCTCTGTACGATGATCCTCTGTCTCTGCACCGTTCCGTCAATCGGACTCTCCCGCAGATGCCACCATTCGAATTCGCGAAGCGATTGTTCTGGGTGCAGTATGCCTACATTGGAACTATCTTTTCCCTGATACAGCCTGAGGACTTCGAAGAACGACTCAATGCCGTCTATCATCACCCTCCTGACTTCTCGAACCGAGAGTCATGTCTCGTTTATTGCCAAGTCCTGCTTGTCATTGCCTACGGGCTGATGTATTCAGTGAACCAGTGGTCAGGAGACGATGGCCCACCTGGCTTCAAGTACTTTAAGCATGCCTTGCGTTTTCTGCCAGACATTCATGAGGAAGGCTCGATATTCTTTGTCGAGGTCCTGTGCTATGTCGCTTATTACATGCAGAATCTGAACCGGCGGGATGCTGCTTTTCTATACGTAAGCATCCATTTTATAATGACCTTTGATGGCCCGCTGACATGAATTGCAGATTGGCCTCGCGCTTCGCATGGCTATCTCTTTAGGGCTTCACCAGGAGGTATCGCATCCGGATGTCAGTGATGCAGATCGCTATCGACGACGACGAGCCTGGTGGTCTGTGTACAGTCTAGACAGGTACTGCGACATGCATCTTCTCGGAACGGCATGCTAACATGGTGCAGGTTACTTTCTGTCAAGTCCGGGAATCCAATCACTATCCAGGATGAAGATATTGGGACATTGTGGCCGATACCTGAAGTATGACTCCTCAAACTTTATTCTTTAAGTTGTTTTGTTTTTCATCATTCAATCAATCACTCTTTGCTAATTATTGGCAGGGCGGTTCTGCATCAGCTCCGTGGCCGTCCGTCGTTCTCACTCATTACACCAGACTGTCTCGCATTCTAGGCAGAATTGGAGAAGGCGAGTTCCTCAAACTAGACTCTTCAATACCATGCTGACATGCGATATAGAGATCTACCGCAAGAAACCACGATCCGGGTCTAATCTGCTGGCATCCGTACAGAGCATTACAAATGACCTCTCTGACTGGCTCCGACAAGTGCCAGATCGCTTACGCATTGATTTTACAACACTAGATACGCATATCAATCGCGAATCAGTCTCCATATTTCTTCACTTTTATTCGTGCATCAACATGACTGCCAGACCTCTGGTGTTCTATGTAATCCAGAGACGCCTGGACGCAGAGACTGGAGGGCCTGCCGCAAATGACTGGAAAGAAGGCTTGTCGCAAAATACAGTTGCCGTCATTGAGAGCTGCATCACCGCAGCTCGAGCCACGACGCTCATCATGGATGCTGCAGCCAGGCATAATCTAGTCGGTACGTTCTATCTTCCTTCTCGACCCGAACTTGATGCTCATTGTGAACCATAGCAACCTACGGCTACTTGGATGGCGAATACATCTTCTCTGCCGCTCTACTGCTGGTCATGGTCAATGCGGCCTTTCCGCACAATGAGACAAATGCCAGAACAATGGATATGGCACTGAATCTGTTGCGTAGTATGGCTGATCGCGGGAATACCTACCTGGGGTCTCGCCACTCCTTGCTGCTAGAACTTCAGGCCTCCATTGGATCCAACCAAGTGGCTCAGGGACGGGTTGATTTCAATGCTCCCGTGACACCTACCAGCAGTCAGCAGCGTAGTCCCCCTCAGACCATCGGTATAGGGGAAGATACAAGGGTCGGTCCCTCAGACTGGCCATCCCAGCAGCATATCACCTTCAATCTTGATATCAATGACGACCCAGGATTGTGGGAAGAGGTCCTTGGTCAGATCGATATTGATATGGACACTGACTGGATTGAGAATACTCTAAGAAGGCAAGAGTGATCAATCGTTCGGCAACTAGGACTGCTCTATCGAGATATCGCGCAATAAATATTCGGCGATTTTGGTGATGGCTCTTTCAAATATACGTATCAAGTCTTGGCATAGGATCAGCCCCCAACACAGCACAAATAAGTGGAGATCGTTGATAAGTACCTTACCAGTACTCCGTACTAATGCAAAATATCAGCGCACTGTGCACTGGTTCCTGACCTATCCTATCTAATCATAGTACTAGTGCACAAAAGTCATTAGGGTGTTTACGGATTAGTGTTTATAATGATCAACAACACGAGTCGATACCCACATGGCTAGCCATCAAGATACTGAGGACTAGTTTAGCCTACTTGCATTCAAGCGATAATTTCTCTGTCTGATGAGGTTACTGCTATCGTAGTACTATTATCTCATGTCATTCCTGCACTAACAGGCTCATGCTTCTGATCCTTCATATCCTCGTTTCTGCTAACTGGGGGATTCTAGGTGTAATTCCTAGTGGGCCCTGGGGGAAAGCTAAGCCCGTTCCCATTTAGCTTATGGGGATCTTCAGTACTAGTCATCTAGTTAGTCAGGAGCTTAAGAGCTAGACATGCACATCCTGCGCAACCCGACTGCAGGTACAAAAAGGGGCCCAGTAGCGCGTGGGACCATGGGTCTTTTTCGCAATGCCGTGCAGTACGACTTTGACTCCGGCCTTGCATCATGGGCAATACCACCAGTATTGCCGCTGGGCGTGACTGTTTACTATCCGCCGTTGGAGGGAATCATGCTCATGTCGCTTTCCAAGATCAGCTGTTGTACCAGGCTACCGCAGTCGAGCCATACAACTTGAATATCCCGGTCACTCCGGCGGCAGTCACATATCCTCAATCAGCGGATGAGATAGCTGCGGTGGTGAAATGCGCCGCTGAATATGGCTACAAGGTGCAGGCTCGCAGTGGAGGACACAGTTTCGGCAATTATGGTATGTATGACATGAGTGATTACAATAGTAGTTTTCAGCCTCCGACATCAAGTCCGCTAACTCGTCTCTGTTCTAGGCCTTGGAGGAGAAGACGGGGCCATCGTGGTCGAAATGAAGCACTTCAACCAATTCTCCATGGATGAGTCGACCTATACCGCGACCATCGGACCCGGAATCACGCTAGGCGACCTCGACACCGGGCTGTACAATGCGGGCCATCGAGCAATGGCGCACGGTATCTGTCCGACCATTCGGACAGGCGGCCACCTGACAATGGGCGGATTGGGTCCGACGGCGCGCCAGTGGGGTCTGGCGCTGGACCACGTTGAGGAAGTCGAGGTCGTGCTAGCAAACTCGAGTATTGTGCGTGCGTCGGATACTCAGAACCAGGATATTTTCTTCGCCGTCAAAGGTGCTGCTGCCAGCTTTGGGATAGTCACGGAATTCAAAGTGCGCACAGAAGAGGCGCCCGGCTTAGCCGTCCAATATTCGTTTACGTTCAATCTGGGGACCGCTGCTGAGAAGGCAAAGCTCGTCAAAGATTGGCAGGCATTCATAGCTCAGGAAGACCTCACCTGGAAGTTCTACTCCAACATGAACATCTTTGACGGCCAGATCATACTCGAAGGTATTTACTTTGGCTCGAAAGAGGAGTACGACGCCTTGGGCCTGGAGGAAAGGTTTCCGACCAGCGAGCCCGGCACTGTGCTAGTTCTGACGGATTGGTTGGGAATGGTCGGTCACGGACTGGAAGATGTCATTCTAAGACTGGTTGGAAACACCCCGACCTGGTTTTATGCCAAGTCCCTAGGATTTGCACCTCGCGCACTGATCCCTGATTCCGCAATTGACGACTTCTTCAGTTATATCCACGAGAACAACCCCGGAACCGTGTCCTGGTTTGTTACCCTCAGCCTGGAGGGTGGAGCTATCAACAAGGTGCCTGAAGATGCCACAGCATACGGCCACCGCGATGTGCTTTTCTGGGTTCAAATCTTCATGATTAACCCGCTTGGTCCAGTCTCGCAGACCACATATGGTTTCGCGGATGGTCTGTACGATGTTCTGGCTAAGGCAGTGCCAGAGAGCGCAGGTCACGCATATCTTGGATGTCCCGATCCCAGAATGCCCAACGCCCAGCAGGCGTACTGGCGTAGCAACCTTCCAAGATTGGAAGAGCTGAAGGGTGAATTGGATCCAAAAGACATCTTCCACAATCCACAGGGCGTTATGGTTGTCTCCTGAGATGGCACAGGTTGCATTTTGTATAGTGTTATATGCTTCATACCAGTGTGGGCGCCAGTTGATGGTCCCCCTCTTCTTACAGCACGTCCTGGGTCCTATCCTTCCCACTAGGTCTTAGGTAGCCATCCATCTTCCTAATATGGAAATATTGAATACTTTAATGAGGTGAGCAACTTAGATACTCTTATAGTTATAAGCTAGAGATATATTAGGCTATTACTAGATTACTACATCAGGCATTCAATATATATTTACCTACAAACTCCATCATATAAGACATCATCTGAGCATTGATCCCACACCGCAAGTTTGTGCAAGATACGCCTTCAGCAGGACAATAGAACCTCCCCACTAAATCACTGGCATCTTTTTAATCTCGTCGATCGCCATAATCTTCAAAGTGAATCTCAATATCCTCAATATTCTTCTCCTATTGCCAATGACCGGCAGCATCGGACCGCTGCTCCCGACGCGCCGACCATCGGGCCGACACGTGATCTCGTCGAATGCGCCCGCATCGCCGGCACGGACAATACAGTGCGAAGAATGGGGCCCAGCAGGCGGAGAACCAGTCAGATCGGCGCTTGAACCACCAGTGATGTGATGTCGTTATCAGTGATGGTCTCTTTCGGCCCTTTAAGTCGGAGAGCGAACGAGCTTAGTGTTATCCAGACTCTGGAGTGGCATATTATAAATTGGTGATACCCCTCGTTCACGTAGCATACTATACTTATTTCCCCCTCCATCCTCTCCACGTTCTTACATCATCTCCGCACACATACACAAACAAGATGGAGGAAGAATCAGGGAAGATCACTATTTCCATCGACCGTGGTGGTACTTTCACCGATGTCCATGCCATCGTACCTGGTCGTCCAGATATCATTCTCAAGCTGCTTTCGGTTGATCCCGGTCACTATGAGGATGCCCCCACGGAAGGTGTCCGTCAGATCCTCGAGCTTGTAACTGGCGAGCCTCACCCTCGAGGACAGCCATTGAAGCTAGACCGCATCCGCAGTTTACGAATGGGGACGACAGTTGCCACAAATGCCTTGCTCGAAAGGAAAGGTGCGCGATCCGTGCTCTTCACAACGAAAGGCTTCCGAGATCTCCTGAAGATTGGCGATCAATCGCGTCCCAACATTTTTGACTTGACGATGGCCAGGCCTGGCGTCTTGCCAGAAAGCGTGGTAGAGGTTAATGAGCGTGTCGTGCCCTGCCACCCGTCTGCTGACAAGGACTGCTTCCCCGGCGCCCGCATTGTCGAAGGTGTTACCGGCGAGAAGTTTCGTGTGGTCCAGGAGTTGGATCTCGAGGCCGTTCGAGTGGAGCTGCAGAGACTGAAGGAGCAAGGGTATCAGTCATTGTCCGTGGCGCTCGTTCATTCATACGCATATCCAGAGCATGAGCGCCTGATCGGCGAGCTGGCCGAGAGCATGGGCTTCTCCGTCACACTGTCTTCCAAGTTACAACCCATGATCAAGGTCGTGCCTCGAGGGATGTCGGCCGCAGCCGATGCCTACCTCACCCCCGTCATCAAAACGTACATCGATTCCATCTCTGCCGCCTTCGAAGGGGGTCTGGAACAGCAGCGAGAGTGTCGATTCGAATTTATGCAATCCGACGGTGGCCTGGTTGACTTTCGTCGCTTCAGCGGGCTGAAGGCGATTCTGTCTGGTCCGGCGGCTGGTGTGGTCGGTTTCGCAGCCACCAGCTATGATCCCACTGAGAAGATTCCCGTCATTGGTTTCGACATGGGCGGGACATCCACAGACGTTTCGCGCTTTGCCGGCCATCTGGAGCATGTGTTCGGATCCAAGGTTGCTGGCGTTCTGATTCAATCTCCTCAACTCGACATCAACACCGTGGCAGCCGGTGGAGGCTCCATCCTCACCTGGCGGAACGGCCTGTTCTACGTCGGTCCCGAATCTGCTTCGGCCCACCCCGGTCCCGCTTGTTATCGCAAGGGTGGCCCTCTGACTGTGACCGACGCCAATCTGTTCCTCGGTCGCCTGCTGCCGGAATACTTCCCACACATCTTTGGTCCGAACGAGGACCAACCACTCGACCTTGAAGTTACTACGAAGCTGTTCAACGAACTGACGGACAAGATCAACGCCGAAAGGAGAGAAAAGGGCCAGTCCGAGTACACGGCGGAAGAGATCGCGTTGGGTTTCTTGAAGGTGGCGGATGAGTCCATGGCTCGCCCTATTCGCAATCTGACCGAGGCTCGCGGATACGAAACTGCTTCCCATCATCTGGCTTGCTTTGGTGGTGCCGGTGGTCAGCACGCCTGTTCCGTTGCCGCATCCCTTGGAATCTCCCGCATCATCATTCACAAATACTCCTCCGTCCTGTCCGCTTACGGTCTGGCCTTGGCTGAAGTCGTCAAGGAGTCTCAGGAGCCGGTCTCTGCTGACTACCACGCCTCGCAGTCGACGCTGCAGAGACGATTTGACGCCATGACCCAAGCTGCTACCGAGGAGATGGTGACACAAGGCTTCCGTGACGATCAGGTCCATCATGAACTGTACCTCAACATGCGATATGAAGGGTCGGACACCAGCCTGATGATCTTGAAGCCGGAGGAAGACTCTGGTTTCCTCGACCAATTCCGAGAGCGTCATCGCCGAGAATTCGGCTTCAACTCGGAGCGAGCAGTCCTCGTTGATGACATCCGCGTGCGTACGACCGCCTCTTCCAAAGTACGCACGGAAAAGAGTCCACTCGTCCAGCTGAAGGAGGCGTCTCTGAAAGACGTCAGTCGCCCGCCTGATAATGCCACCAAGGCGTACTTTGATGGCCACTCTAGCCGCATCGATACCCCAGTTTATCTGCTCGATAAGCTCGAGAAGAGCACTCGCGTGCATGGACCTGCCATCATCATCGACAAGACACAGACCATTGTTGTCGTACCCAGCGCTGTTGCAAGCGTCCTGGAGACGTGCGTCGTGATTGATCTCAAGGATACCAAGACCGACGCGTCTGCTGCCAGCGACGAGTCCTCTAACATCGATCCCATCCGGCTCAGCATTTTCGGTCATCGTTTCATGTCCATTGCGGAGCAGATGGGCCGGACACTTCAGAAGACCTCGGTGTCGACCAACATCAAGGAGCGTCTGGACTTTTCCTGCGCTCTGTTCTCCCCTGATGGAGGGCTAGTAGCGAATGCGCCTCATGTCCCTGTTCATCTCGGCTCAATGCAGTTTGCTGTCCGGTACCAGCACCAGAAGTGGTTGGGAAATCTGAAAGACGGCGACGTCCTCGTTGCCAACCACCCTAGCTGTGGTGGAACTCACTTGCCAGACATCACGGTACGCTCTACTATCCATTTGCTATTTTATTTACTGACACCATTAGGTTATTACGCCCGTCTTTGACCGCCCCGGTGGCACTGAGATCATGTTCTACGTGGCGTCTCGCGGCCATCACGCGGACATTGGAGGCATACTTCCTGGATCGATGCCTCCCAAATCCACCGAGTTGTGGCAAGAAGGAGCTGCTATTGAGGGCGACAAGATCGTCAGCAACGGCGTCTTCGACGAAAAACGCATCATGGAGCTTCTGGTTGACGGCCCCGCTCAGTACGAAGGATGCTCGGGCGCACGGTGTGTCAGCGACAACATCTCGGATCTGAAAGCGCAGATTGCTGCCAACGCGCGCGGTATCTCTCTGATCCAGGCTCTTTTCGCCGAGTACGGCGTCGAGACCGTCCAGAAGTACATGTACGCCATCCAGCACACGGCCGAGAGGGCCGTCCGCGACCTCCTCAAGGGACTCCACAAGAAGTTCGGCGGTCAACCCCTGGAAGCAATCGACTACATGGACGACGGCACCCCGATCAAGCTGAAGGTCACCATCGATGGCTCGGACGGCTCGGCCGTCTTCGACTTCGCCGGCACCGGCCCGGAGGTCTACGGCGGCTGGAACGCCCCGATCGCCATCACCCACTCGGCAATTATCTATTGCCTGCGCTGCATGATCAACGCCGACGTGCCGCTCAACCAAGGCTGTCTGGCCCCGATCGACATCCACGTCCCATCGCCCAGCATCCTCTCCCCGACCAAGACCGCCGCCGTCGTCGGCGGCAACGTCGTCACCTCGCAGCGCATCACCGACGTCGTGCTCAAGGCGTTCCGCGCCTGCGCCGCCTCCCAGGGCTGCTGCAACAACCTCACGTTCGGCACGAATGCGCGCACCGACCCGACTACCGGCGAGACCCTCCCAGGCTTCGGGTACTACGAGACCATCGCGGGAGGCAGCGGCGCGGGGCCAACCTGGGACGGCGAGTCCGGGGTGCACGTGCACATGACCAACACGCGTATCACGGACCCAGAGATCCTGGAGAAGCGGTACCCGACGCTGCTGAGGCAGTTTAGCCTGCGGCCGGGATCGGGCGGCAAGGGGCTGCATCCCGGTGGGGACGGCGTGGTTCGCGAGATTGAGTTCCTCGCGCCGATGCAGTGCTCGATCCTCTCGGAGCGACGGGTGCATCGTCCGTATGGTCTGGAGGGCGGAGAGGATGCGCAGCCGGGAATGAATCTGTGGGTTACCACAGATAAGGAGACGGGGGTGGAGCGCCAGGTGAATATTGGGGGAAAGAATACCGTGTCTGTGGACACCCATGACCGATTTGTAATTATGACTGCTGGTGGTGGTGGATGGGGGGCTGCACAAGCATGAGCATGAGCATTTCTTGTATATGGCGCAGGTACTGTTATATTGTTTACGACGAATATAGGAATGTATGATTTCAATTGAGGCTATTCGTCTATCCTTCTCCATCTATTACAGACTAGTCATACCAAATCCGAGAATCTTCCTCCAGCAAACGATGGAACTCCTGCTAAGACTAACAGTGGTGAAGCATCACATCTACAAGGATGTATCCCATCAGACAGCCACAACACCCGAAGGATTATGAAACAAAGCCAAAGCACAACGTGATCAGGTGGGTTAATAACTAAAGGAACGTGCTCCTCTGTCAAAGGGATAAACACTAGTTCAGTTTGGAAATAATAATAATAGCGAGCCTCGAGGAGATTTGAACTCGGAACTGTCGCTAAGGATTCCTCGCATGACCCTAAACAAGTATGCTGCAAGGCGTTCGTAAGTGCCGAATACGGAGTACTAGTGGAAGCTAGTGTGGTCTGTTAATATGGTGTATTCTTATCTGATTTGTTCCATATTGCGACATTTTATAGCCCCTGCCCCCTGGTGGAGAAAGAATAATTGATGACTCGATGGGTGCCTGAGGCAGCACAAAGGATCTACTCCGTACTGAGTAGTGTTCCTTAACCCCAGTTGTACAATGGTTATTGATATTCGTTGGATCTGTTTCACTTCATTGAGAGGAAGTAGAACAGAACATACACCATAGATAGATAGTCTACCTTTCTAATAGTCAGACATATTCGGCAAGGTCACAGACACACAGTTCTCCTCTTCTACAGACTGTTACTCCTTAAATCGGCGATTTCATTCCTGTTTTACATAAGCAGAATCACATGTTCGTGATCGTGGTGGCTTATGGCTTATGGCTTATGGCTACCCCCGGAGATGGCACCTTTTCTGCAAGAAGATCCCATCCTGTCTGAGCATCTGCCTGTGACCTGTCATGCAAAATGACACAAATTAGTTAGATGAATTATTGACTAATTAATGTTAGTTTGTTTTTGATAAAGCTGGGGTAAGGTAAAAAAAAAAATGGAAAAAGAAATAGAGGTTTTCCACGACATCTGCTATTACTAGGTACAGGGTACTAGCACCTTATGGATGACGGTCGGATAAACTAATATTGCTCTTCATTCTATAGCTATATCCTCATGATCATGTTGTCTTACATCTGCAACAGAAAACAAAAGCAATGCTCTGATCTGATGGCTTGACCAGGCATCACCAGTCACATTTACCCCGCCGGACCTTCACACGAACAACTGGAGAGCTCCCCCTCCCTTGACTGGTATTTTGACAACCAGAAGAACTCTCTTTCTCTGTTTTCCCCTCTTCTTCATCCGTCTTATTATTATCTGAAAGTTCCCTTGAACGTCTTGCCTGCCATGGGGAAACTCCCCGCAGCCATCGTTATAGCCAGGTATGGTCGAACTTCATGAGCTTCTGATGTAGCAACGATCGGCTGACAGCTTGACTCCAGGCATGGCGCTCGACTAGATGCTGCCGACAAAAATTGGCATCTCACCTCTCCGACTCCCTATGATCCTCCCCTTTCCTATGGCGGATGGCTCCAGTCCCGCGCGCTCGGAGCTCGAATCATCAACCTACTGCAATCCTTCGACGACCATCCCCCCGTTTCGTCCATCGTACTATCAGACGAGCCGAAATTTCCCTCATCGCTCCCGAATCCCAAAAAGAAGCGCAGATTCATAATCCATACTTCTCCATATCTTCGTTGCGTGCAGACGGCCATCGCTGTCAGCTCGGGGATCAGCCAGCACTATACGGACAGCGAGATTGTTCACCCCGCCGTCGCTTCCAACTCCACTCAGGCCAATGGATATTCTATGGGATCAGCTGCAGACTCACGAAGAGGGTCTATCTCGAGTCCGATCACACCTTCCCCTTCGATGTCTGGTCCCCACAATCATCGGTGTCTTCTGCGCGTGGACGCATTTCTTGGAGAGTGGTTGAGTCCAGACTACTTTGACCAGATCACCCCTCCCCCCAAGTCGGAAAGGCTTGTGGCTGCGGCCAAAGCCGAATTACTTCGGCGCGGGGACGACGTCGTTCCTGAAGCAGACACGGCCAACAAGCCGAGTACAGGCAACTTCCCTGGTGGCTGGGGTGGTTTCACGAACCCCGACACAGCTCGCGTGGATGGAACGGTAAACAGTGTTGGCCCTTCCTCGGGTGTCACCTATACTCCGGGCCAACGCACCCGTGCAGGGAGCTACGACAGTCTCAAGTCCGCCGAAACCCCTCGCGCTAGAAGAATCCTCGGCAAAATCAACACTGATCTTCCACCGATTCCAGACGGCGCGTACATGCCTCCCACGCCGAGCTACGCCATCTCGCCCTCCGACCCGATCCCTGTAGGATATGTTACGCACGCCCGCAACGCCTGTGTCAAGATTGACTACCAGTGGGACAGCATGCGTGAGCCCCAGAACTGGGGCAATGGAGGGGAGTACGGCGAAGAGTGGAGTGCCATGCATTCGCGCTTCCGTGCTGGCTTTGAGCGAATGCTTGCCTGGTACCGCGATAACGATCAAGGTGCTGGGACGGGCCGACCGCGGCGACATTCGCAACAGCCTGGAATTCACGGGGATCTACACCAGCCAGCTGATGAGGATGACGCGACCGACATCATTCTCATCGTGATTACTCACGGGGCAGGATGCAATGCCCTAGTTGGGGCGCTGACTGGAGAGCCTGTGCTGTTGGATTTCAAAACAGCCTCCCTGACTCTGTCTGTCCGCAAGGACAATGCGGACGAACAAGCCGAGGCAGACACTGCTCGGGAGCGATTCTTGTCCCCTGGGCCAGCAGAAGACGCTCCACTCACGAAAGATTACAGCTTACGACTTGTGGCCTCGACTGATCATCTACGTCCTACCGTGAATCCAATCCAATCCACCTCCAGCTTGCCGTCACCTAACAGCGCGGTCACTCCCTCGATCTCCTCTTATCGTCATCGGCCTGCGTCGCGTCCCTCGCTTTCACAGGGACAATTCATGATCGGTCCATCCCCGAATTCGGGTGTCGGGTCACGTTCTTGGTCCCTCTTGCGCCCCTCTACAGCGCCAAAGGGCTCCACTGGTCTATGGGGCTCCGCCTCTGTTATACACGAATCGGCCGACGATATACTACCCAACTTTGGCGACCGGAGATCGACTTCTTCTGACGCCGTCGGTCCAGGTCAGGCAAACGGTTCTGCATCGAAGCCTGAGGATTCAACCGCATGGTCCAACCTGCCTCAGAGAACCTTTTCCCAGCGTGGTCTCTGGGGTAGCACACCGGCATCTAAGGACCGGGAAGCTGCTACCAGAAGACGTTGGACGGTTACTGAAAGGAGGATATAATCGGCTTTGTTTCGACACTTATTTTGGGTTCTACTTTTCTTACTTTGAATTTCTATCAGGATACCTCGGGACGTTGGTTTGTCACTATTTATGTGTTTATTTGATTTGTATCAGGCGAGGCGTTCAGGAAATCATGGTATGACATCAGCCATGTAATACTCCCATTCACAATGCTGTACAAAATCGATGGCCATCGCCGCTTCCATCAATTGCCATAGTCAGCTTCGCTCTCTACAGTATACTTGACTCGCTTCTCGATATATACATCATCCTCGTGTAGTACGTCATTTGTTTACTCTGCAAATTGCACTGTGGAGATCCGCCCGCGGATCCAGCTGCTGTAATTGGTGGTGGCAAGCTAGTCCCGGAGGTGCCTTGCAGCTGTGATGCCTCAGGCAGCACAAGCTGGACCCGTCTTGCCTTTGAGCTCATTCAGCTAGCTGTCTGGTCCTCTTCCACTCCTCTTCTCCCCGCCTCTTGTCCTTGACATTGCTATATTCTATAAATGATGACTCCAATCGAACTAGATGGCCTCACCATCACACATTCCTCCAACAGAACAGGCCCGCCTGATTTGCGTCTGATTCACTACAACGATGTCTACCACGTGGAGTACGCTTGACCCCTCACCGACAGGCTATCTCGTGAATACTAACCGTGTCCCAGAGCTGGTTCCGCTGAACCCGTTGGCGGTGTCTCCAGATTCCAATCTGTGATTAACTACTATCGTTCTCACCCGCAGTTTACTGGACTCCCCGATGTCCTCACCTTCTTTTCCGGCGATGCCTTTAACCCCAGTCTCGAGAGCACAGTCACCAAAGGGCGACATATGGTACCGTTCCTGAACAAAGCAGGGACGGATGTAGCTTGTGTTGGGGTATGTGAACATGTTTCACAAGGAGTCGATGGAGACCAGGAATGTGGCTAACATGCTGGCGGGGTTGGACAGAATCACGATCTTGATTTCGGTGTCGCACAGTTTCGCCATCTGCGTAGCCAGTGCAGGTTTCCCTGGCTGCTTGCCAATGTTCTAGACCCGGCGCTGGGCTCAGACGTCTCGATCGCCAACTGCGAGAAGACGGTCATGCTGACATCGTCGAACGGACTCAAGGTTGGCGTTATTGGGCTGGGAGAGCGAGAATGGTAGGTTCTTGAGCGATAATATGGTACTATGGTGTCAGGAGATAATTGACAATCTTCAGGCTAGGAACCATCAACTCCCTCCCTCCGGACCTGATTTATAAATCCGCCACACAGACCGCGTTAGAGCTAGCACCGAAGCTGCGCCAACAGGGCGCGGATCTCATCGTTGCCGTCACCCACCAACGAGAACCGAACGACTATAAACTGGCGCAGAACCTTCCCCCTGGCACGATAGATCTCATCTTAGGAGGCCATGATCATTTCTACGGACATGCGGTGATCAACAACACCCATATCTTGCGGTCCGGCACCGACTTCAAACAGCTGAGCTATATCGAGGCGTGGCGCAAGACCGACGGACCGGGATGGGACTTCAACATCGTCCGTCGCGATATGGTTCGAACGATTCCCGAAGATCCCGCCACCGTAGCCCTGGTCGGTCGGTTGACCTCGAGTCTCAAGGCGAAGCTGGAAAAGCCGGTCGGATACACTGTCCGTCCGCTCGACGGTCGCTTCTCCACGGTTCGTCAGAAGGAGTCCAATCTCGGCAACTTCGTCTGCGATCTCATGCGATTCTACTATGCCGCCGACTGCGCTATGATGGCCGGCGGGACGATCCGCGGTGACCAGATCTACCCACCCGGTCTGCTACGGCTCAAGGATTTGTTAAACTGCTTCCCCTTCGAGGACCCTGTGGTCTTGCTCCGTATCAAGGGCTCCGCACTTATGGACGCTCTAGAAAACGGAGTGAGCCAGCTTCCCGCCCTCGAGGGACGCTTCCCACAGGTATCGAACATCTCCTTTAGCTACAACCCGTCCGCACCCCCTGGCTCGCGCCTCAACTGGGCCAAGGTAGGCGGACAACCGATCGAGTTCGAACGGAGCTATGTCCTCGCAACCAGAGGCTACATGGCCCGCGGAAAGGACGGGTTCACATCCCTTCTCGTGCAGTCCGCCGGAGGCGAGGTGGAAGAGATCATCGACGAAGAGAACGGCGTGATGATCAGCACCATCCTCCGCCAGTACTTCCTCAGCCTCCGGATCCTGGGCAAGTGGCAGCGCTGGAGCAAGAGTCTATCACGGCACTGGGCAAAAGTCCACCAGAACCTCCACTGCGAGGGCTGGCTGAAGCCCGCCTCCGCGCAGCCCTCCCCCGTCTCCGAGAAGGTGCCCAGCCGGCCTTTCTTCTCGCGACCGAATCTCAAACGCACAAAGCACTATTACTACGGCCGGTTCGCCGAGATCGAAGGCAACGGGACTGCCAACGGCCGCGAGGAGGAGGAGGGCACGAGCATGGACTCGGACTCGGATTCGGACCCGGAGATCTTGACCTCCCCGCAGCCGACCACGAACTACGTCACCCTGCCTGCCCGCTCCGCCGCCGAGGAAGAACATCGGCTGCGGCTTGCGCGCCGGGCGGTCCGGAAATGGATGCGGGCCGCTGGATTCGAGCCCACGACGCTCAACACGGCCGATGATGCTCAGGGGTTCACGCCGGCGTGGACGCCTGGCATTGCGCCCAGACTTGAGGGGCGCATTGTTATCGAGAAGTAGTGCCGACTGCGTAGTCGCGATACGTGAGTTAAGTTGGATTTTTTTGGAGCTCTGCGAGCAATGGCTGCATCTTGTCTACGCACAATAGAGTACGACTTACGATATATGACCAATGGATGATATACTTGGTATTGGCACTTGTTCATTGACATTATATCTTTTCCATTTCCCCCATAGCCATATTCATGAACGACGTCACATGAGAACATGAAACGTAGCAGCCACCGCTCGATGACTCAAGTCTTACTCTTTTGCTTCGTCTTGAGCAGGTAATCCCCTCCCCTCCAGGCTTTGTAGACACCGTACAAACCACTCACAGGCCAGAGGTTCCACACAAGGTCCCGGATAGACCCCCAACCCTTCCTGCCATTACCATCCTCGGACGCCGCAAGCCTAACACGAACCTTTTGATACAGATCCGGCAGATAAGATGCATGATATCTCTCCCTCAGCTGGTCGTATTTCCTCTTGTCGTATATAGACCAGAATTCATCTTCGGTGTAGTACGCATGTGCATACAACCACTTCTTTCCGCCGAGTTCGCGCACCTTGCCCTCCAGCCGGCGATTCTGTGCGATGAATTGATCGGTGTTTCTGTGGAAGGGAGACGGGGCCCACAGACCAAAGTTCATGAGGTACCCATCGTCCTCTGGATCGGTAGATGGCGGGATTGAATTCTTCGAATCAGAACGTGCCATCAGCCCCTCCGAATGCCGCAGGGGACACAGCCAGATCGGGTATGCGCCAAAGTTCTGTTTCTGGTCCAGCCAGTCGAGGAACTCGGTTGTTGCAGCATATGGTACCGCCACGTCTTGGATGATGTACCGCTTCGAGTGTCCGCTCTCGTGGAGAGCGTGGTACATCACCCGTGTATGCATAAAATAGTCCAGAATATAACGTGTGATGCGGTTGAATGGAACTAGGAAGTACGAATAGGCGTACCGGGCAACCCAGAACCCGCCCCGATCATAGCGGAAATGGTAGTCAGTCAACGGGATGTAGTCTGGGTTTCTGGAAAATGACTTGGTACGTTTCTGTGCATGAAGATAAAACCACGGATCCCGAGCGCCGGTGAAGCGTTGTGGTTTGGCATTTGCAGGCAAAGAATCGGTCAGTCGCCCTATACACACAACAATCTGATCCCTGGCGAAGACGATTCCATCGAGATAATCGATCTGAGGATCTGAAGCCGCTGTGCGGAAGATGTCCATGGCATGAGCCATGGACGATGTGGACTGGTACTGCAGCTCGACAAAAGGTTTGGCCTGTTGACACTGTACCTCCAGCAATGTGACGACACCCAGAGTGCCGAATGCCGACGCAGCGCCCCAGAAGAGGTCGGGGTCCGAGATCTTCGACGCAATCCGTACCTCACCGTTTGGCAGGACTATCTCAATCCAATTTACTGTGGCATCAAAGAAGCCGTGTCGAAAAGAGCTGCTTTCGCCGGATGTCCCGGAAAATCCTCCCCCGACGGTGATACCAGGGAACTCCATCACGACAAGAGGGACCAGGCCAGCAGCCAGAGTGGACTGAACAAGGTGGTCCATAGGAACATTGGGTTCGACCAGCACGGTTTGAGCTTCGCAGTCGGTGCGTATAACATGATTTAGATGAGCGGTATTGATGGTGTTGTCGTGCTCATGTTGAGACTGCCGCGTACTATTCGTCGAGCCATGATAGATGCGAAAAGGTTGTTGGCGACTATGGAATTTTCTGACCTGCCCTGCAATGGTCGCTACGGCCTTGTTGTGATCGTCCATGCTGTTATGACCAGGGGCTTTTGCAGGAATCGGGGAGAGCGGGTTGTGACGTAGAGGAATAGTACAGTGTCCTAGCTTGTACCCACACCAACTAGGCTACCGAATTACTCCGTAGTGGCTCGACTAACGCATGGTAGGTCGGCGACAGTCGCATTCCGCGGCCGACCGGTTGTTTCAAACATTGCGAGTTTCAAAAAATATAATGATTTTGGAATGCAGGCGCAATACACACGCGATCATTGAACCTTCCGACAGAGGCTATCACAACGACCGCGCACACTGGGCTCTGCAGCAATTCTCCAGTGTTTCGGCTCCTTGCTTGGTGTTTCTCGTAGCCATCCTTATCAAATCGTCATTGAACTCCAACTGGGCGCGCACCGGACAGGTTCACGACTCTTCCACCGCCGCCGGCAGCAGCAGCAGCAAACTGAGATGCCATCGCTGATGGGGGCTGCACCCATCCAGGCACAGTATCATCTTCTCCTTCGCGTGCAGAGATGGTTTGCCAGACATTTGGAAAGCCAGTAGGCAAGGCACCAC